CAACCTACATGTACATCTAGAACTGAAACTATGGACACACTTACGAGAAATTCCTGAAAATTCCCCATAAATGGATAGTGTGTGCAAACGGTACATGCACATGTACATGTACGTGTACACGTGTACATGTCACACTATCTATGGGTCTTGGGAATACCGTAACTATGAATGGAATTTTTTTTATGAATATTGGGAAGTGCCAGCACTATTAAATATGTACTAGTCATAAATGTTAACAATCAGTGTTAAAGGGAAAATACAACACTGGCAAACATCAAAAAATAAAGTTACTAAATTATTTTGAAATACCTTGCTGGACTGTAAGTGAATGACCGTCTAAATCATCCTGTAAAATCATGGCACCTGGTATACTGTCATTTTCAAGAAAACTGGTATTTTCGTATCAATTTCCAACGCTGGTCGGCCGAACAGTGTTGGAAAAAACTGGCTTTTTTTTTAATACTGGCCCCAATTGACCATATTTAGTTAGTCCGGTTTTGTTTGCAATCGATTACACACCTATGAACGGGTACAAGCAAGCTAGACTGGTTCCCTGACCTTACAATTCCCCAACGTCTATAAATTGCTCTGTTTCATTTTAAATGGAGTCAGGGAGCCAGACAACGGGAAAATGACTGTTTTTCTTCATTTTTATAGCATCTACGAACCCAAAACGTCAAAAAAGTCGGTGTAACAATATTTACTATAAACAAGCAACCCCCCAAATCCATCCATTTCTGAAAATTACAGCAAAAGCAAATGATGTATATATTCCCTTTAAGGTAGGGCCTATATGTTTAAATGGACGAATTTTAAATGTTAAAAGGTAAACAAATATCTTTGTAAAAAATTATCATTGAAAATATTAACCACAGAATTTTTTTCACCAACAAACCCACCACATGAAATCATTAATTTGTTCAGTTATGTGAAGGCACAAGTTCTAAGAATGCTAACAATTACTGGTAGGCATAAACGCTTTCATTTATAGAATTAATAAAAATAAGGAAAACATAAAAACATCGGCTAACGAACTGCAGAAGTTAATCACCCCAAGCTCACTAAAAGGATCAATGTAATAACAGATCTCTAAAAAAAATAATTTTCTGAAATCTTACAATTGTATTGAAGTCAGTTTTACAGAGGAAATATTACACAACAACATGCTATTTAATGGGCCTTATGCACGAGTCGGCCATATGGAGTTGAAAGTGATGTAAAATCTCAATTTGTGGAACTTGCAAAGGGAAATGAAAGCAAATTAATTACTAATTTATGCCAGTCTGCCTCAATGAATAATCTTAAATTTGTAATGAAACATTCCCTAATGTTTAAAGCCAGATTTAAAAAAAAAAAAGACAGTAAAATTAGGCTGCATAAAAAGTCTGGCGCCATCTCATTCAACAGTTAACAATTAATGAAATACGTGGCAGGAACTCGACAAAAATGGCCGACTCGTGCATTAAGGCCAATTTGTTTCTTCCCAGAATTTGCCAAATCTTTTACTCGTAATGGTCGTTGGAGCCCGTTTTTCAAAATAATCGGGCACTACCTAGAATGTACTCTGGGGTACAACATGCGGGACTGGCTATTGCAGAAAGCGGATTCCTTGTGATACGAGGATCAGTAAATCCTATAGCCCTTTTGCACGGTGCGCCATTACAGTGGTCACATTTGTTATAAGGTCACAGACGGTTATAAGGTCACAAATGTTCTTCCACTTCCCCTGTTGTACTTGTGGTAGCAGACCAGTAAATAAACTTCCATAGACCCCAATGGTAAATGCTCCCACTTCAGAAATTTGGGAAAAATACTCACAACTCTCCAAGGTGTTCGAGACACACATCAAATTAAAGCTTATTTCATCATCTTTCATTTTCTTTTCAATTTTCGGGGGGTCACCTGATGACTTTTAGGAGAAATTTCCATCTGAAGATGATCACCCCTGAAAATAGTCCTGAAGCCCATCGCCATTTTGAAAAACGATGCCTACACTCCATTGCAAAATAGAGCGCTTTTAGGGTCCAAATTACATCCAAATTACACAGAACTGCAAGCTCCCAGTCCTGTGCACGGCTTCAACCCATATTTTTTACAAACCCTCAAGTTCATGGCCCACAGCATGCTCAAATACTGAAGATTTTGAGGGCATGCAAATCGTGATTTGGCCGGCGCAGGCAATTTCGGACCGATTTACTGGTCTGCACCCTTGTAACAAACCAATGGGTGGGCCACTTGACCAATATTGACCCAAGTTAACAGCATGGCTCAGAATGCCTGTTTGCATAGGAGGGTTAAATTCAGTTACAATGAAATCACAAAGTATCTGATCAAGTGGAGTGCACAGGAATAACTGCCCACTGCCATGGCTCAATGGGCAAAGGGTCTGTTCTGAGTTTGGAAATGTTTATATTTGACTCTGACACAAAGTCTGCCAAAGCTTTAGTGGCAATCCAGACAAGTACTAGAAAGAGGAAGTCAAGTTGTTTTTGAAATTTCAGGAGTTGGCCTTAGGCAAACGGGCGTGTCATGAGTGTTACCTAAAACTCAACTTTCAGTTGTCATATGTTCACACCCAGTTTTACTTTACTGAAAAAAACACACACAAATACCTCATATTTTGCAGATTTATTGTTCAGTTTGAAGGTGCATTGATAAAATATTTTTTTGTAAGATAGTATTTGTGATAAAAAATCACTGGGTTTTATTTTGGCACCAGACCAGTAGCTGTTTTTGCTTAATTTTAAGTGGTAATGGCAATTTTGTTTTGAATTGCAACTTCCAGCCTGAATTTCACCGATTGTTTTATAGGGAATATACATCATTTGCTTTTGCTGTAATTTTCAGAAATGGATGGAATTGGGGGGTTGGAAATATATAGCAAGTATAGTTACACTGACTTTTTTGAGGTTTTGGGTTCGAAAATGCTATAAAAACCAAGAAAAACAATCATTTTCCTGTAGTCTAGTTCCCTGACTCCATATAAGAAGAAACAGAGCAGTTTACATACATTGGGGAATTGTAAGGTCAGGGAACCAGTCTAGCTGGCTTGTACCCGTTCATAGGTGTGTAATCGATTGCAAACAAGTGCGATGGTCAATTGGGGCCAGTATTTGAAACAAAGCCAGTTTTTTTCCAATGCTGGTCGGCCGACCAGCGTTGGAAATTGATACAAAAATACCACTTTCTTGAAAATGACAGTATACCAGGTGCCATGATTTTACAGGATGCTTTACACTGTCATTCACTAACAGTCCAGCAAGGTACATGTATTTCATAATGATTTGGTAGTTTTATTTTTCGATGTTTGCAAATGCTGTATTTTCCCTTTAAATAAGCCTAATGTAATTTTCAAAATCATTACTCATACATGAATGTAATGTATGTACGTCAATGGCAATGACATCACATTGTGGTTTCCACTCGGTGATGATTTACAATTTTTTTTTTGTAAACAATTCAAGGTCATTCTCCTAAATCCACCTTGTTGGGCCCTACCGACGAGGGCCCAAGACCAGGAAGTCAACAATGGGACACATCCTGTTTGATGTAACAAAGCATGGATGCCGTAAGCAGGAAGGCAGGCCGCATCTTACACATGCAACTTTAGGTTATGGGTCTCGTGAAGATAGAAGGGTGGGCCCACTGTTTGGCCCAGATAAAACACACTTACAATGAAATCGTGATCTACACAAGGCTCATTTGTCTGTCCAATCAACCATCAACAATTCGATTTGGACTCAATACATTTTACAAATTGTGGTTTTTATCAATAAAATTGCAGAAGTATTTTCTTCAGATTCCAAATCCATTTTTCATTTCTAAGAGCAGATTCCACAAATTCCGTACGTTTCCTGCAATCGCGAAAAATCACTGGCCCTACCTGTATGCATAAGTAGTGCTGGCAAGTACATTTTTACAAGTGCAAGTAAAACCTAGGCGTAACTTGCAGACTTTGCGCAAGTAATTTTTTTTTTTTCCTGGAGATGAAACTTCAGATGAAAGGTCAGAATTCCATACCTGGACATCACTTGACACCCTGTACACAAACCCAACAAGACTGGTCGGAAAAATTCCACGAGTTTCCTCAGTGAATGCGTTAATATTTTCCCAGCTAAATTTGACTTTTTAGCACATGTAATTGCTTTCTGATGGCTGATGTAGGGAAACATTAGTGATGTCCATGTTGTAACTTTGAAGGTTTTAATTGCATCAAAATTGATAGGGAAATAAACTAGCTGTAATTGTTAATACATTTTGAAATGCCACCAACAGAAAAATATGTGAGTTACCTGGGTGATAATACCTTTGGAAAAGGGGGAAATATGTATACTGCTGTTTATTATAATACGAACAATAACAGCCAAAGAAAAAATTTATGTAAAAATTAGAATGGCACAATCAATGAGGCGCATGTCATGGATGTTTTTATTTAAACTTGTCGTATCATGTAGGACATGACACTCATCATCAAGAACAGTCATTATTACAAAATTACTATTACTAGAGATGACTGATTTGCAGTTTGCTATGCAACTTCTTGTTGTATGGCATCCATACCCACACATACAGAAACACAATGCATGATCATGATGATAAGGCAGATCACTGTATCACACCTATCATGTGTTGAAGTGCATTGGACATGTTGACTGTTCCCCACCTTATTTTTGTCAACATTCGTGATATTCGCTCACAAATCCGGCAAAAACATCTGTACAACATCAATTGATACATCAACTCTGTGATCAACTGTAAATATCGGGATTTTGGGATACGAAGGATGCAAAATCTACGTGATTTCGCAATCACGATCACCGAAGTGGCGACAATATGGAAGCCGGCGAAATGGAATGAACCAACAAAATGGCCGATCGCCGAGTACGACACGCTGATCATGCCGATGCAACTTTCCGATTTTTTTTTTCTAATACAGCGGCAGATAAGCACAAATCGAGTGCACTGATGAGCATTATATTATATATGAATGAAAAAGATACGGTTGACGTTGGATCTGTGGTTGTTGAAACTGCGGTGGCACACCTATTGGTTTGTTGCCCCTGTGAGAATAGCTCATCGCTACGTGAACTAGTCACGGTAGTCCCCTGAAAGGACTCGCCGTTTTTCGCCTTTTCTTGGCGTTATCTCCTGTGAAATGAAGAAAAATTACACAAATATAATCATCAATAAATTTCCTCTTACCAACGATGTCCAATGTCGTTCAAAAGTCCCATATTTACCAAGGATGATGTATGATTTAAACAGAATAAACACATGTCTAACCTTAGCTTGCGATAGCCGGCTAGGAGACGAAGACAAAAGTTCGGCACATTTCGTGCCTTACTCGGAAAGCAAATACGTCATTGAAATTATGAAATGTGGCCGTTGGCGGCGCCATAATTAATTGATAGAACCGAACCGCGGCCGCGCCGCCGCGTAGATCTGTGAAACTAATTAAACCTTTAGTTCAAGTTGCACTTTGTATACGATAAGGGGAAAAACGACTTTGTTTTCTATTTTGTGGCGTCTGGTCTGCAACCATGTCAGAAAGGTTTTTATTTTAGGGATGCTTTTGCGTCTCTATAACGCGCGCACAAAACTCCGCTTGAATTAATGGCAGGCTCTCCAATAAGTCAAAATTAATTTTGTCCGAGAAATTATTCATCCATAACTTACCGTTGGCGGAGCTTTTTTTTGCTCAGTATACTTCATATCCGATCGAGGAATGGCTGTTTTCTGTGCGCGCATATACACATTTAAAAAATATTTTATAACCGGACTGGACTTAAGGACAAGTGGCACGACAGTCTTGTCATTTGGCCGCATGCCCCCCCCCCCCCCCCCCAGCACTGTACTGCTCTGTTAATGTTTCGTTTATCGAGCTGGCCTCCAGTTTGTAACTTATATACCACGGCGAATGTTCGACCGGAGATATAGATGGGGCTCCGTGGAGCACGGGTGCTACTCAGACCATTCTTATTCCTCCATGCTCAGACTAGCCTCGAGTTGGGCCGGCCGAGGATGCATGCACAAAGCGTCCCGCAAGTTAGTGCCATATACCTTGGGGTCATAAACCCTAAAAGGGCCCACACAGGCCGGGGCGGAGGGGCCGTATCAAAAGTCCGACGCCTCATAGGTCCGACCTCTCGTAAGTCCGATATTTCGGATTTATGAGGCGTCGGACTTATGAGGCATAATATTTATTTATTCCGCCTCGTATGTCCGACGTCGGAAAACGAGGCGTTTAATTTGTCGGACCTATAAGACATCGGAGCTATGAGGCGTCGGAGCTAGTGGCGTAGCCAGGAATTTTTCAGTGGGGGGTGGGGGGGCCGCTGGGGGGGGGGCCTGGAACATTTCATGGGGGGGGGGCGTCATGCAGGGGCGTCAATCGCTTCTCAAAAGTAGGGGGGCGGACATACCTTGATCAGAACTAATGCGAGCGCGAACGAAGCGCGAAGCACGAAGCCCTTACGGCGTGGGGTTCGGGGCCCGCTTAAGGGCCCCTAAAATAATTTGGTTCTAGATGTTCTGTGGTGTGATCTGAAGCAATTTCTTACCACTTTCCTCCATGCTTTTACTAATATTTTCTTAGCAAAAGATAATTATTTGAACATCGTTTTCGAGGTTGGAGTCATATTGAATCAGCTATCGGTATTCTGAGATATAGGCGTGGGGTTCGGGGCCCGCTTAAGGCCCCCCCCCCCAAAAAAAATTTGATTCTCGATGCTCTGTGGTGTGATCTGAGGCAATTTCTGACCACTTTAACCAATAATTATCTCAGCACAAAAGATAATAATGTAAACATTATCTTTCGAGGTTTTCTCAGCTAAAGGCATTAGAACATTTTTTGAACATTGTTTTCGAGGTTGGAGTCATTGAATCAGCCTCAGAATTCTGAGTTTTAGGCGTGGGGTTCGGGGCCCGCTTAAGGGCCCCGAAAAATGTTGGATTCTAAATGCTCTGTAGTGCTATCTGAGGCAATTTCTGACCACTTTAACCAATATTTTCTAAAGCAAGAGATACATTGTAGTACATAATAGGGCCCTGTAAATGAGACACGAGTTCAAAAATTGGGGGGGGGGGGGGGAGAGACATGTCCCCTGTCCCCCCCCCCCCCCCCCCCCCCCCCAGGATTGACGCCCATGGCGTCATGTAGATCAATGATATTTTTTTTAGAAACTCAAAATCTCAGTGGAGGGCCGACTGGGGGCGACAAGGTTTCATGGGGGGGGGGCGGTCCCCCCACGCCCCCCCCCCCCCCCCCCGGTGGCTACGCCACTGGTCGGAGCTACGAGGCGTCGGACTTATGGGGCGTCGAACTTATGAGCGGACCCCAGGGCGGAATATCCGCCTCCCCTTCAACTCTTTCCGCGAAAGCCTTGTCGTCAGTGGAAAAAAAAAAAATTCGCGACCCGAGCTGTTTTGACTTTTTAGCCTCGAGTCTTGCGCATCTTTCATTACCATAACATTCGTTAGCCATAATTCCAAAACCCATTGACCGAGTTATGAAATGTTTGGGTATGTTCATGAATTGTTCTATGCATGTACCAAGTTTTATAATTTTTGGTCACTCAATGGCCGAGATCTTAATGTTTATATATATATATTTTTTTATTAGGGGACGAAAACAGATGGAACCCGCCCCCGCCGCCCCATTTCAACCCCCCCCCCCCCCGCCCCATTTCAACCCCCCCCCCAATGACCTTGCTACGCCCCTGGCTTCAGAATCAGAACGACAGACTTTAAACGTAAATTTTATACGTAAGGCCTACTTGGGCCTACTATGATGCCCACATGCTGGCGCGGCGTCAGTTATAATTCTGAGAGAGACCATAAAACTTTACAAAAAGTTTTCTCTGCGTGTTTGAGTGGGTTCATGGTCCGGTTAAAATGCATGTTCGAATCGACGTCGTCGCTGCTCATTTTCATGGACTGTTTTTCCCCTCTGAATTTATTGTTGAGATAATTTTGTTTTTTTTTAAGGGAAAAAAGAGAATGAGAACATTGAGTGTCTCGCAACAATTCAAAGGAAAACTGAATTATGCATGACTTTGGAGCATCCCGCCTACGGAAAAAAAACAGCGCGCCGCACGACCACAATCACATGACAGCAGACACGTGACGCCATTGATAAGTGGACAATGGGTCTGGTACCTGCAATCCATAATAAAATTTTAGGTATTTGCTATCAGAGAAGCCAGACTAGTATTTATCAAAGTATTTATCATTGCACTCGATTAACGATTGATCATCAGTCATGTCAGTTACGTCAGTCGTTGAACCTTTCGTGTGATCATCAGAATTCTCTCAGTTTTGTTTGAACCCTCTTTTCATCGAAGCTGTCAAGCACTATTAAGTAGTGTTCCTGAAAATCAGCGTGCAGTAGATGGCCCACAGGCGAGATTAGTTGATGGGAAGCGGACTGAAAATCGAAAAGTTGACCGGCACTTTTGTGAATTAAAATTGGTAAGCAGTTTCCAACAAGTTTGATCATTTATGATAGTGCCCAATAGTGGATATTTTGACGGAGGTAATGACGGCAAACTAACGTTTACTAAAGGTTTGCCGGCGGCAATCCATATCAACAGAGGGCGCTGTACTCTTTAAAATAGGGCTGAATTATAAGATGTATTAAATTCGAACCAGAAGTTGTGTAGCACGTTTAGTATGGTGTAATGGTTAGGCAAAGGCTCTACATGTAGTAAGCGGGATGACTCGCGTTCGATTCCAACCGCACCACATTTTGAAGGTTTTTTTCTCATCCCCAAATAAATAATAATATTCTTCTTCTATTATTTTAACATGTCTCAAACATTTTATTGCAGAGTATTACATTTTCTTTTTCAGATTTGTGGCTCTGGAGGATTTTTTTAAAGGGAAATAAAGTCCGAAATTATAAAATGGTCTGAATCCCATCTTGTGAATACGAGGTTACAACGATAATATTGGCATGGAGCCAGACTAAAATTTGTCACCGGAAAATGTTCAAGTAAAAAAAAACAGTAACTGCGCATGTTCAGTGCATATCCGGCAAACTAACGTTTACTAAAGGTAATTTGCCGTCTCCGGCAAAATATACACTGCCTAAATGTTATTTTATTTGTATTCCAGCTCCTGATCAGATTTACATCAATTGGGGATGTCGCTGGGCTACGCCTTCGGTGCAGTGGGCGAAGTCGGGGGGCCTCACGTCCATCCGCTACCCGGCGTGGATGTCAATTGTACCGAAGTTGAGCACGGCGTGCCGTGGGTCTGGAATGTATTCCATGAGTGCGTAACCAACGACGTGCAATATGCCGGGTTCTTCCTGGGTCTGCTCTCCATTCTCTGCTGGCTGGTCGTCTTCCTACCGTGAGTGTTAAGCCCCAATTGTAGCGTTGTCCCAACTATAGTTGGGAAGATCTCAGCACTATAGTGGCATGTGGCGACCAGGGGCCATATTCATGAAAGCTTACCAAGCCTAGTTGGTTACTAAATAGGCATGTAGTTGCTTACTAAGCCTAGTTGGTAACTAATTGGTATTCATGAAACATTGCTAATGCTACATGTAGTTTCATTCTAAGTTTTTTACTAAAATTAGTGTCGATCCAGGGCAACTCTAACTAAGTCACTAGTTAGCAACTATATCATTTTTTGTTGTGCCAGACTTTGCTCAGTTGCCTTCTTGGACTTTTTCATACTTGACAGGCATTCTCTTGACTCGGATTTTAATGTGGATAATCTAATTTGAAATCATGCAATGATCTTTCAACCTGTGGAAATCTTGCACGGTGTTGGCTGAGAATAGCTGCCCCTAGCCCCATAAATGTGGCCTATTTACTGGACTGCCTCCGTAAACATAGGCCACATATCCACATGTACAAAAACGTGTCGCACTTTGCCAAATTTTGATTTTTACATTTAGGCTTAGTTTGTAAGTTTTTTTTTGCTTTAGAAGCATACTCACCCTCTTTATAGGCTAATCAGAAAGTGCTGCCTTTTTCAGATGGCAAATTTTTGTGAAATTTCAGGTTGAAATTTTGATACGCGAACGTGTGAAAATGAATCTGGAAATTTCACGAAAAATAGACATTTGAAAAAGGCAGCACTTTCTGAATAGCCTATAAAGAGGGTGAGTATGCTTCTAAAGCAAAAAAAACTTACAAACTAAGCCTAAATGTAAAAATCAAAATTTGGCAAAGTGCAACACATTTTTGTACATGTGGATGTGTGGCCTATGTTTACGGAGGCAGTCCAGTAAATAGGCCACATTTATGGGGCTAAGCTGCCCCATGCATCTTTTTTTTGTTAGTGTTTGCATCCTTATGAGTTAATAAAAAAAACACTTGTTCTCAAGCCTAGTGACAAGCTATTGGCATCCCAACTACAGCATCGTCCCATCTATAGTTGGGACTGTCCACAGTGTAGTTAAGATGATCCTGACTCATTGTTGGGAGCGTCTCAACTATACTTGGGATTGTCCCAACTACAGTTGGAACATTGCAATAGTTTGGGCGTACATCCCCAGTTGCTTGTTCTTTGTGATCTTGTGATTAACTGATAATTCAATTTGTAATTAACTTATCGTTGACTTTAGTATTATGGACAGAATTAGTTTTCACATTGTCTTTTTGATCTTACGTTTATATCCACTGCTGAAAAAAAACAGTAGCATTTGCAATTTAAAATATATTGTTCAAGAAAGCCGAACCTCTATTAAGCATTAACATATAAACAAATAATGGGATCATTTACTACTAATGAAAGGTCAAAACGTGGCACCACGAAATCTTTCAACAAAGTGACAGATTTCCTCAGAAAACTTACATCTTACCGGTACATACATACATTGCATGTAGCTTGAAAGAACCTAGATTCTTCTTAGGTGAATGAAAACCTGTTGCGAGTCTCTGAAATTATCTGTTAGGAAGCCTGATAAGTGACGAAGGTCAGCCAGTCAAGGCAGTAACCTCAGATTGTTGACTTGATAATCATACTGTTTCCTTTTGTATTATGGTACACGGTAAATAGTGTTCATTTGAAACAATGAAATTGACAGCATTTTCAATGTCATTGTGAAGCCTTGACCCAGGCTGAGATCGTGATTGAAGATAAACATGCTAAACAAATGCAGGCCATCTTCACTCACTCATTACAAAACACAATTCTCTGAAGTTGCCATAAGACAAAGCTTTCGTAGGTTCTGTGTCTTTAACTAGCCAATGTTTGAGGGATAAATTTAGATGGTAAAAAGTGTTTTTTCCAACTTTGTGCATGGGAGAAAAAAAAGATTAAATTCGAACCACTATGCTACACTAACACACATGCAGACAATGTACAGTGTATAGTAAGTGTGTTTTCTTTTTCACAAATCTAAACAATGCACTGTATCTTATTGTGAGTCACAAATACATGTAGATAGACTAAAACCATAAACAATAGACATGATAGAACTTATCTAATAATACTGTTTTTCAGGGAACAAACAATTGTTTTGTTATTTCTTTTAAAATAACAAGAAAAAAGATAAAGTAAGTTTGAATATTTGGCTTGTGTTTAGCACAGTTCTATGTGAGGTATGGCTGGGCTGAATTTACCAAATTTTGGAATAGTCAATCATCAAATTCCCTAATAGCATTTATTACCAATATAATATTGAAAATCGTGATGAGCCGTCTTAAGAATAATTATGACGAAAAACATGAGTGATGTTATTTTATTCGTTTAAGTAGAGTGGTTCTGTTTTTTGTCAAATGCCACTTTTTTTGTGTGAACAGCCACTTTAAGAATCTTTAAAACCTTGCAAAAATATATCAATATACATAATTTTCATTAAACTAAAATTAACCTCCATGTCATGACGAATATTTGAATAGTCAATCAAAGCTAAGTTCCAATTATCGGATACTGAAGTACCGGTACTTGAAACTGCGCAACACTAGTGTGAAGCAGCGTCTATGCCACAGCTAGGGCAAAGAGTTTACATGTAGACTGTTTTTAATGGGGATCGATTTTTTGTTTCTCGTTTCAGACAATTCTACGAAGCTTTCAAGAATGGCAAGATGGACGAGGCCTTATCCCCACTTTTCCTCTTCTGCTGGTTTCTAGGCGACGTGTCCAATCTGGTCGGCAGCATACTAAGCAATCAGCTAGGAACGCAGGTGGGTGCTAGTACCTCACACTGCTGAAAACACTTCACACAGGCATTGGGGAGCATGTTCAAGCAGTGACTTGAGGCCTTTTCACACTGTCCAATGTCTCCGGGTTGGAACTGGTTCCAACCCCGAGATTTTTTTCAACCCTTTTCCCACTTTGAGAATTTGTAGTGTGGATACACAGGGGCCGTAGCCGGATTGAATGTTACACGGTTCAGGTAGCGGCTGTTCCCGTAACAGTGTGAACGTTGCGTCTCTCCGATCCGTGTCGAAAACTACTCTGGCTGAACTGGGTTGGTTTCAACACGGAGATAGTGTGAAAAGGTCTTAAGGTTAAGGCCAAAAAAAAAAACTATTCGGTCTCTGGTCAGACCAAAGTTCCGGAATTGACGCGGGGACGCGGCTGTTTTTTTTTTTTTCAAGCTTGGTTTGTACAGACAAGGTGGGGTACTATTGTGCTATTTGGTGTCCTCATGTACATTGGTGTCCTCCATAATTTGCCTTGGTGCTCTCGATCATTTGCCTTGGTGCAATTTCCCATTCCTTGGTGCTCTTTGGTAAAAAAAAAAAAAATGAGGAGGTGCGGCAATAGAGGGCGCTGTTGGAGCTACCGCAGAACATTTTGGAAAAAAAAAGATTGACGCGCATGATTAAAATCGACGCGTGCGCTGACCAGAGACCAAATTATTTTTTTTTTTGGCCTAACCACAGTGGGACTACTTACTCGAAACACAGAATGGGTGAACTGTACTCTAGTCGACTATTTGGAATTGGAGCCTGGGGCGTGGTTGCATCACTGGTTCCCAATAGCCGCGATTTTCACAATACACAGTGGGAAGTCAGCACCAAGACGTTTTGCCCAGCTTTTGTACGAGAGGCGTTTGGGCATTGCTATAAGTGCATGTGCGTAATAATAATAATAATAATAATAGTGAATTTTTATAAAGCACACGTATCCACCAGGACTGGTGCTCAAGGCGCTTCATCATTATTACCCCTGCTCATTGGGCCCATGAAACATTCCAAATACCATCTCAGCTCCCTGGGGAGTATACAGCTCGATGCAGCCTGTTAGGCGCAAGGAAGCTAATTCAATCACAATAACCAACACTGCCCTCGTTGGTACCCATTTACTCCTGGGTGGAGAGAAGCAATGAGTGACAAAGTGCCTTGCCCAAGGGCACACCCACCATGACCCCGCCAGGACTCGAACCCACAACCTGCAGCTTTACCCGCAGACCACGAACCAGAGCCCTTAACCACGAGGCCACAGCACTCCACACATCACATCAGTCACATCACAAAGCAAATCGCATCACAAAGCAAACAAGCATCACAAAGCAAACAAGTAGTTGATTGATGGTCCACACCCTAATATTAATAACTTTCCGCCTTTTGATTTTCATCCTGATGAATATTCTCTTCCGTTTTGCAGATAGCTGTGGCTTATTACTACATAGGAATGGATGCTCTGGTTCTACTGCAGTTCACGTACTACTACATCAAGAACCGGAGAAGAAGACACATAGGAGGTTGGTTTAGAGTGTGATTGATTTTCAAAAATTTCATGGACTATCAGCACAACTTCCACTCTCAAGAGTAACAATATATATGACAGCCACTTGCAGGCCTTTACCCGCATGCACTTGGTGCCCACATACAGACATTAGGGACCATCCATAATTACCTAAGACAGTTTACCCATTCCTGTTGGTCGAGAGCCCATCTCATGGATGGTTTTAAACGGTTGATAAACAACCAACTGGTTTTAAACACTTTTCTGGTGTCACATAAATTTGGACTCCTACGAAGTCTGGTCCCTTTCACTCTGTTATTGGTTGAACCTCGTAACACGTGAGCAGTCACTGTCCTCTTTATCTTCAGTTAGGCATGTAATACTACCAATAGTTCGTATTTCATCGAGTCCTAAATCCACACTACACTGGTACTGCTACATTTAACTCCACATCGCGCAGTACGCACCAACGCGCACTCCAATCTCCATGTCAGGAGATTTTTGGTATTATTCACGAAAGGCACATACCATGCAGTAAAATGGGTGAACAAAATCATTGAGGTTTGCAGAAATATGACTCACATACAGACCTGGTTTCCTTAAAGCTATAGTCCATCATTTGTAATTTGTGCATTTTGTTCGTTTGAAGCAACAAAAGAGTTCAAAATCTAATGAAGGATACTGAGCAACTAACCTGATGAAGTTTCAGCTAAGCTTCAGCTGTACATTCCGAGAAAAACAGCATTCTAAGATCTCAATTTCAAATCAAAAGTTACTGAATCATGTTTTGAATTGTTTTGAATTGCAGCTATATGCGGCGTCGCGCACTGATCCGACGAATTACAACAACCGCGCGCGCGTGTGTGCGTCGTTCCAATACTTGTGCGCGCTGCGCTGAATAACAAAACGAACTACTAATTTAAATTTTCCTACGGTGCTTCTTAAGAATCACCGTTGGAAAGGCCTTCTTTCGTTGATTACTTCAAAATGACAGCTTCCCAGAAAGAATAATTTCACAGGGAGTTCAGTTCCCTTACTATCTTTCAACCAAGTTTGTTTTTCAACAGTAATTATGCCAGTTACTTTTCGGATGGCTGCAAATGATGGACTATAGCTTTAATGATCACAGTAAAAGACATGCGCAGCTGAAACACCTTGCGTTTGTTCACAGAACTATGTAAGGCTGCTTGTTTATGTTTTTGTTTTTTGTTTTTGCTGCACAGAGCTACGGGTCAGCTACGACAGCATGGCCAAGACGAATCGCAACCAGGTCATCTACTGCACGGGCGGCCTCCTCCTACTGGCCAGCACCACCTGGTTTTCGCTGTCGCCATGGCGACAGGCCGCAGTGCATCCTGGGAGCAGGGCTGCAGGCAGGACGTTACTAGGGCTGGAGGAGTCGCCTGCCACTATATGCAAGGTTCCGTTCCTGAGCACGGGCGACTGCATGTTTTATGTGAGTACTTTGGTTACTTTGTTTCAGAGAGTGTGGACTAGTGGTTAGGTTAGGAACGAACCATTGCGAGAAATAAAGGCTTTAAGTGTATTTCGAATACGGACCCCAATTGACCAAATTTAGTTTACGTATGCGTAAATGAGAATTTTTCTTCCCAAGTCAAAAACTGGGCATCATAATAAGAGGGTGCAACTCAAACCGTATTAACCTAACTCCCTAGGCATTTTTGCTAGGATGTAGCCTCAATCTTGCAAAGTCCTCCAACTGCCTCCATGTAAAAATTGCATACAGCCTCGGTCCTGCAAAATCCTCCGTTATTTCTTGAATGTGGTCCTTGGAGGGGTGACCACTGCCTTAATCCTGCAAAATCCTCCGGCAATCACTGTCAATATGTTGAGGCAGGGCCAGTGACATCCTGGAGCAGTGCGGAGGATTTCAAGCATAATTGTTGTAGGCCTTAAATTTACGCATGGCCGAGTATAAACGACACCAGGTCCGGCCCAAGATCTTGACATAGTGCATCCTTCAAAATCAGCAACACACTTTTGCCATGTAACCTCAATCCTGCAAAAATCCTCCATTTTGTAAAGATGTTTTGGAGGATTTGGTAAGGCAGGCCTAAGTTCCTTCATTTGTAGTTTACTCTTATCCTATTTTTTTTTTGCTTTGTTCATCTTTCAGACTGACAAAGAGATCATTGGTTATGCCTGTGGGTGCGTATCAGCATTCTTCTACTTGACATCTCGCATCCCTCAACTTTATAAAAACGTGAGTTTGTTATTTGTGGCCGACAGTTTTTCCCAGATTGTCCCAACACTTTTGATACTCTTGTGGACCACAATATTTTGCTGCACCAGTATTTACAAGTACTATGTCACACTTGCTAGATTGAATGTTGTGGTCATATGATACCGACTTTCAGCAAACTGTTCTATTTTTGCACTACTTGACTTCACATGAATTATAGACTTATACGGCGAACAAAATAAGAAGCCATTTGTTTCGAGATGGAATCACGTCAGCAAGCATGCCGCACGCATTCTTAACCCCTTAAGGACGGGGTGTAATGGGGACATTCCTCCACACAGAGAGCAAGTGGCCCGCATGACTGCACAGCCTTTGTGTGGTAGCGGGACTGCACAAAAGCAGCAGCTGTGGAACTACCGACTAGCCGTGTGCCACGGCATACCACAGCTGGCAACTGCATTCCAATGTGGATTAGCGGCCGCGGCCATGACCGCTTCCTGTACGCATGGGGTTAAAGACAAGGAGCGCGTGTGTTTTAGTAACCACTATTGGTCGAAGGAGCGCGGAGTACGTGTGTTGCTATACCTGAGCGCGACTCGAGCGAGTGCGGTGCCACCTCAGAAATAGTTGTTGCCGAATTAGTCGATAAACAAACCCCGCGGCAGCCATTTTCTGCGGTGGCACCAGCCTCGCGCGAGTCGCGCTCGGGCAGTGCGCACGCACTCCGGGTTCCTTCGACTAATAGGGTTTCCGAGATGCGCGTGAGCACTGTCTTTAAGAACGCGTGCAGCATGCGCGTGAACGTGACACCACCGCAGTAACGGCTTCTAATTCTAGTTGCCGGATTCCACTATAGGGGCTTACAAAGTATTGATGTTTATTGAAAAATACGTGGAAATCTTTCATTTCTTTGCTGTTTCACCCTCCACTGAATAAACATTTCCAGGTGGGGTACCCTTGAGTAATATCAACGTGTCAGTGTTGATTTTGTGCAAATTTTCTTTTGTGTCGCCAATTTCCATTTTTTTATGTCCGTTTGATTCTGTTTTAGTTCAAGCGCAAGTCAGTGGAGGGCGTGGCCATCTTGATGTTCATCTTGACGGTTCTCGGCAACGTCCTCTACGGCATGTCAATCATCATGGAGGGCACAACGGTTGTCTTTTTCGTGCGACACTTCCCCTGGCTCGTGGGTAGCCTGGGCACGCTCTGCTTCGACTGCACTGTATCCTTTTTTTGTTATCACCGTGGAGGCCACAAACAGGCTAGGGAGAAGTCTTGTGGGAAACGCAATGGGAGGTAACTGTCCCTTGAAAGAGTTAAAGATATTTTCTTTCTTTTTTTGAATTTTTTTTTTTTTAAATTTTTCTTGCAAAACAAAGGAATTAACTTTTGATCAAGACTTTACAAATTATTCATAAGATGGACTTTACAAATGTTGAATAGTATGCAGTGGGACAATAACTCAGACGGATCATTTTGTGCATTGGAGGTGCATAATCAACACAAAATAATATAGGCTGCACATGCTCCAAGGAGAAGAGTTTTTAACATAAAGTATACAATTTCAAATTTAGTAACAAGAAAACATAATCGATCTTGCTGGGTGGCATAGTGTGTAAAGCACTTGCCTCTCACCGCTGTGGTTCGGGCTCGATTCCCGCCTTGGGTCATATGTAAGTAGAGTTGTTCGTTGATTCTCTCCTGTGCCACGAGGGTTTTCTTCCCTCCGCAAAAATCAACACTTTCAATCTCTGGCTGTGCTCCGTAGTTAGACATGGGGCAGCCTAAGGCGCCTTTACAATGCCTTCAGCTCGACCACTTTGTAGCTGCCTCCTCCCCAATTCAGCTTCTGCTGCGAGTAACGATAATTAGCCCCCCCCCCCTTATTATTATTGAAGTACGGAGAGAGCAACTTTATGAATTCACAAATTTGTTGTTACAGAACATTGCAGTCAATTTTCTGAATGGATTGCACAGGCCTGATTCTTGAAAACAAGAAAAACTTTTCCTTAACTCAGTCCACCTCAGGTGCTGGTGCAGTTTCGTCTGTACAGGAAGCGACCGCCGGGGTATGTGGGGATTGACGGGGACGAGACGAGAGGTTTACTGACGCCAAACAGACCATCCGACGACGAGGGTTTCTACAGGGCGGCCAACGGGATAAACACTTAGAAAATGTTTGAGATAATTACCAACGGTTGCCTAAAATGAATTTGGGTCATTTTATTAATTTGGGGTCCACTTTTTTTCCTGTCCCTGTTACATCTGACATCTTTGATTAAATAATTCTGATGCACTCACTATTGCAGTTGTCCTCAAAGAGTGGTTTTGAACGGCAAACTACCTACAAATAAATTAATCATTTGAAGTATTTTTTTAATGATACTTGAATGACAAATTACAAAGTACCAAGGTAACAGGGACAGGAAAAATGTAACACTTTGGACCCTTAATTTAAAGAATGACCATGTTGGACAATGTTGCTTTGAGCAAGATGCTTTGGGGAGAAAGTTGGCGAGCATGTTGACATTTTGTGTGTGTAAATTAAGCAACTTGAAGAGGCAGATTTGAACCTTGAGAAGTTTTAGGGAATTCCAGAGTTAGCAGTTTTAACTAACATCAGGGTAAGCAATTGTTTTCAGAACCACAAGCCAATATCATGGCGATCATAAGCACAGACTTGCGTACCAGAAAATATCTGCTTTATAGCAGAAGCCGGTTACCAGCCAAGATGTCATGCGGTTTTCATTGCATGTGACTGGTTCTTGGCTGGTATTCTGCTTCGCACACAAACTTTCCAAGCAATATTCAATGCTTAATTAACAGGGCCCAATTTCATAGAGCTGCTTAAGCATAAAATTTGCTTAAGCACAAAACAAACCTTGCTTAATATAATCATGTTACCGGCCAAAACTCCATGCGATGTACATTGCTTGTGACTGGTATTTAACTGTTGTTTACTTAGCATAACAATCGCACGGAGTTTCGGTGGGTAACCTGATTATATTAAGCAAACTTGTTTTTGCTTAAGCAAATTTTTTGCCCTGGGCCCTGGTCTGTGAACTGCCACTGAATATTCATGAGGTGACATCACCAAGGGAAGATAGTGTTTGTCAGGGTGTTAATGAAACTACCTCAGAAATTCACAATGCACTTGTCTGGTGCATTTAACACATGCCCGTCCATTCCATGCCTAAAGAACTTGATGACATAAATTTTGGGTACAAAAGAATTGCCAAGTATAGCATGTATAGAGGGGTATGTATTTATGGGAAGTACAGGAATCAGGAAGGGTACTCAATTGAAAAAAAACCCAAGGGGTACCCATTAAAGCAACCCAACCCCAAAATTCCATTTCGGAAGTTTCTGTTCAGATAGTTCACAAAGGTTCGCTTGATAATACTACCACATTGGTGCGTCAGTACAGCAATTCATGCGTGTAAAGTGAGCTTTATACAGCCTGTCTAAAAAAAATGGTACAATCGAAAACGATTTTTTTTCAATATTAAATCTCAACATAAGTAAGTCGTTTTGAGCATCACATTAAAGAAAAAAGACCAGGCTTTCCAATACTTTTTGTTTCATCTCATTTGCTTTTGTCCATACAGAGATAACTCCAGTTTACTGCGAAACACAAAAATCAAGTTTGTGCCACTTTCTGGGTGTGAGCTTCAAGACAGCATGGCACAGTACTCGAAACAACTCTGCCCATGCATAAAAGTGGCACAAAATCTATTTTGGTGTATCGCACTAAATTGATTATATCTCTGAATTGACAAAAGCAAATAAGATCAAACAAATACTATTGGAAAGCCCAGTCTTTGTTCTTTAATATTATGCCAAGTAAGAATGACTTATTTTGAAATTTCATATTTAACCAATTGTTTTTCTGATTGTACCATTTTTTTTTGAGACAGGCTGTAGCTTCTTGGTAAAAACTGCAACTGTCGCGAGCGTCATAAACGTGAAATATGTTTTGTTGTTCCATGTAGCGTGGTTTTCACTTTGAAAATTCCCCACGAATAACATTCAAAACATTTTTTTTTTGTCGTTGTCTGAGAAGTTACTAAGTAAATCTGGAACTGGTTCCTGACATCAGCGGTCGGGTACTCGGGTATCTGGTTCAGACGCACAGCTCTACAAGTTTTAAAAACAATATAAAAATTGCAACTAGTTTTCAACGTCACAAAACTGATGGTACTGAAATCACCAATTAAATTTGCCATATTTCATGTGACTGTGTGTGTGTACATGTGTTCAGCCAAAATTGCACCATTTTATTTCTAGATGAGGGCCAGTAAACTTTATACTTTGTGGTCACGTTTTAGCCGTTAGTATTGACCATTTTTTGTTTATTGTTTAAATATTACAGGTGTACAATGTATAATTTCTCTCGTAGGTTTCAGGGTAGAATGTTTTTAGCTTGGGTAAGTTTGTTTCAGCTTGTGCCAATTGCTTTTTTAAAATTTTTATTTGTCTAGGTTTTACAGAACTATTTTTGTGTGTGTTTTAGGGTTGTAGTAAGTAAGTTTGTATTCAAACAATGTTTTATTGGTTGCATTTGTGCAGATTTTTGAAAATGTTCATTTTGAGGGACAGGGTTATCTATAGAGTTCTGGATGTTTTTGTTTCTTTTTTAAATGTAACATCTTCCATTTTTTATAAATATAGCATTTAGTTTTATTTGGTTTCGCTTATATTGGCAATTTCATAGAATCATTATGGTTTACATGCCGAGGCTCTGCTAAAAAATAATATTTTAAATTTTTATTTCTTCGCCGTGGCGTAACCAGGGGGAGGGAGAAACCCCCTAGCTAATTCAAGGAAAACCTTGAAAATGAGTTCTGATTTTCCAGGCAGGGAAAACTTCGGGAATTCAGGGGAAAAAAACCCAAAGAAAACAGGAAAAACTCAAGACAGAAAATTGAAATAAATTAAAATCATTGTAAGCACAGGCCACCACTCCATTGCATATGGTGAGGAATGGATGACTATAATAAGGGGCTAAGGGAGGCCGTTGCTTGTCGACAGGTTGCCTGTGTATTATCAGTATCTTAGTTGCTTTGCTGCAACTACCTATTGAATTCCAAGCAACCCAGTTAAAATGAAAATATCAGGTACAAGATTTTTCAGACTTTTGTCTGAAATCATCCTGTTGAGAAAGACATTATCAGGGTTGAAAGACGTGCATCTTTCAGACTTTTCACCCAATTCTCAGACTTTCCTAAATTGACAATCTCATCTCCGAAATATTACTCATTGAATTTTGGATATTTACTCAGGTAAATTTCAGGGAAAACTCGAGCCTTGACCAAGGCTATCAGCTTGTTCCCATACGAGCTTGTTCCCGCTACCGCACACCGCGCGCACCGCGACACAATCACTAGTTGTACTATACCGTTAGCCCCAACGACCCTTGCGTGTGCTTTGTGTGCATGTACGTACGCCCCACACACACTTCCGCAAACAGCCGTACAGTAAGTCGAGGCGGAAGAACTCGACTTACTGTACGGCTGTTTGCGGAAGTGTGTGTGGGGCGTACGTACATGCACACAAAGCACACGCAAGGGTCGTTGGGGATAACGGTATAGTACAACATTGTGTCGCTGCGCGCGTGGTGTGTTGTAGTGGGAACAAGCTCGTATGGGAACAAGCTGATAGCCTTGGTCAAGGCTAGGAAAACTCCTGTCAATTTTGTTTTCATAAAGTGCTGGGAACCCTGTGGAGAGCTCAGCACTTAAATGTATTCAACGCCCAAACAAAATGTGCAAATACAATAACTGCAATTGAATTTCATTTTTGGAACGGTAACTTGAGTTCTATTCATAAGATGAATTTGCATCATAAAAGACATCTGCACTAGAAAGCAGGAGGTCGTGGGTTCGAGTCCCACCTGAGTGATTTTTTTTTTCCAACTTTCACTCGGGGGCTAACACCTCAGCATACAGTGTTTATACGTCGGTAAAGGGCAAAACCTAATATTGATGAACTGGAGTTATGTACATGTCACAATGAAACTGCAAGGGTAGGTTTGGGGAAATTCACTCCTGTCAGGAAATTCACTTTCTTTCTTCATTCTTCCGAAAGAAAATTCTTTTCTTTACTATATCTTCATCATGTGAAAGGTAATAAGAACACAAGTACACAATTTTGAAGTACTATTGGTAGGAAGAGCCGCCTACCTCGCCGAGAAAAACTGGAAAATCCAGATTGACAATTGTTCAATTGAAAACCAATACCAGGCACTAAGGGCCGCTTAAACTTGACACAAAGGTCAAAGTGGCGCAGCATCAGTTCGGCGCCCAACACCGACGGTGGCCACGTAAAACCCCCATCGTGGGAGGAACCGTGGGCGCGACCCAAGTGTTGGACAAAGGTCACGCACCCTTGCTCCGAATGACACTGCGTACTGATGCCCAAGCGGGCGGGAGGGTTGGGGAGAGCGAGATAAGGTTGCTCAACCGAGAATGAAGTTGAATAGGCAACTTGGCATTTATAAGAAACGGCTTCACAAAGAGTTACGTAACAAAGCGCGCAAGGAATTAGCGCGCTGCACCTGTCTTACGATAACGTAAAGAAAAGTCACTTTTGAGTGAAGTATAAGCCAGTCTAAAGGTTGGACAATAACTGTAATTTCTTTTGATCACGTAACCAAAGATTGAATGCATCAAAGAAAGTATAAGAGAAGTACATGAAATGCCTATCAGTGACAAAACTTAGTTAATTTTGCTCAGTTGATGACAATCGTTTGATGACAATCGTCAGTACAAAAAGGCAATTTTTTGTTGTAATTGAAATAATGCACATGGTCTCTTTTAAAAGTTACATTTTTTTTTCAGATCTATGTGCTGTTTTTAGCCAGACAGCTGTGCAAGTGTCATTTCCGTTTCACATTCTATTTTCCTTCCACGAAGTTATGAATTTTATGTCTTCAAATAATGTGCAGTTTTGTTTTGGGGTGGGTTTTTGTTTTTTCGGGGTTTTTTTTGGCTTCAATTTGTAGTGTGTTTGTATATTGCAATTGTGTTTAAATTTGCAGAAATTTCATCGCAACAGTCTTCCGTTTTGTCTTTGTCATTTACTTACCAATAAACACTACAAGCATAGGAAACTTCAAATTCAGTTGTACTGGGGTGTATATAATTCTGTTGTTTTATTAGGTTCATCTCTCAGTTTTTAATATTCTATATAATATACATCTCATAAAAAAACGTGCTCCTTAAAGTTGCATTCCCTGTCCTATTGTCGTTGCATTTCTTAAGCAATACAAAAGTTATTCACTTTCGAATGAGAATGGAGAATGAGACATGGACTATCTAACCCTGTGCAGCGTTTACAAAAAATGTTTACACAAACTCGCCAACTGGGGCCCTTTGGGCCACAGGTACTTCCCCGCACTGCGCAAGACCCTATTCATGTCAAAACAACAAAAAGCCACGTGCCAGACAGTGTCCAGGCAGTTGCCAGACAGGGCACTTAAAAGATAACTGACTGGCGGCTGTGGTTTGCGGCTATGAAGGGAGATGGCTGTGTCAAGTTACAGGTGTTTGTATATGTTTCAATGAGACTTGGCAGGAGGCCTGGTCGAAAGTTTGTTGACACGGCCTGGGTGAAGCCCTGGCTGCAAAGTTCATTGAACCAGCTTATTTGGCAAGGGTTGAATGAGGATTAGATGGAAGGTGACCGTCATTGGCCCTCAATTTTTTTTTTAATTCAAAAAATTCAGTCACCTGATCGTAAAATGGAACCAGGTCACTCTGCAGAGGGCTAAAAAATCAGACCATGTTTAGTATTTGAATTTTTACTTAACAAATTTTGAATTCTTGTTGATGTCCCCCGACGTGGCGCGGCCCCTAACGTGGCACACTTTGATTTTTCGCCTCTAGTGCCTTGCTAGATTTCCCTTCAATTTCAAGCTCTAAACATTCCCGTTCATAAATCCTGAGTTTACCTCCCCGTTACTAATTTAACAGAAACAAATTATCTCGGTGTGATTTTCCGATTTTATTTTGAAGTGCGCAATGAACTCTTTAAAAATGCACCCAAAAATTATTTTCTGACAAACTTCTAGTTGGGCATGGGAGTGGACACAATAATTGTTTAATAATCAGAATTTGTCAACTTTGAAGAAATGTTTAAATGTTAACTTGGGATTCTCTGAGATCTGTTCAGGTGCTCCACATTAGGAAACACTCGGCCGATTTTCTGCCTAATTTCCGGATGCCACCGTTTTTTGAATTTCGGCCTACATTTCATGACACTGAAATTGTTCACAAAGGTTCAGTAGCAAGCATTATTAAAGGGAGTGTACATCATTGGCTTTTGCTGTAATTGTCAGAAATGAACTATTTGATGAGGGGTTAGTATAATAGATCAAATGTTGTTACACTGACGTGTGAAGTTTTGTGTTCGAAAATGCTGGAAAACCAAGAAAAAAAACAAATGTTCAAGTAGTCTGGTTCCCTGACTCCACTGAAGATGAAGTGGATTAATTTATAGATGCCAGAAAATTGTAAGGTAAGGGAACCAGTCTAGCTGGCCTGCACCCGTTCAGGAACATGTAACCAATAGCAAACACAATTTCGACTGAAAAAAAAAGTAAATTTGGAGCAGTAGTTGAAAAATAGTTAGGTTTTTCCAACGGTGGTCGGCCGACCACCGTTGGAAATGTATACAAAAATACAACTTTCTTGAAAATGACTTCACACCAGGTGCCCTAATTTTGCAGGATGCTTTACACTGTCATTTACCAGCATCCTAGTAAGGTATTTTGTAAAAACTTGGTAGTTTTATTTTTCGATGCTTGCAAATGTTGTATTTTCCCTTTAAGGTAAAAGTGCCAGTATTTAAGTGAATGAATTTGAAGTTTGTTAACAGAGGTTTTGCAACACTGTATGGAGAAAGTTGAGGGAAACGTCGAAGTGCGCAACGTTAGGGGACTCCACTATACTAGCGGCACGACAATAATTCCGTTCTTGGCTGGTTCCTGCCCCATAATCAGTATCGATAATGTACGGACCAGTAACCAGTCTGCTCACAAGGCGGATCCGTTCGTGCCTTTCATAAAAACCCCCTTTTGTTTGTTGGAATAAACCATACATGTTGCAATTTGTTTAGAGAAAGAAAAATGGTATTTGTTGAAAAGCATGAGGAAAGAAACTTTAACATGACTGACAAGATGTTATTCTTGATTCTGATGGTAGACACTAGTCCTCTACATTCTGCATTTTATGTGTCTTGCAAGATGGGACGATATCAAAGTTGATCCAGAAGTCTTGGAATGTTCTTGGCATATTCACCTCTGTGGGGGTTGATCTCGCCGTAAAACTGACAAAAAAAAAAAAAGAAGGAAGTTGCAAAGGAACGTTAGATACAAAAAAATGATAAAACACTGAGCAGAAAGCGAGGTAAACTTTTCCAAATGAAGAAATCACGACAACGTAAATATTGTTTTGCACTTCACTGATAACACAATTTTTAAGCACAATTTGCTTACAGCTTTCTATGAGCTTATGAGGACCTTTACATATCGAGAAAGAAACTTTACTTAAAGTTTAACTGCAAAAGCTTCTTTAGGCATTTCTTATTACTGACCAATTCATGTTAACAGTGAAACTGTAGTTACCTTGTGAGTTGGAAAGCCCTCATGCGGTGGTAGGGCAGTTGACGGACAGTAGACATCATTCAGCGTCAGCCATATTGCGTCCGGCTCCAGTTCTGCAAATGCTTCAAAGCTCTCCAATGCCACTGTCTGCAGCATCTCAGGCTGCCTGGCGCTTAAGTAAGGCAGGCAGGCGGTGGCCATCTTGGCTAGTTCCCCGCCTCCCATGCCCGTATTGGTGCACACTGGGCCCACACAGTGGAGGATCGCTGACTGCAGCTTGCAGGCCGAGGTATGGCGGTAGGCCGGCCCTGCCTTCTCACTTGAGCAGAAAGTAACCACAACAGTTGGGTTGTTAGAAAACAAGAAACTATAACTCCAACCACCTTAGATTTGTTTTTATTTAAAAATTAAAACTTAAAAAATCATTTGAGACTTGGGCTAGACAACTACTGGACGTCTGTTCTGGGGAGTATAAACACAGCCTCATTCTCACAGACAAATAATGTCTATTGCATAATTGTCATCATGACCTCCGACCTTAGGTCATCAATTTAAATATTTACTTGTGCACACATACATGTAAACAATGCATTCTGTGTCCATGCATATTTAAGAATTAGACCAATCAGCTACAGAGAATAAACTAAAGCACTCATTGCAGTGTAGATTCAACCAATGAAATCACAAATTGTGATGGTCAATGCCTGTCCACTTACGTCAGGTCCCTTCTCCAGTCTTGTCTCAGATTTTGCACGTTCCGCATCCATTTGTATATCACGCAATTGGACAATATTTCACAAGCTGCGCTCACGCAATTCTAATGCGATTCTACCGCAATAGGTCAATTTCTAACCAACCAACAAGTATTGCGATCCAGTTCGCGCATAAATGACCGATTTTTGCTAGGCGGTGTGCATTTACGGATGGTATGGGAACGGGGTACCCTACTGAAAAAAAATACGGGTACAGGTACCTGTAAAAGAAACCCAACCGCAAAATTCAAATCCCGGAAGTTGTCTGACAGGCTTTATAGCTTTACGGTGTAAACAGCAACTTTGGCGAGCATCATCTGTCGCGCATTACGATGCACATTACTGTGAAATCTGTTTTGGTTTTCAATTTGAAAATTCCCCACAAATGACATTCAAACCCTTTCTTGGTCATTGTCTGAGAAGTTACTAAGTAATTGGTAAAGTTGGTTACAGGTACCCGATCCCATAATCTGGAACCGGTTTCTGACATCAGCAGTTGGGTACTTGGGTACCTAGTTCTGATGCACATGTACACCCCTAATCTTTACCCAGGTTGGTTGAAAAATTCAAAATTCAACTGGTATCCACCTGATTTTGGCTTGGGCTTCCAGGAAGGACACCAGTTTGGGCCACACATCCTTAATGACCCGCTTCTGTATGAAATCCCCACCTGTGTCCGCCATGGTCTGCAGCGTTTGACATGCCCTGCAGGTTACCAGTTGATCGGTATCTTGGAATCGTTGCACGAAGGCTGGCCACAGTCTGTGAATTAGAGGAAGGAGCTCATCTGCAAGGAAGGAAAAAAAGTGCTTTATGTTAGGAAAAAAACAATCATCAAATATTGAACGCAAAACCCCAAGAGTCCCTTTATGTATCAAGGGACACATTTTTATAAATTTGCGTTAGTAGTTGGTTTGTAATTGTGCGAATTATACGTGAATGGGTGCGCACAAGCATTGACATGAAGCAAACACACGCTAGGTTGCCATTATTCGTCGTTTCAGTGCATGACTTCGGGTACCTGCAATTGGCTGAATGAGAACATGTCCCGGATGCCGATTTTCGGGCGCAATCATACTATGATTGGCAACTTTTGAATTGAAATCGAGATCCTAGAACATTGTTATACAGCAGTCACAGAGCTAAAACTTCATCAAGTTAGTTGTTCAGCACATACCCCTAAGATGTTTAGCACTTTTGTTGCTTCAAATGAAAACAAATGCACAAATTACGAATGGTTCACTCTGCCTTTAAATGGTTCACTGGTGACAGATCTTCACACAAAAGTGTAACAAGGATAGACCCAATAAACTTGACTAAAAAATAAATCCCATAAATGTTGTACTTTAACAACGTTTTCTTCCGGGGAAAGTTCCTTCACATTTTACCTTGGTGATTCTGCAGTGCCAACATCCCATGCCTAACAATCTCCAGAACCTTCAGACGTAATCTCGGATCATTGGCCGAGAGAAAGTGAAGGCATCTCTCCAGGACCTTAAAAACAAGAATTCAAAAAAAATTAACATAATCTGCAAAAACACAATGAATTATTCTGGAGCCAGAGATGTAGCTGGAGCTTAAAGCAAACCAGAGGCTTCGGAAACCATGCTTGATGAGTAGGCACAAAGTGCCCTCTATAGTTGGCACAGAGCCAACATAGACAGCAAGAATAATCAAAATACCTCCTTGACTGTCTTGACATGCATTGGTAGCACTTTCTCCCTATCCACTTCGTCCCCATGCTCAACCCCCTCCCCGGTCGCTTCACTCAGGTCCTCCGCAATGTCGCCCTCTATGTCCTCCTCTCGTACGTCACCCTCGGCGATGCGCTTCAGGCGCAGGTGTTCAAGGAAGAAATCGCGGATGGATTCATGAGTGACAGGGTGATCATCGGTAGGGTCAGGATCTTGGCTGGTGGGACCCCCATCGTGCGCTGACTCCGAATCTGCCTCAGTTTCTGATGAGGTCTGGTTCTCCTGTTCAAGAAAAAGAAAATAAGACACAACTAACATGAGCAATTCACAATGTATAGAAAAGCTATCACTGGTGGTACAAATCAGTGCATTAGTGGAAAATGCTGACATCTGTTTGCATAAATATTGCCAAGTGGTGTCTGTTTGGAACTACGAAACTGAAGACTTCAAAGTTTTTAATTCAACATTTGGGATTGAAATTAGAATTTCTGTGAATAGAAATGATTTGCATTCACAAAGTGTCCAAATGCATTGGTTTTGTGTGGATTGTGATGCATGATGCATCAATGTTTGGCCGAGACTTTCGGACCCCCCACATCATGTCGCCTCCCAACTTCTCAATTGTAATGGCTACCTTGCCTGCAGGGAACCACCTGTAGATGGCTATGACTAGTGTCTTCAAGACATCCATCATCATGGCAGCCAGCTCCTTGTGGTACTGGTCCAACGTCAGGAGAATCTGTAATTCAATTCAATAATGGTTTATTAAAAGCATGTCTCGCAGTTAAAAAACTGAATTGCACATGTTAACATACCATCTTTAAAAAATATTATACTACCTAAAACACAACATGATTAAGTAAAAAAAAAACCTAAACATTAAAATACATGTACATAAAAAAAATACTTAAACATAACAATATTGTGGACATATAGTATTAAAAGTCATATTAAATTTTTTATTACAATGAGTCAAGGGCGGATCCAGGGGGGGCCAAAGGGGGCCATGGCCCCCCCCCAAAACGAAACCGATTTTTTTTTTTTTTATGTGACATCGCAATAAAGGCAGGCAATGAGTACACCACCATCTTTTCCTCAAAAAAACATTGGTTAAAGTGGTCAGAAATTGCCTCAGATCGCACCACAGAGCATCTAGAATCCAAAAGATTTTCAGGGCCCTTAAGCGGGCCCCGAACCCCACGCCAGAATTTTTTTGACCCACTTTTTTGGGGGACCACATTTTTTTTTGGCCCCCCCAAAAATTGTGTTCTGGATCCGCCCTTGCAATGAGTTTACAATTTTGACAAGTTGCAGGAGTACACTGTCAGTGAACTGTTTTGTGCGACACTTGTACTGATCGTACTTCTGTGTATATCTTAAGTTAATAGAGTTTTTTTGTTTGAGGTCGTCACCAATCTTTGCACACACTGCGAGATTCAATTGACAGGGCAAAATCTCTACACATTTTCTGTCGTCTTTCCTGAAGTGTTTCAAGGTTGTACAAGTTCACAGCATTATCATAAACTGATGTAATTTTTGCCGAGTATGATTTGGCACACCTTTTTGACAGCAAATAGATGTACACAAATTAACAAAAAAATCCATATGGAAACCAATCCTGTTTCTGGTCTGCAAAGTTGGGGACTACCGATCTACACTACTGCTAGACTGTTGGAAAATGCTTGTAAGCAAGCTCGGGCGCTTTATTTCAGACAAAAAGTCTGGTCGAATAGTAACACTGTTTCACGTTACAGATTAAGTAAAGCCATAGGCCTACTCCAGAGATATGACTCTTCTGGATGTGAGTTTGTTTCTGCATTCAATAGGGGATGTTGAACAATAGAGAACAATAGGGTCCCCAATTCCCGAGAGGTCCCCTATTTGGATTCGTGTACAAAACATATGGGAGGTCTTCCTAAACAGTTAGAGTACAAACAAAAGAGGGACAATAGGGGGTCCCCGATTGCAGGCAAATACACACTCGTGTGTGCATGAGTTTGTTTCTGCATTCAATAGTTGGACGTTGAACAATGGGGTCCCAATTCTCGAAAGGTCCCAATTTGGCGATGTGTACAAAACATATGGGAGGCCTTCCTAAAAAGTTAGTACAAACAAAAGAGGGACAATAGGGGGTCCCCAATTGCAGGCAAATACGCTCTTGTATTGTATTACGCTCGAGGACAGACAACAAAAGGAGCACAAAGGGGCCTTTAGTGATCCTCGGATGACGGTGCCTATTGTTAAAACCGGTCCTCGATCATACGGTTATGTGCTTTGTCTATGGAAAAGTGTTATATTAGAGGGACAAAGGGAAACACAATAGGTTGTCCTCAGGCATATAGTAAAACACGACTGTGTGCACTTTTGTGTGTGTGTGGGAGGAGGGGGGGGGGGGAGGGGGTGTTAATATATTACTGGAGCAATAGTTTACCTCATCTATGGTGTCCTGAAGTAGAGGCAGCATTTCCGCATCACTAAACAAACAAAGCAGATCGGTAAAGCAAAGTCAAGTAATTCTGTTTCATGAAGAAAAGCAACATTGGAAATTTTAAGAGGACACCCAAGCAAGCTTTATTGTCCCTTCCTACTTTTCTCTCGTCCTTTTGGTATTTTCATTTCTGGTGGTGACCCCTTCATGTGACGAGGATACAAGTTGGTGAACATTGAGATGAAAATTTGTCATGCTTCCTTCGTGCTATATGTGCACGGCAACAGCAGTGTTTTTGCGTGGACCTACTTTTGTGGGGTAGTCACACAAATCAAACTATAGTACCAATCAAGCCAGGGATGACAGGAAAACAATGCGCGACCTGAAAAAAACAAAATGTAGTATTGTGTGCATGCATGCTCCGGCCCGAACTAGACCGTTGTCCCACCTCAACCTTGTGTCCTTGGGCAAGACACTTGACTACAATTGCCTCTCTCCACCCAGGAGTATAAATGGGTACCTGTGAGGGCAAAGGACAGAATGTGCGCTGATATCGGCTGCTGCGTGGTCTCGTGGCCTGATGAGGGAATAATTGTAAAAGTGCTTTGAGATTGTTGATATGATAGAACTATATAAGCATTTGATTTCTTAAACATGTTAAACAATATAACAATTTTGCCTCATGGAATTCATACCTGTGTCTGAGAGTGACTTGGAGAACCAGCGGAGCCTTAGGGTTCATCTCTAGGTGTCTCAGGCCGGAGGAGATGGCGTCTACCAGGTAATCTGCGTTAGAGCTCAGAAGAGCTGGGATGGTCTGGTACCCGCATGCCATGCAGATCTGTACCATGGTGGCGTAAGCTGATTGACTGATCATGGGTAGAAGGCACCAGATAATTGCATTCATTTATAATGTTGCAGATGTGTGTATCTCTTAAAAGTTTTAATATTTTAAGAAAATATCATTTTAAACTAAATTTCAAAGCACTGTCGGATGTCATCTACCTATTGCCTACCCATCTAATGGTTTTAAGATGAGCTAGTTTTAAGCTCTTATGCATGGTTTCAAGATTAGCTACATAACTGTTACGTTAAACTTTTCAGCACATATTTTGGTCCCTTCGGTACAAACCAATTTTCATGCAGAAAATTTTGAAAGTTTTATTCTGACAGTTTACCCATTCCTATTGGTTGAGAGCTGGTCACATGGGTGGTTGTAAACAGTTGATAATAAAGGCTGCATCCGAATCAACTGTCTAGAGCTAGGTCTAGGTCCGCGCCCATTGAAAATACGCGGGGACGCGCTGACAATAGACGTAGCCGTAGCTCTGGAAGCCCGTTTCGGACACAGCCTCACTAGCTAGCTGGTTTCAAACATTCTTCCGGTGTCACATGAAATTTGAACTCCCATGAAATCTGGCCCCTTTTACCCTTGTATTGGTTGAGTGTTTGCATTCTCACTTAGGCATGCGCAACACTACCAATGAGTTCGTATTTCGAGAGCCCTAAATTCACACTACACCGGCACCGCCACGTTTTGCGCCACAACGCGGAGTACGTAAGCCAATCTCCATATCAGAAGATGTTACAACTACTCGCAACTGGCTCACACCATAACATAGCTAGAGGGGTGTTTAAAAAATAATGAAGTAAAACGATTGAATGAAATGTTTGGAAATTTATAATTTTTCGATTTCTTTTGACTTTGTGACTGAAAGGTATTTATGATTGGGAAAAAATATGTGCTTGGCTGGTATTAAAGATATAGTCCATCATTTGTAATTTGTGCATTTTGTTCGTTTGAAGCAACGAAAGTGCTCAAAATCTAAAGAAGGGTACTGAACAACTTACCTGATGAAGTTTCAGCTCAGCTTCAGCTGTATATTCCGAGAAAAACAGCATTCTAGGATCTCAATTTCAAATAAAAAGTTGCTGAATCATGTTTTGAACTGGGCCTGAATTCAGCGTCCGAGACACGTTCTCACTGAGCCGATTGCAGCTACGCGATATCGCGCACTGATCCGACGAATTATAGCAGCCGCGCACCCGTCGTGCCAACGCTTGTGCGCGCTTCGCCGAATAAAAAAAGAAGAACTACTAACGGAAATTTCCAACGGTGCGTCTTAAGACGCACCGTTGGAAAGGCCTTCTTTCGTTGATTACTGCAAAATGACAGCTTGCCAGAAAGAATAATTTCACAGAAAGTTTAGTCCCCTTACTATCTTTCAACCAAGTATGTTTTTCAACAATAATTACGCCAGTTACTTTTCGGATAGCTGCAAATGATAGACTATAGCTATAAGCAAGTACATTTAACACCAGCTCAGGGGCTTCGATGCAGATAATGTCTCTTGCCTATCAGCGTAAAGGGCCCTGAGCAGGTATTAAACGTAAATGTTTATAATTGGCTAAGCACATACTGATTCCCTTTGTAAAACACAGTGATATGGTTCTTGCCACACTACTGGCAAAGAAAACCCCTAGATCCACCAAACTGATCGAGAAAGAAGTTTAGGAGGATTTCGCAGGACTGAGTAAGAGCCCAGCCATATTAGTTTTCCGTACAGGGCATGCTGTCCCTTGGAGAATGTACCACTCGTTTCATGGTGGAAAAATGCTTTGGGTATTACCTGATGATTGACTTCTCGTCAGCTAGTTTCTCAAAGACCGAGTAGAGACATTCCATCAAAAGAAGATTGAATGCTGGTCCTAAAACCTAAGGTCAGAAAAAGAGAAAACATTCATTAAAGACATAGTCCATCATTTGTAATTTGTGCATTTTGTTCGTTTGAAGCAACAAAAGTGTTCAAAATCTAATGAAGGATACTGAACAACCAACCCGATGAAGTTTCAGCTCAGCTTCAGCTGTATATTCCGAGAAAAACAGCATTCTAGGATCTCAATTTCAAATCAAAAGCTGCTAAATCATGTTTTGAATTGTTTTGAATTGCAGCTTAACGCGATGTCGTGCACTGATCCCACGAATTATAGCAACTGCCTTGCGCCTGTGTGTCGTGCCAATGCTTGCGCGCGCTGCGCCAAATAACAAAACAAACTACTAATTTAAATTTTCCTACGGTGCTTCTTAAGACGCACCGTTGGAAATGCCTTCTTTCGTTGATTTCTTCAAAATGAGAGCTTGCCAGAAAGAATAATTTCACAGGGAGTTTAGTCCCCTTACTATCTTTCAACCAGTATGTTTTTCAACAATAATTACGCGTGTTACTTTTTTGGATAGCTGCAAATGAGGGACTCTGGCTTTAACCAGTTCACATCGGATGACGTGTACACAGGCAAAGGTTTTGAGGTATTAGGATCAGATGACGGATAAACACGCAATGAGTGAGGCCGCAAATATCTGTCAGCAACCCGCTCGCAACGAGTGAGTCCAGAAATATAAGAGTGTGCTACCCACAGATGACGGCCTGAACCTGTCTGACATCGAGGTTTGTGAAAAACAATCCCGCACCTGGGTCTGTCCGATGTCAAAATAATCTGATGTCTTAAACAATGCATCATGTATAGTTTTTGATTGAAATACTCAGTATTTCTATTAAAAAAACGACAACAACAAAAATTTATTGCATCGGGAGATGTAAATATCATTATAAAACAAAACAAAAAAAATTAAAGAAAAATACCTGGGCAAAAGCTCCAATCCCTTCCAAGAGCAGACTTATCAGCAGCACATTGCTGTTTAGCACAGCCAATGAAATGCTGCCTCTCTCCTGCTGGGAGACAACCAGCCAATTAGCTGTGTCCTTATGAGCCGGGGCGGCCTCTGATTGGCCAGGAGTTGTGGGGAGATTCCAATACGCAGGCAACAAGTATTCTTGAAGCAAAGTCCTGAATAAATTCAGAAAAAAAAACAGGTAAAGAAATTAGTCAAATTACAGCATGTAATATTATTATATTATTTTTCTATAAAATAAAAAACAGCCCCAAAAAAGTTACCGAACGGCAAGCTCTATTTCCTCTGTATCTCTCAAAGCTGGACTGGCTGACCCTTCCCATGATGCCTTGTTGCTATCGTCAAGCCGCGTTTCCACGGTACCCAGCATAATCTCATTCAGGATGAGGACGGCCTGTTTCCGATGCGATGTCGACTCGTGGAAGAGGTCCAGAAAGTGGTCCACAAGAAGGGTGATATTTCCTGCAAATGTAATAATAAATGGCAAGTAAGGATTGTGGCAATGGTGAAAGGTTGACAGTTATATCAAAGTTCAGTTATTCCAACTGTGTTTAACCGGCACTGGAACCGTTAAATCTTAATAAACACATCTCGCTGTTTATGTGTTCATAAAAAAAGCACTAAAAAAAGAACAAGTTTAAAAAGCAATTAAAAAGAAGAAGGCACTATGTATGCAGTGCTAAATTCAACATTGAGTTTTAGCTTTCGATGACACAATTTATTTTAAAATAAACCACAAGGGAAAACCGACTAGGTACATCATAATAATTTTTTCAAAGCTGAACAATGACTAAAGCGGGGTTTGAACCTGCGACCTCCGGATTGACGTTCCGGTGCTCAACCAACTGAGCTATCCAGCCTTATGTTGGCAGTTCTGCAATTTGTCAATATCTTTGTTCAAGGGGCGCTAGTCAAAAGCCATAAACCTGTATATATGTCATGGAGCCACGGATCACACCCGAAGTCACGACGCTATAAACCATTAATTATCATGTTTTGCGGCCATCTGGGTAACCAAAGTGAGGCTGGAAGGAAACATAGTCTGGTTCCTTTTTGCACAAAAAACATTATCATTCAGTACTGTTATTGGATACGGGAAACATGACTGAAATGGTGGCAATATCATAAAGGTCTATAGCAACATTAGGAAAGCTGCAAACTTGGGAAATAGGAAACAGGATCACTCAGAGATGATACAGCTTTTCAGTACAAAGTTAAAAAAAAAAACACAAAAGGAAACTGAATAGATGCATTATAATAGTTGTTATCAATAAAAATACGTCGGTGAAGGGCACAACCCGATATTGAAATACCGGTAATATCTCCCTCATGAAAATTCCCTCCTATGAATCGGTCTGGTTGTGGTACCCACTGCTATATATCAGAATCGAACCAGCCAACCGGCCCTCGCAATCTTCTTGGTTGACTGGTAAAACATCTAGACTAGTGAGCTGGTCGTCGGTTCAAATCCCACCCGAGTAAGCTTTTCAAGCCCTCAGACAACATTGAGCATATAGTGCTTACACCAATACATATACTTAGTTATTATCTTTTTTTAACAAATGATGGCACACAATTTAACTATCAATTATATTAAACTTTAAAAAAGTACATAGTTTACATCCATGAACTTTTTTTGGAATCATCATTGTCTCTTACCTGCACCCACCTGTCAGACAATTAGGTCTGTTGGTTCTTGAAGTGTGTTGAAAGTATGAGAACATTTTGTTGAATCACTTGTCGAGTAGGCAGTCTAGTTGTATCAAACATTAACTCTAAACCCTTTTCTGCGATAGCCTTGAAAAAATTTTTTTTTGCAACCCAAGCTGTTATGACTTTTTAGCCTCGAGCCTTGCATATCTTTTGATACTAAAATATTAAAATTGGAGCACGGGTTGCCGCGCAGCGAAACATTTTCATTGAAAACTTAATTGTCCATACACGTCGTGTACATCGTGTACATCTTGTACGTCGTGTGCAGAATTACCATTCCTACATATGAATAATTAATTAGCCATTATTCCAAAACCCTTTGACCAATAGTCATGAAATTTCTTGGGTATGTTCATGATGAGTTGCTCTATGCATGTGCCGAGTTTCAAAATTTTTCGTCACTCGATGGTCGAGATCTTAGGGGATCCCCCCCCCCCCCCACTGGCTGAGAGATGGTCAAAATAACCCGGCCCTTTTAGGGTTAAACAAACAATTCTGCATGCTGATAGAGTACATAGTTTTCTATCAAATCACTAAGACGATATTCAAGTTCAAAGTCTCCTGTACTCTTCAACACTGATAACCTACATGAACAAATATTCTGTGTTTGCACTTTAGCATTTTTAACTGTGGATTCTGTTAATATTTAAACACCATTCCAACTTCATAATATGCATGATCAAATGTAACCTCTGTATGCCTAAAAATAAAAAGGGGAGTATACCATTTGCCACTTTTGCACGTAGTCACTGACATGCCGCCATTTTATCATATACATCAACGCAACTGTGTTTCATCCGAGACTAACCATCGGAAGAACAAGTGTACCTGCATATAATAAAGTAAGTTCCTTATAAACAGCTAAGGACATACATACTGAAATTTGTATCCTTGTGGAGACATTTCTTTGTTCTCGTGTAACAAAGTTTTCGAGTTTGAAAGTGAAGTTTCAAAATGCTCTTATTTTAACCAGAATTAATTTCCTTGGCTGAAATTCGGACTTAATATCCCTTTTCTAAAACTCTTCCATTTGCAACGGATCAACCCACATTGCAAATTCCTAGTTTTTGAGTAAAATCCATATATCTATTTCGTGAAAACCTTGTGGAGAGTGGAGACGTATTCATTTGTAGAAATTGCCCTGTGGAGACGTATACAATCTTTTGTTCCCTATTGTGTGCACGTCTCCAGAGGGCACGGTGTATCAGATCCAAATGATTATTCTTGTTTATATATTGTCCATTGTGTGTGAACCAACAGTTAGGACAGCATTTGTAGAATGCGCACAAATTTCTTGTGCACCACATGTCCCCCTTAAAGCTACAGTCCATCATTTGTAATTTGTGCATTTTGTTCGTTTGAAGCAACAAAAGAGTTCAAAATCTAATGAAGGATACTGAGCAACTAACCTGATGAAGTTTCAGCTAAGCTTCAGCTGTACATTCCGAGAAAAACAGCATTCTAAGATCTCAATTTCAAATCAAAAGTTACTGAATCATGTTTTGAATTGTTTTGAATTGCAGCTATACGCGACGTCGCGCACTGATCCGACGAATTACAACAACCGCGCGCGCGTGTGCGTAGTTCCAATACTTGTGCGCGCTGCGCTGAATAACAAAACGAACTACTAATTTAAATTTTCCTACGGTGTTTCTTAAGAATCACCGTTGGAAATGCCTTCTTTCGTTGATTACTTCAAAATGACAGCTTCCCAGAAAAAATAATTTCACAGGGAGTTTAGTTCCCTTACTATCTTTCAACCAAGTTTGTTTTTCAACAATAATTACGCCAGTTACTTTTCGGACAGCTGCAAATGATGGACTTTAGCTTTAAACAAAAGGATTTTGACCCCTCCCCTAACAACAAATGTAAAAATTATCATGCACAATGTATCCTGAATTTCTGACAATCAGTTTGGCTTTTGTTAGGCAGGGTGCTGCAGTAATTAATCCAGAAGATGAGTGCAGATGACTATTTTTTAATGATCATCTTCTTATCCTCCCAACAAACAATGTGAATAAAAAGAGAAATTACAAGAAAAGGGCAAAAAGGGTGCCTCTAGCATTACAGATCCATACAACACTAATCTGTTTTGTTCCAAACTTTAAAAAAAAAATCACATTAAATTTATATCAAGTCAAATGGATAAACACCGTGACCGAATCAAAAGATGTGCCCTGTATAAAATAAATGAATTGCAGTTTTGGGGGTTTTGATTCATAGATTTCGTAGGTTTCTTTTATCGGACTGCACAGGATGTTTACACACATGGAGTTCACTGTCAATCTAAATTTTCCAAATTTATAGTCATACTACTTTTCAATTAAAAGTGGAGTTTTGCACTTTCCTTTCAAGGCAATGATACATGTAGGTGTCCTTTTTGTTATTAATTCAGTTGTTGGACGTCTCTAAGAAAGAAAGATGGCATCAAGACAGCCTAATGTCACTGCTCAATTTGTGTTGGGTAAGATCAGTCGAGATCATCTGGAATGCCCCATTTGCAAAGACCGTTTCACTGAGCCTAAAATACTTGACTGTCTGCACAGTTTTTGTCAGGAATGTCTCAAAGAAGTTAAACAGCGTCAACGTCCACAAAAATCAAAACTTGTGTGTCCCCTCTGCAGACGTGAAACCATACTAAAGGGAGACGTTTCCCATTTGCCAAGTGACTTCAAACTGAGTGCCTTGGTGGATGAGGTCAATGTCCATGAAAAGCTACTCGAAGGTCAAAGGTCGCAGCTCAACTGTCAAGCCTGTGACCAAGAGAATCAGGCTGTGTCAAGATGCATGGATTGTGATCATTTTCTCTGCAAAGAATGCCAAGCAGTGCACGGGCGTATGACTTTAATGAAAACGCATAAAATCTACTCGCTGGCCCAGCTTCAATCAGGAGAGGTAACTTACAAGAGTAAGATTAGAGAGTACACTCCAAAATGTGCCAGGCATTCCGATCAAAATCTCACTATTTACTGTAACACATGTGAGAAGTTGGTGTGCACAACTTGTGCTATTACGGTAGATCATGAGAGACACTCTTGTGTTGATCTATCCCAAGCTGTCGACAAGTGCAAACAAGATGTTGCTAGAATGTCTGCAAAAGCTAAACAAAACAAAGCAAAACTGAAAACAAACATAAGTGAAATAGATGCAAACTACAAAAAACTGAATACCATGTATGCAGACACAACCAAGAAAATCTCCAGTAAGGCTGACAAGGAGGTTGCTAGAATCACGAAGGAGATCAGACAGGAAGAGCAGAAACTGAGGCAAGAGGCAGATACATTCTTCAAAGACAGAGCCAAGACATTGAAAACTGCTCGTGCCACAAACAGCAGCCGTCTGACTCAGACTGAGAAAAAACTGCACGAGGTTACCAACTTCGTGACTCAAGCAAGTTGCCATGAGCTTCTTGATTTCAAACCTAAACTCCTGTTTAATCTGAAAGAATCGACCCAAGAACAATCTGAGAAAGGGCCGGACAGTATGTCCTCATTTATGGATTTTGAGGAAGGTACTGGGACGTCACTTGGGAGGCTGGTGCTGGAAGACTCACCAACACCCAGCTCAGATGTCACAGCTAAGGGTTCACAGACACGGTGGAAGCTTAAAAGACCGATGGAAACATTTGGACCAACAAAGAAAACATTTGGCTTGGTTGATGAAATTGCCACATTATCTAACAATGAAATTGTCGCGTTAGACAGGAAGCATAACAAGTTAATCACTCTTCAGTCTGATGAAATTTCACAAGAACTGCAACTTGCAGGTCTCACTGAACCAAGCCATGTTACAGTAAACAGGGATGATGAAATTGTTGTTCTTGACAAACCCTCTGTCAAGATCTTCAAGAAAGGTGTGTCGTCCTGCCTCCATCAGTTCCAACCAGGTCGGGGGATATTGACAAGCGACACCCCAACCTGCCTTGCAGTGGATGGTGGGGATGTGATCGCAGTGGGTTACGAGAAACAGAAAAGGATCTCACTGCATAAGAGAGATGGATCCCTCATCAGGAGAATACCTGCTCCAATGATTGGGTACAATTTGACAATCTATAAGCAGCGGCTTTTCTACACCTACAATGGAGACAACAAGACACTTCTACTGTCAGTTGACATATATGGTCACATGGTCTTTACAGTTGATATTCCCAGCAACAATGAAGGGAAGTGGCATGCTGGTGGTCTGTGTTGCGACAAGGATGGCAACATATATGTGGCTGTATCTGGGTGGCCTGTTAATCAACTTGGTGAAATTCAGCATTTCAGTCATGACGGACAGTACCTCGGCTGTGTCATCGTGGAGTTTGACTGTATGGATGACATCACATGTACACCAGCTGGTGAACTGGTTGTGGCAACAACAAAAAGTGTTTGCGTCTATCACAAAGTGTAAAAATTGACATTAAACCAATTACTTAAAGCTATAGTCCATCATTTGCAACTATCCGAAAAGTAACTGGCGTAATTATTGTTGAAAAACAAACTTGGTTGAAAGATAGTAAGGGAACTAAACTCCCTGTGAAATTATTCTTTCTGGGAAGCTGTCATTTTGAAGTAATCAACGAAAGAAGGCATCTCCAACGGTGATTCTTAAGAAGCACCGTAGGAAAATTTAAATTAGTAGTTCGTTTTGTTATTCAGCGCAGCGCGCACAAGTATTGGAATGACGCACACGCGCGCGCGGTTGTTATAATTCGTCGGATCAGTGCGCGACGTCGCGTATAGCTGCAATTCAAAACAATTCAAAACATGATTCAGTAACTTTTGATTTGAAATTGAGATCTTAGAATGCTGTTTTTCTCGGAATGTACAGCTGAAGCTTAGCTGAAACTTCATCAGGTTAGTTGCTCAGTATCCTTCATTAGATTTTGAACTCTTTTGTTGCTTCAAACGAACAAAATGCACAAATGACAAATGATGGACTATAGCTTTAACCCAAGGAACTGATACAAAATAGCTAACTGTTCCACACATACAGTTAACAAAATATGCGAGTCTTGCAAACAAGGCTGGCCGCGTGTCATCGTATCATGTGTTTATCAAATGGACATAATACTCAAAGATATCTGAGCAGATGATGGTAGAAATGGACTGGGTTGAAGACTATCATGGGTTTAAAACTATCATCAAATAATCACAGAGAAATAACTGTATAACTGAAACAATGGTACGGTCGATTCCAAGCAAACAGAGACATGAGACCGAAAAATGAAATGGTCATGTTGAGCTGAGCGATTTCCTTCAAACGACTCTGGAGTAAAGATGAGACCTTCGATGATTCTTTCAAGGAATAAAAACGAAATGTTAAAAAAGCATTTCCACAAAAAAGATCGTTTTTGTGCGGGAATTATAGGGGTGTTCTTGAAGTTGACACTATACACGTTAAGTGCATTGACCACGTGTCGGCGTACAGGATTCACTGCACGATAGAACGAAGCAAATACAGATTCTTTTCTATAATTGGTCTTTCAATACTAGACAAATATACACATTCGGTACAGAACAAGTGCTTGAATTATGCCTGAAGAAACCAGAAAGGGTACAGAACGGAAGAGACACACAGACCATCGTTTGTGCTCTTCTCAGGGCCTCCCCCCCCCCATCCCTCCTGAGCCACCCAATATTCATAAAAGATTTTCTTTCAGAGGGTTGTAAACGTGCACAAACTTGAAGAAAAAGAAGAAAATCAAATTAGTCTTCTTCATATCAACATTCATTGGGAAAGATTCAGATCTGATGAAAAGCTCAGACAGTACATCTTCATATGTTGAATACTACTGTGAAACAAATCTATAAAAATAACAAATACATTGCTAGAAGGGGGGTCTACCCGATGTTCCCCAACACTTATGTTTCCCGATACCTACCGTATGTTCTCCAAAATCAAAGGGTTTTGATAGAATGTCCATGCATCACCTCGGGAGGCTAGTTTTACTACACCACTCGAAGCATTCAATATTTGTATAATAGTTAGGGGTAGGGTTAGGGTTGAGGAATATAGGTATTGGGGAACATATGTTTCAGGGGAACATAGCTATGCACCCACTAGAAGGATGTACCTAGTAACACCATCTGTACTGCATGAGAAAGTCTGTGCAGTACCCAAAATATAGTACTTAATGGCTATAAATTGGACAGTATACAAACATAACATGGTTTGAGGGTTAGTGAGGTATTGGAAGTTGACAAACTAGTTCCCGAGGCGAAGCCGAGGGAACTAGTTTGTCAACTTCCAATACCGAGGGGAGCTAATATCGACTGTCCACCCGAAATAAACCATGTTATATTTGTTTTACTATACCTTATATATATTCAGTTGCCGATTTTTTCATATATATAGGCACCTAAAACAACACTTTTGGAGAAACTTGTACAGCTCACAAAAAGAACATTGTTACTCATTTTCACTAGTTCGGTCGTTTGCAATACAGTTGTAAATACAGTAATTGCTTGTATACAACTTTCTTTTGTACCGGAGGCATATTTATTGTCCATAAATTTTCTCCACCGAGTACAGCATCATTGAGCTGATGTTCGCGCATGCGTACTACACCCGTGCGACAGTTCCTCGATTGCATTGTAAAGCGCATGCGTAGTAGACTGTCCCACGGGCAACCCGTGCGACAGTGAATCCTCGCGCGCGCGTTTGATAAACAGCAAGAATAACATCTGGCACGTGATGGTGAATTGACCAGTGAGAGTTCGGCACTCGATCATGAACATGTATGAGGTATAGTAATCACAACTATAGTTGGTGTTATATAACCGACATACCGATCCTTGTCATTTGATTGGTGGAACCAACATCACGTGACATTCGTTATTGCTCCAATTCACGCCCCGGCTCAAAAAGTACTATCCGCCCATGGGAAATACTATGGAACAGTTAGGATCATTCTTGTTTCATGACGCGGTATTTGTGTGCAAATGCATGCTGGTGTGCACGTTCAGCGTTGCGCATAGCGCGTATTGTTCCAAAGAGCCAGCGCTACAGTGTTGGGTTCAAACATTTTTCGTGAAGGGGTGGTTTGGAAGAGAGAAATACATTTTCCTCCAGTTTTGTATTGAAATAAAAGTTCAAATATAGGCCTATCAAATGACTAGGATGTGTATGTCAGTTATATAAAACAAATATTGAGCGGCTATAAATTGTGAAATGGGAGAAATAAAAGTTCAAATATAGGCCTATCAAATGACTAGGATGTGTATGTCAGTTATATAAAACAAATATTGAGCGGCTATAAATTGTGAAATGGGAGAAATATTATCGCTCGGTAAAATCTGGATTTTTCCAGTTCACTCGGCTTCGCCTCGTGAAATGGAAAAGTCCAGATTTCACCTTGCGATTGAATATTCCTCCCATTCCATGCTGAGCCACTCAATATTTGTATACTATCACATCTACCGGAACACTTGGGATGATCCCAACCATCTAACCCTAACCTAACCTAACCCTCACTATAATTGGGATTCTCAAAACTCTAGTTAGTGATATACCATAACAAGATAAGCTCATTCGAAATTAATTATTATCACTTTTTTAATAGTTAATTTTATCACTGAGGTGTAGTTTTATGCCGAGTCTGGAATTAATGGTAGGATGAGACTGCCGAATGCTGGCACAAAAACCACAGACACTCCATGATCTTAATTGGTAGACTTGATGTCCATTTGTACGCATTAATTGTTGCATTGAGACTCGAAGCGTTGACATATTTTGAGTTGTAAAAAAGTAAAAACACCATAAGTAGTCAATAACTTTAGTTTTTGAATACATTTATCTCTCTTTGAATTGAGTGTTTACATGGTTTACGATAATTTTTAAAATGTGATCCGATCAAGCTAAATGAGTCGTTTGTCGACCCGGTCAAACATTTTGTTATTACAGATTTGAAAAGAGCACAATCTCAGCATTACAGCTGTGAAAACCGCATGCTGATACCATTTTTAGTTCAAAAATTATGGAAGTCGGAACACCAAGAGATGTGATGAAGGGATGTGAGTGAAGTGGCCTTATTTTGGCCTGAATCTCCAAATAAAATTTCCCGACAAACGACTCATTTAGCTTGATTGCATCACAGATGTTAATTTATCATTATCATTTTTACCAGTTATGACATGTGGTTTTACTATTAACAGAGTATAACTTTAAACATGTACATACATCACATAAACTTTAGTTTAAATTATCCCTTCTCTCTCATGCTCTCACTATTGATCTGTCAGACAATTAGGGCCTAAATCTGGAGATTCGTGAAGTCTGTTGAAAGTATGAGATCATTTTGATGAATAACTAGTACGCAGTTTATTTGTATGAAACTTTAAACTCTGGTATTAATTCTAGAACTTAGCATCTCTTTCGTTTTCATCAAAAGAAAATAATAATTAGCTAAGATTTAATTCCAAATTGAAGTTTTGATAATCTGGAGGTGTTAAGGACGCCCATGTAAATGTAATGAGTAGTCAGTTTTATAAGGCTCCTTTTGCGTGTATAAAGAACGGATCTATTGTCACTGCGCACCATAAAAGAGATTCCAGACAGATGAAAAAAGAAAATGTTCTGGTTTAAAGAGCTCTATAGTCCATCATTTGCAGCTATCCGAAAAGTAGCTGGCGTAATTATTGTTGAAAAACATACTTGGTTGAAAGATAGTAAGGGGACTAAACTCCCTGTGAAATTATTCTTTCTGGCAAGCTGTCATTTTGAAGTAATCAACGAAAGAAGGCCTTTCCAACGGTGCTTCGTAAGACGCACCGTAGGAAAATTTAAATTAGTAGTTCGTTTTGTTATTCGGCGCAGCTCGCGCAAGCATTGGCACGACGCACACGCATCCCCGGTTGCCATAATTCGTCGGATCAGTGTGCGACATCGCGTAGCTGCATTCGGCTCAGCGAGAACATGTCTCGGACGCTGAATTCAGGTGCAATTCAAAACATGATTCAGCAACTTTTGAATTGAAATTGAGATCCTAGAATGCTGTTTTTCTCAGAGTATACAGCTGAAGCTGAGCTGAAACTTTATCAGGTTAGTTGTTCAGTACCCTTCTTTAGATTTTGAGCACTTTTGTTGCTTCAAACGAACAAAATGCACAAATTACAAATGATGGACTATAACTTTAAGGACCTGTTTACAGTCTGGGCATACATACAGTTTGTACTGCAAGGTAGATTGATAAACAGATGTGCTTAAAAACTGGAGCAATTTTACCAAAATACTGGCCAATAAATTTGTATTCTGACAAATCAGCGCATGGGTGGTTATGATGTTATTGAACTTGTGTGGCCATAACGTTCTCTGTAAATGTTTCATCAATTTGAATTAACAAGAATTAGGCACAAATTTTTTTTTCCTGCTTCCCGTTTCCCTACCTACCCTATTCTGACAGCCCCTACCCTATTTTTTTTTTTTTTTGAGAAAAAAAAACACCCAGGCCAACGGTTACTCTCTTTTACCCTCGACTACACATAGACGCCTCCAGATGATCACACACAACAAAAATTGCCTCCCCCCTCCAACCCCCTCCCCCCCAAAAAACCCAAATTCCCTACCTATATCTACCCTGTTTTCGAATGCCATTTAATCGCCCAAACAGAACTATTTTTTTCTTTTGGCCTTAGTGTAAGCATAAAACACCATACGAATATGTGGTGATATAGGTTTTCTCGCACATTTTAAAACTTTCTTCATTCAAATTCATAAACGGTTAACTTCAATTTTGTTTAGAGAAGACTGGAACGCGCAAATGCTACAATTAATTTAGTCATTGGTCATTCCAAACGATCAACGATCATTTTCAACAGTTGTCCACTCGATTTTGTCATAGTTCAATGGTATTTGTCTCACCTGATGATCATGATAATGTAAGGATTGAATTTGTCGATTTCAAGAAATTTTCAATCGAAATTCATCAGAGGAATGCGCACACTGGTACAACCATGCACAAACGTAAAAATACCAAAGAAAGCATACAACCATGAGACTAATTCGAATGAAATTTATATAACATTGATCACAAAATGATGAAATTACTTTATCTATCGTACGTTCGGCAACTGCAGACAACGAAATTGAATTGTCTTTCACAAAAAAGTATGGCTAAGGTATGAAATTGTTTGAACAAAGTGTGAAAATGAGCAACCAAAGACGAAATTGAACATGAGGTATGCAAGATCATGAATTTTCAAGACGAAATTGAAGTAAACCGTTCATGACTAAGAATGAAAAAAGTTTTAATTTGTGCGGGAAAACCTATATTATGAGTTTATAGAAGAAGATATCACGTACCATGTTTTCCCAGTAGATGACAGACCTGCACTATTGCCTTGTAGATTCTATCATCAGCAAAATGTTTGAAATATTTCCGCCTGGCCTGGCAATAATGAAAGGCCTTCATAGCACATGCTGCTGATTCTAAAAAATAAACAAATTACATTCAAATTTGTAATTCCTTTGTTTTTCTTTTGATTTGATTGGTCTAGAACTGTCGCCTGATATGTGTCTAAACAAAAATCAATGACTGGTTCCTGAACTTTGATTGGTTGCCATTTGCTGTGACAATTTCTCCTTCCTTCAGACTGATTGGCCAATCCATAATGTATGCATGTGTAAATATTCAACATTTAAATAATTTAAATATCTTGGACGAGGACAATAACCACATTTTTGACGGCTGTTTGTGTATTATTTTGTTTGTTCACGAAACAGTTGTTGGAACACCTTCGCCCGCCATTTTGAAAATAGTTTTGTCTGACTTTCTTCGGAATCGTGTGCCAACTCTAAAACTCCTGTCACAAGTAAAATAGCAATTCATGAAACCTCAAACACAAAGATGTGAGTGTCTAATGTATCAATGTTGATAAATTTTGCAATAACAGGCTCCATGACGATCACGATATGCTAGTAAAATAGGTCATTTTCAGTCACTACGCCACAAATTACGCCACTTAAAATGATTGCGCAAGTTACGCCATACTTTGCTGTGCAAGTCGCGGACTGACGTATTGTGCAACTTTCATGAAGTGTGACTTAATTAAAATGTTGCGCATCGTGAAATGTTGCACAACTTAATCAATCAATTGTTACATACATACATACATATAGGCATTTTTTATAGCGCCCCACAAAGATCGGAGCGCTTTACAAAAGCTGACAAAATAATTAAAGATACAAACAAAAAATGCATTGATACAGATACAAAAAAAAACTATACAAGCAAAATAACATATGGCATGATGAAACAAATAAATGGGTTTTGAGTCTATTTTTGAAGAGCTGAAGTGTGTTGGCTTCCCGGATGTTACGGGGAAGGGAATTCCACAGCCGGGGAGCAGCGGCTTGAAAGGCACAATCTCCAGTACGCGACTTAGTTTGGGGGTTATGGAGACGTGTTTTGTCAAATGATGACCGGGTGGCATAGACAGATGTGTTGAAAGAGATGAGTTCTTGGAGATATGAAGGTGCCATAGAGTTGATACATTTGTATACAATGACAAGAAGTTTGAAATTTATGCGCAAGTGGAGTAATGCCATTGCGCAAAGTTTCATGAAATTGGCTGTAGGTACTGCTTCCTCAAATGCATTCCACTATGATAATTGGTACATCTGGCTGACTCACAAAAATGACATACACAGAGCAAGGGTTAACCCTAACTCCCTAGTGTCTTTTACCAAGTACTGGACCAAGTCTTCACATAATGTATTAGGACCAAATCCGCTGAAATACACCACAAGACTAGACTACCACTACACTCTCAAAAAAAATGGTACAATCGAAAACGATTTTTTTTTTTTTATATTAAATCTCAACATAAGTAAGTCGTTTTGAGCATCACATTAAAGAAAAAAGACCAGGCTTTCCAATACTTTTTGTTTCATCTCATTTGCTTTTGTCAATCCAGAGATAACTCCAGTTTACTGCGGAACACAAAAATCGAGTTTGTGCCACTTTCTGGGTGTGAGCTTCAAGACAGCATGGCACAGTACTCGAAACAACTTTGCCCATGCATAAAAGTGGCACAAAATCGATTTTGGTGTATCGCACTAAATTGATTATATCTCTGAATTGACAAAAGCAAATAAGATCAAACAAACACTATTGGAAAGCCCAGTCTTTGTTCTTTAATATTATGCCAAGTAAGAATGACTTATTTTGAAATTTCATATTTAACCAATTTTTTTTTCTGATTGTACCATTTTTTTTGAGACAGGCTGTAGGTGGATTTTGATGGACTTGGTACTCATGGCTTGCCTACCATAATCCGCAAAATAGGGGAATGGATTTTGATGGAGTTGGGGAGGTAAGGGTTAAATTAATCACAATGTTTAATACCTGGATGCGGAGTTGCCTCTTCCAGTATCTTGACGTCCCTGAGGTCAAGCTCCAAGACTTGGATGAGTGCCAGGGACAGACGTCTGAGATGGGAGACTGAGTGAAGCAGTGATGAGATCCTAGGACCTGGGATATGTCAGGTAGGAAAGAGAAGAACACAAAGGGGAATTGTGGAGAATATATTATTTTGAGTTTGTGTGATGTAAATATTTCGATACAAGGGCTTGATGTTGTTCTTTCAGCACTTTATATATGGTCATTGGCCGGAGATTGTAAGAAACATGTGACACCTCTGAAGACTGCTCAAGTGAGATTCAAACCCAATACCTCCTGCTTTATAAGGCCCGTTCTAGACGCTGAACTCAATTGAAATGAGTGCGGCAATAGCTCGTCTATAGCACATGCAGTTACTCTAAACGCGGAATGTAATAATCAAACCTAAATACATCTGGAGTAAAGGGCCAGGTTAAAGCAGTTTCAGCCGTTCAATGAACTTTCAACGCGATCAAACTATTCGCGCCAATTTCCCTCCCCGATATGCGGACGCAAGAGAGATCATTGTGAGCATGCGCATTCCTAAAATGTTTGCCCCAACTTTGAATTGAATTGAGTTTGGCACGGCAATGGCACGGCGTTTAGAACTGTGCTGTGCACCTGCCATTTGGAACAATGATAGGGCGGCAGCACTTTCTCCCTGACCGATGGTGCCGTGCCAAAATTCAATTCGCCGATCCAAACGGTTCTAAACGCTGTGCTATCGCCGTGCCAAATTCAAAAGTCTAATTAATTGAGTTCAGGGCAGCGGTAGCTCGGCATCTAGAACAGGCCTTAGAAATGTGGGCTGTTCCACAATTAATTAAAGGGAAAAAAAAACAGAAGGGAGATACGCGCTGAATTGTTTATTTACCAAGAAGTTTCAGGTATCCAATAACCAGGTTTAGCCTTGCCAGCTTTGTAGCATCATCTGAAAAGAAAACAAATTGTTGTTTAAAATCTGTTACATTTATACATTGTACAAAAACAGGTGCAATGTTGAGATTACATTCTACGCAGGACTGTGAGTGGACCTATATCCCTTTCTAATTGTAGATACCCCCCCCCCCCCAAAAAAAAACTACCCAAAATGCTACTTAAGCAGGTGTTTTGATTAACAATATCTGTGCTTGTTGTTAGACGGTCGTCTATAGAGTTATACGTGTAAAGGTACCATTAAGAAGACACGTTATTGTAATTTCTTTGCACGATGGGAGACATCGGTCATTAGGGAGACATTTTCAGCCCCCCTTTAGAGGCACAATTTTATTGTCGCAATTAGGTTATATTTGTTGCTTGTGGTCTAATTAATAAACATACCGAAATTCGTGGAAAAGGGACAAGGGAATATTGGGTTAGTGCACATTTAAGTTTGAAAAATGTTGTGCACAAGTCTATGGGAATGTCTCCCAAATGTCCAATCCAGGGTAATTATTATTATTATTATTTATTTTTGGTAATGAAACCACAGATTAGCTCACAAGCCTGCAGAAACCTGTAGAGAGGAGACACTAAAAAGACATTACAGTCTTACTCTTAGATGTGGGAGGAAAACCCCAGAAAAATATTCTGGGAAAAATCCACATGTTGGCCCAGGCGGGATTCAAACCCGGGTCTCATCGGTGGAAGGCAAGGAAAGTCCCGCTGCACCAACCTGACTCTCCAATTAAGTTGAATGGAATATGTATCAATGAATTAATTAACTATGCAAATGAGATCACCTGCTGTCCTCATTAGCCTGGGCAGGGCAGTCATCAGCGAGTGTAGATTCTCTTCCAGTAGCTCCACCAGGGGTTTCCCCACCCCATCCCCCACCCCGTCCCCCTCCCCATCTCCTCCCATGTGTGCCTGGGCAAATGTCTCCAGTATCCTCCTGCACCGCTCAGCCACCTGGTCATATTCGTCGCCAATGAGCGACACGAGGAGCTCCAGGAGTTTTGGAACGCTGGCAGACAGTGAGCTAGAATGGATGCAACAGAAAGAAAATATACCTTACATGTAAAATCAAAGGAAAAAAAATTGTGTAATGTTTAATTGTGTAAGTTTTCAGCTAAAAAAAATATGAAACACTGGGGGAATACGTAAGTTTTCAGCTAAAAAAAAAGATGAAACACAGGGGAGAATATGGCTTGTATTTTGTTATTCATAAAAACCTTAGACAGTTTACCCATTCCTATTGGTCAGGAGCCTGTCCAGTGGGTGGTTTTAAATGGTGGATAAAACTGGTTTAAACGTTTTTTCCAGGTGTCACATGAATTTTGGAATCCTACAAAATCTGGTCCCTTTTACCCTTTTATTGGTTGAACATTCCCAATTGTCACTTAGGCATGCACAATTCTACCAATGAGTCCGTATTTCATAAGAGTTTTAAATTCTCAAAAGGCACATACCATATTCGCAAGAGGCACATACAATAAACATAACAAGAGGGGTGTTTAGCAAAACATGAAGTAAAACTGTTTAACAAATTCGTTGGAAATTTATAATATTGTACTTGTTTTTGATTTTTTGACCGAAATGTATGTGAATGGGAATAAATATGTGCTTGGCCCATAATAAAGAAGTACTTTTAAAACCAGCATGGGGCCTGCTCACCGATCATGTTTGGCTTGGGCCATTATCCGCGTCCATGCCCCAAGCCGGATGTAAACGCACTTGTTTAAAATTGGCCAAGCACATATTTATTCCCTTAATAATACAGTATGAAAAAACAGGCACAAAAGCAAAGTGACAAAGGATATAAAATACATAAAACTAGCAATATACAGTGGATACATAGGGCCAGAGCAACTGAAACTCCTACTCCCAATTGTAAAGCAATTTCTTCAGCTCATGTCGTAACTAATATTGATGGCGGCCTACCAGATGCATTACAATACTTTTAACGTTAAACAAAGATACTGACTGGAGCGGGATTAGGACCTACGACCTCCGGACTGCTGTTCCGGTGCTCTACCAACTGAGCTATCCAGCCCTACGTTGGCGGTTCTCCATTTCGTCAATGTCTAAGACATTGACAAAATTGGGCACCAGTCAACATAATTTGTTTTTATGAATTTAAAAAAAAAATAAACCACAAAGAGAAAACTGACTAGGTACATTATAACAATTTTAAAGTTGAACAAAGAAATTGACAGGAGAGAGGTTTGAACCTGGATGGATAGCTCAGTTGGTAGAACACTGGAGTGGCAATGCGGAGGTTGCACGTTCTCCGGTCACTTTCTTAATAATTGATTTACTAATTAAAATTCTTGGGGGTCCTTCTGAATCTCTATCCTCTCTAGTTTTCATTTGTAAATGGGTACAGAAAAGCATTGCAGTAAAATATCCTGCTCAGGGACATGTGCCACAATTTGAAGAGGAACCATAACTTAAGTTTATCCTCAGAAAATTACAGACGCTTACAGGGAGTTACACTCAATTTGTAATTTGTAGTCTTATTAAAGTGAACAATTCTTTCATTATTAATCACACTATACCTTTTGCAACTGAATAGAAGTTCTTCTGAAAATGCCACCATTGTGAGGCGGATCTTCCAGCTCTGGTTAGTTGCCATGGTAACAAGCCGACCAATCAGGATGTCCAGTTTCTTCGCTGTTGACTCCACCCACTCTGGTGTTCTTTTAACCAATAGATCTCTTCCTGGACTGTTGGCCACACCCTCCTTTGGTGATGGGCACTTACTGTTTTCATCTGATTGGCTGGGTGAGTGCAAGTCGCCCATCACCATGGCAACAATTTTAGACCAGGTGTGGATTGCAGTCTTAGAAAAATAACACAGAAACCACCAAAGACTTTTCAAACAGGAATTGTACATGTTGATAAAAATGGAGTATGTTTTGGCATTGTGGATAACAGCAAGTCACAGTATTTTACCAAATGCAAAAATGAGACTTTCAAAAAAATTGTGTACAATGAATATCAAAATTGGATGATATTGTTTTCAAACCATAATGCAAATATATTCTATATATTTTAATCTGAACAATTTGAAAAGTTAAGAACTTACAGTAGTGACTTTCTGATGTTCGCAGATGAACACCACAGAATTTTACATGATGGTTCATTCGCAGAACAGGAGGGAAAAAGAAAAGAAATCAAAATTGCTGTTAAATTATTTATTTCAATTCAGGAAACAAAATTAGCAACAACTGGACACAGTCACACAATAATTAAAAAAAACATTCTTAGAGTTAAGGTTTCTTTATAATGTGTCAAGTCTGAAGAAAGTTCAACTAGTTATGGATAAATGTATCGATGATTTTGAGAAGATCTATCTACCAGGTAGAATGCCATGGTCAACTGGTTACGGTGTTGGACTCATGTATATGGTACATGGGTTCAAATCCTACCAGGAACATGGTGTTGGTGCCCTTGGGCAAGACACTTAACTACAATTGCTTCTCTCCACCCAGGAGTATGAATGGGTACCTGTGCGGGTAGAGGACCCAATATGTGCCGATATCGGCTGCCGCGTGGTTGCGTGACCTGATAAACAGGGAATAATTATTATAGTGCTTTGAGATTGTGATACGATGGAAAGCACTATACAAGCATTAGGCCAAAAAAAAAAAATATTCGGTCTCTGGTCAGACCAAAGTTCCGGAATTGACGCGGCCACGCGGCTTTTTTTTTTTTTTTTTTCTTCAAGCTTGGATTGTACAGATAAGGTGGGTACTATTTTGCTTTTTTGGTGTCCTCATGTACATTGGTGTCCTCCATAATTTGCCTTGGTGCTTTCGATCATTTGCCTTGGTGCAATTTCCCATTCCTTGGTGCTCTTTGGTAAAAAAAAATTGAGGAGGTGCGGAAATAGAGGGCGCTGTTGGAGCTACCGCGGAACATTTTGGAAAAAAAAAAGATTGACGCGCATGATTAAAATCGACGCGCGCGCTGACCAGAGACCGACTTATTTTTTTTTTTGGCCTTACAAGTTATTTTTTTATACTATTAAAAACCAATTGTTTTTCCAAAAGTATAGTTGTCCAGACATTAGCAATCACACCAAAAAAAGTGCACATTGTTCCTAAAGACAACATTATTCAATAGCTTTTAAAAGACAATTTTAGTACAACATGACAACAGTTTCAAGATAAGGAATCACGATAAAAACAACATGAGGTCATTGTCTTTTGCCTTGAAATTGATCATCTTGACAGGTTAAGGACCTCTCTTGAAACTGTCTCTCCATAAATTTCACTGACATATGAAATGGATTCCACATGTAAACCAAAAAAGTAAATAAATAAATAATTCAACAAACAGAGACAAAGACATCCCAGAATAAAAAATGCTAAAGCTGAGAATTTACGAGTGTTTTGTAAGTGAGAAGGGGTTCAACCAGGATGCAAGTTCAGTATTGACAAAGTTGTACGTCGGAAAGAGAATACGGCTGTAAATTAATTCTTGGGTAATCTAAAGGTCACATGAATACCTGTAGTTAGAAAGTTGCCTTGCAAGTTTCACACAACATTATTGTCAGCAGCAGAAACAAGCTTAAAGGGAATATACATCATTGGCTTTTGCTTTGATTTTCAGAAATGAGCTATTTGAGGGCTTAGTAAAATAGATCAAATAATGTTACGCTGACATGTTTGAAGTTTTGTGTTCGAAAATGCTGGAAAAACCAAGGAAAACAAAAATGTTCAAGTAGTCTGGTTCCCTGACTCCACTGAAAATTAAATGGATCAATTTATAGATGCCGGAAAATTGTACGGTAAGAGAACCAGTCTAGCTGGCCTGCCCCCATTCATGAACATACAACCAATAGCAAACAAAATTTGGACTGAAAAAAAAAATGGTCAATTTGGAGCAGCAGTTGAAAAATAGTTCGGTTTTTCCAACGGTGGTCGGCCGACCACCTTTGGAAATGTATACAAAAATGCCATTTACTTGAAAATGACTTCACACCAGGTGCCATAATTTTACAGGACGCTTTAGACTGTCATTTACCAACATCCTGTAAAGTATTTTACAAAAACTTGGTAGTTATTTTTTCGATGCTTGCAAATGTTGTATTTTATCTTTAATCTGGGAATGTAGTCTCACAAAAGATGTACAGTGTTTTCACATCCAGGTTTCCATTTTTGTATGTGTGGCAAGTTGTGTATTTTGAGCATGAGTTTATTAACAAATTTTCACAAACTCCACAAATCTGTCTCAAGAAAATATGGATTTTTTTGTTTTTATATTTATCACAGAATGTATCATCAAGAGGCCATTCAAAAGTTAGCTAATGTGAGCATACCAAAGAATTATGCAAATGTCTTTGTATATTGATACAACCACAAAATATTTGTGATAAGGTATCACAAACTAACTTGATAGATGACTCAATAAAAAATAAAACACCTTAACCCTAAAGTTCCCAAATCCTCAAAAATCATCTTTGCAAAATGGAAGATCTTGCAGGATTTAGGCCTTGATTATACTTGAAATCTTCTGCACTGCTCCAGGATGTCACTGGCTCTGCCTGAATATATTGACAGTCACTGCTGAAAGTTTTTTTTAGGATTGTTACAAATCCAACAAAGCATCTTATAAAGAAGGAACATTTCAGCAGTAGAGAAAGAAAACATAGCAAAAGTTTCTTCTCAAGTTGAAGTATGGATTTGGTGACCACTTTAAAACCCCCTAAGTACAAAGCCCTTTTGACCAAATTTTGTTTCACCCTCCGTAATCAGACACGATGATTTAATATCTACCACCTACCCATAATGATTGATGACGGGTTTCCATTATAACAAAAAAAAAAATAAAGAACGAAAGTAAAATTTTGAATGTCTGGAATGCGATTTAGATATTGAATAACAACGAGTTGTAAATGCCGGGTGAAAGGCCGCAATCATTTATGTGTACAATCGCACATCTCGTGAAGTCTCTGATCTGCACAGTTGAAAGTCCTTTTAGCTTAGATCAAAACAAAATTGTTCTCTGGCGGTTTTGCTCTTGTTTTTTCCCCACAGAATTAAGGTGCCAAGTTTGAACACATGACAATAAATGGTCTTCAAAAAGAAAACAGTATTGACTGTTCTTCATTTTTAATTTAAACCTCTATAACGACTTCAGATGAAACCATTTTTTTACTGAGAGATTTATGGTCGGCTGTAATGACCTCCTCAGAGTTCCAATACAAGGTATTATCAAATAATGAGGAATTTGGTTGGTGTAAGACGAGATATAAGTTTAACATATGGCTCAACATTAGGGTGTTATAATATTGCAAAGTACATGTACATATGAGCATCCAGCACCCCAACATTTCATGGTTGTGGCTGCTGCTCAACAGTTCAGGAGTTAGGAGGAAAGGGGGATGTTGACGCAGTCCTTATGTAACTATCAGTCGTCCCCCCCCCCACGTGCCCCAGGTCTTATGTCGGGGTTTGGTCATGTTTTTCAAGCCCAAGGGTGGGGATTCTGGTCACTCCCGAACAATTGTTCCACCATTGGCACACTAAAGGGGGACGGCTACCACTATTAGGCACTCTATCCATGTATGTGTATGTTGTTGGAGATTGCCACTTCAATTTTGCCCCAGGGGTGGGGATTTGGTCACCTGAAAAAAGGAAAATCCTACATCTAGCATGTCTAGGTTGGGGCAGCCCAGGAGGAGGAGGTACCAGGTACCGAGGGGGGGGGGGGGGAGGAACAAAATTACCTGGCCCTGTTTGGGTCACCAAGTAGGACCTGGCTGAGTGCCAAGTTGATTAATTGGGGGTCTCGAGGCATGGTGTCAGAGAATTTCATGGGTGCGGCCAATGCTCCAGTGTTTAAGTGTCAGGAGGAGGGGTATGTATGTGGTTCCTACCTGGCCCTGTTTGGGGTCACCCAGTATGGCCCTACTGAGTGCCAGGGTGATGCCTGGCAGGAATGAGGCAAGGCAGGCTCTGGCTTGGTCGGTGTTGCTGGTGGATTCTCCACCTAAGTAAAGATACAATTCAGTCTCAAAATTACAGGTTCAGATGATGTTGCACTGTAGCTGATAGCCGACTACAATAGTTGTCCATTTTGAAGACAATTTGACATTAACATTTTTTCACATTGAAAATATGTATGAGCTACAAATTGTTGTAAGATAATGCGTTTTAACCTGATGACTGGGTCGACTGACATGAACACTGGGTCAACTTACCTGGGACAAGGGTTAACTGAACTGAGCAATGTGTCTACTTAGCTGAGCACTATATGGCCAACTGACTCTAACACTCTGTCAGCTGACCTGAGCCCATAGCAAACTGACTTGGGAATTGAGTTGACTGACCTGAAAATTAAGTCAACTGACCTGGAATTAAGTCAACTGACCTGGGAATTAAGTCACCTGACCTGGAAGTAAGTCAACTGACCTGGGAATTAAGTCAACTTACCTGGAAATTAAGTCATCTGACCTAAACAAACTAGGTCAACTGGCAAGGGCACTTGGCAAATAAACCACAGTACTGGGTCACCTGACCTGAGCATTGGTTCACCTGACCTGGGCTCTGGATCACCTGACCTGAGCTCTGGGTCACCTGACTTAAGAACTGGGTTAATTGACCTGAGCACTGGACAGTCATTTTAAGGCTGATACCAGTCAGCCCGTCGATTGTCTGGTTGACATGACATCGGGGTCAACATAATTCAATTTATAAATTGTCGGGCATACGAACAATTGTCAAGTCACTCAGTAACCAATAAGATGTTGACGGAAGTAAGATAGAGGTCATTGCCTTTTCTTATATTCACCTATGTAATGAGGTCAGGTCTCCGGTCTCCCCTAACCTGAGTACCGGGTCACCTGACCTGAGCACTAGGTCACCTGATCTTGGCATTGGGTCTCCTGACCTGAACGATGGATCACCTGACATGGGCACTGGGTCACTTGATCTGGGCACTGGGTCTCCGGACCTGAACACTGGGTCACCTGACCTGGGCGTTAGGTCACCTGATCTAAGCATTGGGTCTCCTGATCCTGGCACTTTGTAAACATACCTGAGCATTGGGCAAGATGCTGCAGACATGTCATGGACCTGACCCTCAGATCTTTAAGTTTTTCCAACTCGGCCAGTCCCAGCAGAACAGAAACGGCATGGCCCACTGCCGGGAGGAATTCAGGGCTGTACAAGCGACTCAGGACACTGACAAGAAAAAGGATCCAAAAAATGAAAGCATAAAATGTCTTTAAAATCTGCAAACTATTAAAATTGCAAACCATTTTTTTGCCTCAGTAATTGATTAGCTAAACTTAAGGACCTCTGAAAAACTACTTTAGATAAATTTTGATAAAAGATATTTTTCTGATTAATATGTTTTCGTGAATGGTGATAAGTGAAGTTGCATATATCACAAGTCAAATGACTATACTTCAGCTTAGGTTTACTTACGTGTCTGAAGCACTCTTTAGTAATTCCTCAAAGCACAAGATTACCGCTAATTTGAACTCTTCCGCCTGGTCTGAAACTATAAACAGATTTAATAGCGTGATTTGGGGAAGAAAAGACTATTTGAATGTTATCAATATTATTCCCAAGAAGTCACCTTTTGGTAATAAACACTGTTATAAATTTTCAAAAAAAAAATGAGACATTTAGAAATATTGGGCTACTGCACCGTGCACAGTTCTGCACGCCGGGATTATTTGTGCCGCAAATTTTGATTTTCGCAAAAGGCAACATTTTCAAGCCAATTTTTGATATACAGCCCAACGGCACAAATACTGATTCGCAAGCGTCATTTCAACAGTATAGGGGGATTAAAAAAAAAGGCCACCCACTTTCGACAGCAATTTCCACCTACTTAATAAACTTATTTTAAATGTTTTTTCACATATTAGTAAAGTATAGGCCTTTAATCATGCATGGTGAAAAAACTTAGTAAAAGTCGCAAAAATAGTGATATTATGCTAATTTGAATACAAGTCACCAAAATCTGTCTTGCCCACGGGTTATTCTATGTAAATTGGACGTTTTCGTAGTTCATAAAAATATAAAAAACCTTCCCACCAAAATATATTTTGCCCTGGTAACTTTTATTGAAGCTGTCCAATTATTATGTCAGTGTTAAGATCATCTACTCAATGAGCTGTCGGCTTAAGTTCATTCTTGCATAACATTACATAACATAACAATCAAATGTCATGCCCTTTCAAATAAAGCTCCAATAGCTGAGCTCAGTCAAGCAAAGGCAATGTATACCTTCGTGGACAAACTAGTTTTCCCACATGAAATGTTTAAATTAGCATAGCTCAACGACAAAATGAGCAAATGCAACAATTTTTTTCGTCACATTTGCTTAAAGGCCAGTACTTTAATAGCTACTAATCGACAGTGAAAAATAATTTTTAAAAATAGGTGAAAATAGCTGTCAAAAGTGGGTGTCCTTTTTTTTGAACCACCCTGTATTTGTACAATATTTCTTGCCGAAACGTCTTGCTTCAATTCTCCAGGGTGTGCACTGGAGCGTAAATTGTACAACAAAAAGCCGTGCACAAGGGTCAATTCAAGATCAACACATGGTCCACCTCCACAGACTTTACCGTTTGTACAAAAGGCATCGAGGGATTAGCATGTTTTAATAGAGGTCAACTGGAGGCGAGTCAAGGCAATCGAGGCAATCCCGTCAGCCGTGCCTGTGTGTAAAAACAGCCAGTGCGTGTTATCACATCCTCCGATGCAAACTGGTTTAACTGCAATAATAAATTCACTGTGATGCAGGAATCTCGATAGGTCTCGTTCAAATGACGTCATTTCCTACAGACCATCCACGTGCATCGGCATTTGGAGCGTCAACTTGAATAACAAACGCGCATTTTGTGCAACAAACGCACATGTTTGGAACATTTTCAGCACTGCGCAATGCGTGTTAGATTGCTGAAAATATGCAGTAGCACTTCTCCTGCAGAAATGGCTGTCACTGAACGAGCCCTATTGAAGTTTTCTAATTAGACAGGTTTAGTCTCCTTTCAAGCTGTTCAAGCCGTGGCAAGAACTCACCTTGCCCAAAGTTGGCCTGCGGGCTGATGAGAATACAGAGGGTGGAGAAGAAATCAGAGAAGACCTGCCAGTCACTGACTGTAGTGCAGGAGAAGATCTTGGCGATACACCCCAGGGCATTCTCACAGCAACCGGCGGGCCTGTGGAAAAGTAGTAAGGATTGTCAACATAAACCATATGACATACTGCAGGTACGTGATGCATTTAAATAACAACCCAAAAATTACAAAGCAACAAATGCATATACAGGATGAGTGCAAAAAAAAATGAAACCTAAATGTTAGGACTTCTGTTTTAGTGAAGTTCTGCAGGTACAATGTAGCACTTTCAAAATCTAGGATATGAAAGCCAAATTCATAAGCTTTCTTTTAGTACAAGAATCATTCAAATCACTCATGTACTTTTCAAGTTGGGGAATTTTAAACACAACCACCGTTTTAAAGTCCGGTCCACGAATCACAAAAAGGTAAGTGTTCTTTCAGCAAAACGAATGGGGTTGTGTGTGAATTGTGTTCGTTTTGCTGAAAGAACGCACACTTTTTTATGAACTGTGGACAGAACTTTAAAACGGTGGTTGTGTTTGAAATTCCATAACTTGAAAAGTACATAAGTGATTTGAATGATTCTTGTACTGAAAGACAGCTTATGAATTAGGCTTTCATATCCTAGATTTTGAAAGTGCTACATGCAGAACTTTACTAAAACAATAGTCCCGACATTTGGGTTTCATTTTTTTTTACTTACCCTGTACTTTGTACTTTCAAAGGATAGTCTTCCAATCTTACCTTATGAGCTCTGATAAATAATTGAGAAAGCTCAATCTAGAATTGCCATATGTTAACCATGTTTCCTGATGTCAAACAGACAGCCAGAACTGTGAGACACTTGACTACAATAGACAAATCTTGGGGTTGACACAGGGGTGAAAAATGTGACATTTCAACCCTGTGCCAACCCTGCGTCAAACCTGAACTCTCGCGTTGAACTCAGCCCTACTCCAGACCAGGATTGAGAATTTCAACCCAGGTTGAAAGTCTCGCAAGAGTTCAAAACAGGACAGTAACTGAGCAAAATAAGCTTGGTTTGGAAGAAACAAGTGTAAACCGATGGGGGGTTTAACCCGACGTTGAAAAATCAAAAGCTCAACCTGGGACAGCCCTGGGTTCGCCCAGGGTTAAGTTCAACCTGGGTTGAAAGGTGGTAGTGTGAAAAGGGCTACATGATGTGGTTCAAAGATGCATGTCACATTTGCACATATAGTATCACAAGTCAGCTGACCAGAGGTCCTTGATTCTGACCATTCAGCGGGAGCCTTCTGTCGGATCTACCGTAAGCTGTTGTTTCATTACAAAAACATGTCAGCCAAACTGACCAATCACCAAGCTTGGTGCACATTTCTGATCGAAATGACGTCACAATTTCTAAAGTCAACTGGGCTGGCGTGTGGGGTAGCATAAAATTTGCATCGCTCAGATATACCAGATGTTGGATACGGAGAGGACCCTGTTGGACAACGGGCGATGTGCAGTCAAACTACCTTTTTGGCACTTTCTAGTAGAAATTTGCCAATACACGTGCGCTGATCAAACCTCCTCATTGTTTAACTGATCAAACCTCCTCATTGTTTAACTTGATGCAAGAAAGCTTGTGCATGCCCCCATGCGCCCTCCCTGGGCCCATTAAGAACTTCTTGCAAGGACGCATAAGGGGCACGCGCCTCCTGTTGAACAAGTGACATTTCATTAATTGGCAACTCATCACGAGGAGTCAGTTTGGCGTAGTGGAACTTTCCTCGTCTTCCACCGCAGAGTGACCCTGGTTCAAATCCTGCCTGGGCCAATATGTGGATTGGGTTTTCAGTCCTTGCCTGATGCCTAAGATTTTCCCTAGAGTATGATTCTGGGGTTTTCCTCCCACCACTAAAGCTGTAATTTCTTTCTATATCTTCTACCAAGGGACCCTGCAGGAAACAAATCAACTGTTGTGGGCTATCTCGGCCAACTGCCGATTGCCGAATAATAACAAACAAACACAGATGTAATACCTCTAAATTAAAACAACATTTTCAGCAACTGTTTTTCCAATTCCAATTCCAACTTACATTTTTTTGGGGTCTCGGAGTATCAGTCGCAGAGGGAACAGAACGTACTGCTGGAAGGGTTGAAGGGCTCCCTCATCCATCCTCTGCAGGAGAGTCCTGAGCTGCTGGATGGCGTCGTTAGACGGCTCCTTAGACAGCCGCACGCATATCGGCCTCAGCCGTTCAAATGCCGACTGCGTCATCCTTCCAATTGTGAACTCTGAATTTGAGGTAAAAAAACTTTCCTTTGACCACTGTTGACACCTTGTCAATAGAAATATTGAGCAAACAAAAGTTAGTTTTAATGAAGTATTGTGAACCCCTTCCGCATTTGTTCTGCTCTTGAACCGGCTTTCCTCTGTGCATACATGCATTTAAACAAGTACGCATTAAGAAAGATAATAAACTACCTCAACGACCCCAGCGAACGTTAAGGCGTTGGACTGAGAGCCAGGTGACCTAGGTGCGAGACGCAGCCATGTACATGTATGGCATCAGTATTTGATTGTTTTTGTGTTATTATAGTACAAGTTTTCTTCCTTGGCTTTCTTGTAAAATCATACAGTTAATTACCTCCGCCAAGGAGGTTCTGGCTTTATCGGCGTTGGTTTGTTTATTTTTTTGTTTGTTTGTTTGTTGGTTTGTCTGTTAACAGGATAACTCAAGAAGTTATGGACAGATTTTTCTGACTTTTTTTTTTAGTGTTGGTCCTTGGTACAAGTACAAATCAATTAGATTTTGGAAGTGATCCAGATCTGGGTCTAGATGCAGAACTTTTTATAAATTATAATAATAATATATACATGTATAATTACTCGCAGCTGGTATGCTGAATTGCGAAGGACGCGGCTACAACGTGGTCGGGCCGCTGGCACGTAAAGGCGCCTATGGCTGCTGGCCACATCAACCCATATACATGTATGACCACGGAGCACAGCCTGAGATCGAAAGTGTTTGATTTTTCCAGAGGGAGGAAAACCGATGGGCCAAAAGAAAAACCCTCGTGGCACAGGAGAGAACCAACGCACAACTCTACTCACATGTGATCCACGGCCAGGATTCGAACCGTGGTCACCTTGGTGAGAGGCGAACGCTTTACGCACAAGCCACCCCACAAAAAGGATTCTTCACCGTTTTGTATTTGGGAATATCATGATATGTGTAGAGACATATGTGGGTAACGCAGCGTGCAGTCTATGAGTGCACAGTGCACACAACATTGAAACCAACAGGTCAATGGACTTGACCATTTGAAACTATGGGGGAGTGGGGAAAAAGTGCAATAAAATATAGAAGTCCAGTGGATATGCAGGTATTTCTATTGGGTGTACTGACAATATGGCGGGGAATTGTTCAGTCTTGGCTGAGTGTTTTCTAGGTTTTTTTTTCTGATTTAAGGCTCTGGAACTTTTTTTTTTACCCCTTAATTTCCCTCATAAATCAAATCCCTGCCAGCCTCTTTCCACAAAATCAAACCTGCTGATATTCAAGAAGGCCGGGTCATACTGTTCAGATATAAGACAAGAAATATCAAAATGTCACTTTAGAGTGTCATTTAGCATGTTTAGTCAGTTATTTGGTGAGGCTCGTAAGCTTATCATGCTTATATAGGAACGGGGTCCTAAAACTTAAAAGTAAGGATTACCATTTTATTTTACCCCCAAATTTCCCTCAAAAAATCAAACCCCTGCCCTCTATCTATGACATACCTGTTTATTGAGAATGTCGCCAACTAGTTTGGTACTATAAGTGGATTTGTTCACTCATACTAGTTATAGGAACCGGGCCCTACTACACGATCGCCCAGTACACTTAACTGGCACTGCCCGGGCAATGCCATGACTCACTGACAGTAGTGACACTCACTGCCACAGAAAAACAGTGCCAGTGCCTCGTTTTAAAATACAATAATATCATCTTTACAATGTCGCTTTCCTTGTGAAATCCAAGAAACATGTTCTTACACTCAAGTTACAGTCCTCTGCTAAACACACATACTAAAGATATGGTAATCAAGCATGGAAATGTCATAAACATGTAATTACTTACCACGGAACTTCGAACTCGTCTCAACACGAGTGAACCATGGGCGCCGCCATCTTGAATGTCACATATGTACGGCTGTTTGATGACTTAAATCTATCGAACAGTTGTCGGATAGCACAACATACGCGCTGGATGCGCAGAGGCGTGGCTTGGATTTGGGTCGTGTCGGAGGGGGGGGGGGGGGGCGAAGGATTTGGGAAGGTGTTTTCCCACTGCATAAATCTGTCAATTATAGTTGAGGATGGGGATTACCTGGTATGGAACTGCAACAGATAATGGCTTATCTTGTTTATGACTATTAGAAATTTGATTAAAAAAACCCCAAACATTTAAATAACATTCAGCAGGCGCGGTTCTAATTCTGGAGCCAATATTTTTTTATTTTTTTTTTTGGGGGGGGGGGGGGCTAGCAGCGTGGATCCATAATTATTTTCAGGGAGACGTGCTGAAATGCAGACAGGTTATTTTCTCCGGACACTTAGACCTCTGATAATCAATAGGTGGGGTGGGGGTGGGGGTGGGGGGGGGGGGGGGGGTCATGCCATATTTTCAATGGGGAGCGCCGATAGAATCTTACAATCAGTCACACTTAATTAACTAAAAGTGTACAAACGCACCCTTCTAACGACTATTTATTTAGGGGAGACCGTTCGTATGTACGTCACATTCTTATATTTTGCTAGTGCATTTTTTTTTAGGGTTTTTGTTTTTTTTTTGGGGGGGGTGGGGCTGGACCAAATTTTTGGGGGGCTAAAGCCCCCCCCCCCCCCCGCCCCCCGTAGAACCGCCACTGACATTCAGTTAAAAAAAAAACAAGTCTATATAGTGCGAGTATCACTTTTATTTCAATTAAAGACAAATTTACAGTATATCACAGTACAGGTGATCAAAAACAGAAAAGCTAGACAGGTTTAGCCTCATACATAGCCAGGCCCGGATTACCCAATAGGCGCAGTAGGCACTGCCTAGGGCCTACACAATTTGGGGGCCTACAAAAACTTGGGGAGGGCCTACAAAAATACCGCAGTGTGCCATAAAACACATCGGCCTACCCACACACACCCACACGCGCAGAGAAAAGTTTAAAAAAAGTGTTAGGGTCTCTCTCAGAATTTTCGCAAAACGCCGCTTTGCCACCGATGGAGGCCTCCGTGAATGTTTTAAAGTGAACAAATTAAAATATAGATAGATAGATAGATAGATAGTTAGAAAGGTGAAATTTTTATTAACTCTCTTGAGTAAATTAAATTGGTCTCGACAATACAGACATGCATACAATGACGTTCACAACATTAAAACATTTGCATATTAGAAATATTAAAGCCAATACAACAAGCAATCGCATCCAAATAACCTTTATATATTAAGCCTTAACTATATATAAAAAGAAGAGTTTGTAATTTAACACTAAAAGGGCCGGGTTATTTTGACCATCTCTCAGCCGGGGGGCCGCCCCCCTAAGAGTAAGATCTCGGCCATCGAGTGACGAAATATTTTGAAACTCTGTACATGCATAGAGCAACTCTTCATAAACACACCCAAGAAATGTCATGACTATAGGTCAAAGGGGTTTCGAATTATGGCTAATTAATTATACATTATTATGTACGCATGGTAATTCTGCTCTGTGTTCACGACGTATATGGGAAAATTCAGTTTTCACGGCGCATAGACTTGAGGCTAAAAGGTCATAACAGCTCGGGTCGCGAAAAAAAAAATCAAGGCTATCGCGGAAAAAGTTGAGGGGGGGGGGCGGATTCTGCCCCCGGCCCTTTTAGGGTTAAAAGTAACGACTAAAAATTGAACTGAAATGAATTGAGAAGGCTATGTCACTGTAAAATCAGACTGCTGTCGGAAAAAAAAAACGAGTTTTGTGGCGCTGAGTTCTAATTTTCCACTGCAAGAGACGACCACCCCTGTTACTCATTAAAAACTTAGGATACAGCGGATGGGATGGGTCAGACAAACTCGGTCAACTTTACTACTGTATACACTATAGTACAGCGTCTCTGTCTGGACTACACAGCTATGTACCTGTTATTCTTCTTGCCTGTTTTAAGTGACCTCATATTTCCAAACATATACAGACAAGATTAAAAGTAAGAACTCTTTGAATCACAGTGCTATACAAACAAAAACATTTCAAGAATGTTGTGTATGCCAAAAGATTTCAGCTTACGCAGGTAGAAGAGCTTTTGCTGTAGTTTAGCGATCGTATATTTTGTGTTTCTGTCAAAATTTCAACTCCTGGTCTATGGCGGTGTCTAGATATTTATATTCAGTCACTCTGCCAATCGACTGGCCTTTTATAATTGAAGCTGAAATTGCCACATGAGTAATAATAGTTTTAAGGAGTTGGCCCACTTCAACTAACAGGCAAGTCATGATTGCTACTTTTGTTTAATGGTATTTGGAGTTATCTTCTGCATGTTTTGGGATGTGGGCCCAGAGGCTCAATACAATTCTTTTTCAGCTCCCCCAAAATTCTTATTGGGCGCCTGCTTCTGTTCTCCTTGTACTTTGAAAACAGCCGTCGGAGCTTCTCGACGACCACCTCGCGTTCGAAGAGCACGCACTCGGCGTTTGATGTGATGACGCCCCACGTCTGTTGTACGTGCTCTTCCGTCGGGTCCGGGTGGCACACGGCGAAGCGGATGACGAACGTGCCACGGAGGGAGGCGGGAACCATGTGGGCCTTGCCAGACTGGTTGATCCGACGCAGGAGGGACTCGGTCAAGTTGTTTGGCCCCTACCAGTGTCAATGTTATATAGACAATCATTTAATGAGTTAATTTACTCTGACTCAAAGAATGTATAGGCCATTATACAGGGTGAGTAAAAAAACAAAAACACGAAACACAAATGTTGGGACCATTGTTTTAGGGAAGTTCTGCATGTAGCATTTTCAAAATCTAGGATATAAAGGCCAAATTCTCAAGCTTTTTTTAGTACAAGAATTATTCAAATCACTTGTGTACTTTTTAAGTTACGGATTTTTAAAGACAACCACCGTTTCACACATCCCTATGTGATTTGTTTTCGTTTTGTTGAAAGAACACTGAACTTTGTTGTGATCCGTGGACGGAACCTTAAAACGGTGGTTGTGTTTATTAATTCCGTAACTTGAAAAGTGCTACATGCAGAACTTCACTAAAACAATGGCCCTGACATTTGGGTTTCGTTTTTTTTTTACTCACCCTGTAGTGTTACTGTCCTCATCACCCACTTCTAGTAAACCCGGTTCGATTCCCACCTTGTGCTCCTGCAAGACTTCTAGACTGGATTGTCAGGGCACTACCGAGCCGCTCTGTTGATTTTCTCTGTTTGTTTTTCTCACACATGCAATACAAATTCCTTCTCTCTGCTCTCAAATATACACAACGGTATTTTGGTAATGAAGATCACGTTAACCAGCATAAAATAGGAAAGAAAATGCAGCATTAAAAGAGACTATATACAGATCTAAAGCTAAGATCTAAGTTGAAATACTTTTCCTTCTCTCAATGAGAACCATACACTTTATTTTTCACGATCCGATCAAAAAGTCTGAACGGCAAAATCTCTGCACAACAAGGCGACAAATTCGTCTTCCCTTACCAAACTGATGGACTTTTTTAAAAACTGTTTTGATATCTCTGTATACCTTAAGTCGGAAGCACACCAGACCGAACACCACGTCTCCGAGGATCTCAAATCTGGCATCTCGCCGCACCAGTGCCTCGAATCGTTTAGCCATTGCCACGTGCTGTCAATGAAAGAAAAATGGTGACAGTTTCGAAAACCTTTTCATAATGGGTTACTATCATTTTCATTTCAATGAATAAACTACAAGGTAGTCTCCTACCGATCGTATGTATTGCTGCAATCCCTCCACGCCGTACATCCTGATGACAAACCACAGCTTGAGAGAACGGAAGCGACGACTCAGAGGAATTGTCCAGTTCTAAGGTCCGAAAGAAAAGAGTCGACATTAAGTAAGGGGACTTAATCTGACGATGAAATAAAATCACATTTTAACAGAGAAGATGCATGTGTGTCAGGGTGACTGTCACGGCTCTGACGATGACAAGTTATGCCGTTACCACGACAGTGGCGACTGATCATGACACAGTCTCTAAATACGATGGTGACAATAGTGACAGTGAAGATTATCGCGTCGAATGCAGTTGTGCTGGAAGATGATGAAGGCGGTGATGTGGAGACGATGTACGTGTAGGCCGAAAGTGACGATGATGACAAAAGGTGACGATGGTGATTGTTAATGATCATAGCCTGGTGAGTATGATGGTGGTGATGGCGACGGTGACAATGCAATGGTGACGGTGTTGATAATGCCGAAGAGGGTTGGTAATAATGATGAAACTGAATATGACGAAGATTGTGATAATGTTCGCGTATTATGGCAGTGACAGTGAATGCCGATGATAAAGAAGGTTTGTTATGATGATGAAGATCTGAGTGACTGAAAAGAAGAATCGAGACGACAAGGAAAACAACGTGACTTCAGAGACATGTTTGAATACCCTGTAGTCTATCGAATGAGCTTCGTTGTCATGCTGTAGATATATCGGGTTGACAGTCAAGGCATTCGTCAGTGCATGCTTATCTCGCACCCTGCCAAATCAAATAGAAAACAAAATGTAGCCTAAATGTTCATATTCTTCAAGGTGTTACGTCAAGTAGAATTGATCGCGTTGTTTTTGCCCAAACATTCAAGCAATTACCATGTCAATTCAAGTCGTCGTTTTCAGGAAACGGGGGGGGGGGGGGGTGATATGAAAGGGGGTGTTGAGTGAAGGCGCGCCTTGCTAGAGGGGTCCGGAGGCCTGCCCCCGGAAAGGTTGAAATCTTAGATGCTTTCTCTGCATTCTAAGCAAATTTGAGAATAGATTGAGGAACTTAAGCATTCCATTTATAATGTTTGGCCCCATTTTACTAGTGTCACAACATTAGTCAGCTTGGGTGGGGTAGAGTGGGGGGAGTTGCTACCCCCAAACGCAAGGGCGGATCCGGGGGGTAAAGGGGTCATGCCCCCCCCCCCAAAAAAAAGAACCCAATTTTTTTTTTTTTTTAAGTGACGTCGCAATAAAGGCAGGCGATGAGTACACCACCATCTTTTCCTAAAAAAACCAACACATAGGTTAAGTGGTCAGAAATTGCCACAGATCGCACCACGGAGCATCTAGTATCCAAAGAAAATTCTGGGCCCTTAAGCGGGCCCCGAACCCCACGCCGTAATTTTTTGACCCACTTTTTGGGGGACCAAATTTTTTTGGGGCCCCCAAAAATTGTGTTCTGGATCCCCCTTTGCGCAAACATAATGTCTACATCTTGGAACAAACGAAAAACGAAGGAACAAACAAACAAAACGACGAGGAAAGCCATATATACCACATGACGGAGCAGTCGAAGTTGACCATCATCCACTTGTTGGGGTTGAAATTGAATGACTTCACATACTGGTGACCAAAAAAAAGAAGAAAATGAACGAAAGAGCAAAATAAAACATGTACCAAACAAATCGACTCATTCCGAGGTTAAACAAGTGAGGGAGTACATGTAGTATGTTGTTCCATATCACTCATTGACCAATTCACTCATAACTGATATATTTTATTTTGGTTTCACGGAAGCAAAATAGTATCAGCCTATACATGAAGTCATTCACTAAATGCTAACCAGTAATTTCACTGCAACACCAGGGCCCAATTTCATAGCACTGCTTAACAGTAAGCAGAAAAGTTGTGCTTACTATAACAGAAAATCATGCTGCTGCTTAAGCACTATTTCATGCTAACGGTTGCGCGCGCAAGGAGATTTCTATTGTTACGTCACTGATTTAAGCAAAGTTTTCTTCTGGGGTTAAGTGTGCTTTTGCTGTGCTTACTGCTTAACGGTCCCTGTGAAACAGATGGAGGCTCGGTAAGCACAAGTCCGGCTGTTAAGCAGCGCTATGAAATTGGGCCCTGAATACACCACCTTCCTGATTGCTTTAAAAACACCTAAATTTAATTTTGTTTGCAGGCTGCAGTGCTATTATTTTCTGTTTTACAGCATCAATGACCTTTATTACTGTTACCTGAAAACCCCGCAGGAGATATCTGAACTCCGGGCAGATGAGCGCGTTGCCACTGTACGCGCCGTCCACGTGCAGCCACAGGTTCCTCTCGGAACACACACGGCCCAACCCCTCCACGTCATCGCACGCACACACGCCGGTCGTACCAATCGTGGCACACACCTTTGGAGAACCAAGTTCAGATACAATCTTACAGTATTTATTTTTTTACTAGACAAGCCCTCTTTTTTGTAAGGCAAAGAGAATTTATGATCTTATGAATAAACAACTTTTCTAGGGAATGGAGCACTTTCTTCGGACTCTATAATTTTTTACTCATAAAACATGTTTCTATCCGTCTAGCTACGGGTTAGCGTCTAACTTCAGCCTAGTTACCACATCGCAATCGAAGTTAAACTTATGTAGGCCGCGCAACCGTCGGCAAAGTTGAACTGGGTTCTACTTTGCCGATCGTCTGCGGGAGAGTTTGCGTCTGTCTGAGTTGTCTGTGACATTTGCCGATGAAATGTTTCCATGTGGCTGCGTTGCAGTTTGGGTCTTGTTTGCGTTGCTCTCCGCGTTTCGTATGTCGATATGGAAACTAGGCCTTACAAACATTATCTAAGAATGGTCGGAAACGTTTACTTACGAAGAACGGAACGAGACCTTTCTCCACATCAGTCTGGTAAAGAAACGGAAAGATGAATGTTTATGAAAGTTCCAGAACAAGTTGTAAAATCATAATGTGGAACAATACTTTATTCTGTATTGAAAGCATTTTACTGGGAGTAAAGTTGGCCGCACGTATGTCACTACCTCCCCAAACTTTAGTCAGTTGCGCCCCAGACATACTATATCACGCCATGCTTTTGCCACGTCTTTCTTTTATAGTCAGTGGGCTTGTGGTGGCCCATATGCAATTTCGGGTACATTCTTTGAAACTCTCAGGATCACTAGAGGATACCTCAAGAAGTTCCAAACCACTTGATGCCATTTTTTCTGACCCTTTTGTGGGCGTGGCCATGATTTTAAAAAGTGGGGGCATCGCGCGCAAAAAATATTTAAAAAAATGTACATCACCAATCATATCATTTATGGTGATATGCCAAATTTAAAACTGTTAAGTGAAACAAATCTTGTTTAATCCATCTTGTGTAATCTGGATTCTGAAACTATTGACAATATAGTCTCACACTTTTCTATTACTAAATAAGGTCATGGATATTAAATGCCAAATATGTTGTCCAATTACAAGTGACTTATAAAGGATTCACTAAATCACCCAAGTTTGATAAGTTTTACTCTTAATATTGAACTTTGTCATTTTCAAACAATATTTCCAATGACCGAGTCCACATTTAATAATATCATTTTTATAAATGAAGTGAAGATAAATAAATTTGAAGTTAAAAAGGCTATTGCAGTTTGTGTGTAATAAAACGAGGTCAACATTGTTGTCAGGACAAAATAAACTACAGTGAAATCTCAAAATGTCAAACTGTTGATAGCTCAAACCTCCTGTTAAGTAGAATAAGGACTTTATTCCCTTCTATAACAGTGATATACAACCCTGCTTAGGCCAAAAAAAAAAAATCCGGTTTCTGGTATGGAGCTTGCCCAAAAAGTGGTGCGGCGACGCGGCTTTTTTTTTTTTTTTACCTGATTTTTTGCTTCAAAATGTCGGCTGATGACTGCAAATGGTGCCCGACGAAACTTAGTGCAAATATATGGGAGTCCAGAGAGGCCACATAAAGCTTATTCTCGACCATAACTGAATCTAAAAACACGTTAAAATTGTGCAGCAGCATGATTCCAGTCAAACCAGTGAGTTTTGCGGTTTTGAGACATCATGTTTCATTGAAAAAAAAAACTTTTTCAATTTGCCGACGCACATAGCAACGGCGATGCGCGCGCATACCAGAATTATTTTCTGTCATGTTTTATTTTCAATGAAATAGTTTTTAAAAAATGAATAACATAATATAATACATTTGCGGGGTGAATATACAAGAGAGGTCACCCACTGAAAAAAGGCGCTCTCTCTTGCCCACAATATGTCAAAAAAGGCGTATATGGACCTTATAGGTAGCAGTCATCAAGGCAATACATTTGTCTTGCTGTGACATACCAGAAATAAACCTTTTAAGCACTCATTGTTACTGAATTAAAATAACAAATGATGCCCTATAAGACGGCCGCTATACTCATAAAATCTACCCATGAGGTCTAAGAAATACGAAGGGTGCTCAAGTTTAAGGAATAAGTCAATCTGGCATGAAATGTCATCATGGCCTACGTCAAAGTGAAAATGCACAAAACGCTGCTCCGTCCCATAAATTCAAAACTTTTATTTTTCGATTTATTGACATTCAACGGTTGTATTCAAAAATGCTATCAAAAGCTTGGAAAACACAACGACTATCCTCTATCAATAGAATTTCTGTAGAAATATAACTATGCAGTTTTTCTAGTATATATTTTCCTGCTCAGTCTTGTAATTGACTTTGTATTTCGTTAATCTTTCAGAAATTTGAGATAATTAACAAACTGTTATAATGCAACTCAAAATAATTATAATATACACGACTACATGTAATTGTCGCACAGATTTTTCATATTATTCAGGGAATTATTGTACTTGAGGGAATTATTGTTGTTAATGTATTTTTACTCTGTTGGACGGTTTTTAATCTAATTTGGTATACTACTTTTAATTGGATAGCCTAGTTGTATTTTTGGAAGACAGGTGTTTTTACCAATTAACCTGAATAAATAAAGTATTATTCCATCCTGTATGCTCATTGTCTCTGTCCCTTTGCCAGATTCATGCTATTGTGTCTCATTCAGTGCAAATCACTGGAGTTCGTTTCATTCCCTTTAACGCGTTTCTATCATTCCGTTCCCCCTGTGAGCGTCCTTCGTTTGTCTTCTAAGGCCAAAAAAAGTCTCCGGTTTCTGGTATGGAGCTTGCCCAAAAAGTGGTGCGGCGACGCGGCTTTTTTTTACCTGATTTTTTTGCTTCAAATGTCGGCTGATGACTGCAAATGGTGCCCGACTAAACTTAGTGCAAATATATGGGAGTCCAGAGAGGCCACATAAAGCTTATTCTCGACCATAACCCAATCTAAAAACACGTTCAAATTGTGCAGCAGCATGATTCCAGTCAAACCAGTGAGTTTGGCGGTTTTGAGACATCATCTTTCATTGAAATTTTTTTTTCATTTTGCCGACGCGCATGGCTACGGCGACGCGCGCGCATACCAGAAACCGGAGACTTTTTTTCGTTGGTCTTAACTCAAAACTCTGTTTTCCGCACCAAATTATAAGGGATTGTAACAAATACAAAAACAAAACAAAAAAGCTCAAGATTGCCTGTTACAGGTCGATTTTCTGTTAGCAACGTGTGCCCCCACTTATTTAAAAGGTTGCCCCACCCCCAAAAGAGGCACAATTGTGGACTTTTGTGTGTGTGATGTAGCACTTGAGTTAACTGTCCAAATGTGAAAAAGAAAATTTTTTTTTTTTAATATTTTTTTACGCGCGAAGCCCCCCACTTTTTAAAATCATGGCCACGCCCACAAAAGGGTCCGAAAAAAATGGCATCAAGTGGTTTTGAACTTCTTGAGGTATCCTCTAGTGATCCTGAGAGTTTCAAAGAATGTACCCGAAATTGCATATGGGGGGGGGGGGGGTCATTTTCGACCGTAAGCCTACTGACCATTACCTCTACTGCTTTTCGAAGCGTTTCCCCTCGGCAGGAATAGTGGGCGTCTGTTGGGAGTTTACGCCTCTTCACAAACGCGATGTTGGCGGCCTTTTCGACGGAAGAATGGGCCTAGGAAGGGAAGCGATTAACTTGGTAAAATAAAGTGTGAAATTAGTTTATGGAGCTGGTAATTGGGCCTGTTGGTTCTATCGAGAATGTTTTTTACACCGTATCACTATTTATCGTAAACGGACGCCTTATAACGTCACGGTATAATACCGACTGGTGTAACCCCATAGCGTGCGGTACTGCCTTGATATCGGTTGCGGTTCAAGGGGTGGGGGTTGTTGCTGTTGTTGCACCCCCCCCCCCTTCAGCCGCTGACTAATGCATGCTATGAAACTAAATGAGGCCAAATATAATACATGGAATTCTAAAGTTCCTAAATGTATACATGAAATGTCTTATGCAGGACAAATCATCGTAGATTTCAACATTTTGCGGGGGCATGGCCTCGGACCTACCCAACTAAGGCGTGCCTTCGACTCATCCCCACCCTTTCCCCCTTTTTTTTATATCAACCCCTGCTTCCCGAAAGCTAGATATGCCCCTGGATATTAGTTGCTTTTCGCCTTTCCTGGGGTCCTAAGCAACCTGCTCATTGTATTTCCACAATAAAAAAGCCATTGAATTACCTCTTCCGAGAAGTATGCCACGAGCTTGGACAGCAGAACGCAGTCTTCTTCGTCGGGGTAGATCTCTTTGAGTTCATTCAGAGCTTTAGCTCGAGCAGCAAGCATGCACACTAAGGTGCACTCACTTGCCGATCCCTGAAATCAAGGGTGTGAAAAAAAGGAGATGAATTTCACGTAAAACAAACTAGGTGTTTAAATTAATACACCAAGCGGTTCCAAAGAATAATTCTATTATATGCGAGGAAAAGGCAAATTGTTTTCAGAAAATGAGGGTCAATGACCTCATTTTGATGGTATAACAGACGCGTCATCGTTCCCATATGGTGTCAGGCAATACGCTCCCAACAATACCTGCTCTCTCAGCCGTGTGTAAGCCTCTGTACCGATGACGTCACACTTTGTTTACTTGTGCGCTTTTCTATGGGGCGACGAAACGGTCGTCCCCCCCACGAGGCTTCCTCAGAAACGCACATAGTCTGGTGCCTGACTGTGCTTTAAATCAGTGTTTGTTTTTGTATGCGGTGCCTGGGGTAAGAACAGAATCAATTCGTCGCGCTGTGAGATCTAAAAAAACACACGATTTTCTTCAACGTTAAAATGTAACAATCTTATCCAGCCAACATGTAGTAGGCCTATCATTTATATCACCTATTAAGCAAAATTTGAAAATGGATGGGGATTGTTTCTGAGGTGGAGTGAACGTCATAATTCACACTGAACGTTAACAAAACCCCGTAATTACACGTTAAAAATAAAAACACCAAGTACACGATACGATAAAAATCCATTGCTTGCTATTGCTGTATCGAATCAGGATACAGGAAGCAAGCTTAGTAACCACTTCGCTCATACCCACCGCCCTGCAAACAGGGCGCTGGGAAGGGCTGAAGTGACCCATGACCTAGATATAAAGCATCTGGCTGCAGCTGTTCAAGACCGCACTTAGACAATGCGCGCAAATGCTATCCGAAAACTTCCCATAGAAATGCACACATTCCATACCGGTAGGATTTCTTTTTCATTGCAGACTATGTGGACAAATTTTGAGCGTCGCATAATGCAATCATTGACCCTTCGTGAATTCGAAACGGTCACAGGTCACTCAAAATATATCCAATCAGAGCGTGAATTCATCAAGGGCGGATCCAGAACACAATTTTTTGGGGGGCCAAAAATAAAATTTGTGTCTCCCAAAAAGTGGGTCAAAAATTACGGCGTGGGGTTTGGGGCCCGCTTTAAGGGCCCCGAATTTTTTTTGGATTCTCGATGCTCTGTGGTGCGATCTGAGGCAATTTCTGACCACTTTAGCCAATGTTTTTTGAGGAAAAGATGGTGGTGTACTCATTGCCTGCCTTCATTGCGACGTCACATGAAAAAAAAATTGGTTTCGTTTTTTTTTTTTTTGGGGGGGGCATGGCCCCCTTTGGCCCCCCCCCCCCGGATCCGCCCTTGGAATTCATCAGCCCTTCCCAACGTCCTGTTTGCAGGGCGGGGGTACGAGCGAACCTAACCACGGGGTACTATTGCAAACGAGGTTGAAAATAAAATAATCCTTGGGACAAGGTTGCTTTGAACTTTGCTGTCGACATCCAACACATTCCTCCTTTATTCACCTGTCCGCTACTGTTCAAGCGCAGTACGTACTACAAAAACACGAATGTATTTGGAAGCCTCAGAAATAAACATGGGCGTCGCCAGGATTTTTTCTAGAGGGGGGCAAATTTTTTTTTTTGCCAAAAATGCTTGCATTTCTCAACATATTCTCGATTTATCAGTTTTAGAGGGGGGAAGGGACATTTTGCCCCCCCCAACTCATTTAATTTACACCACTTTGTCTTCGCGCCTCTTTTTCTTTTTTTTTCTTCTTTTTTTTCCCCTTCTTCTTCTTCTTTTTTTTTTTTTGCTTTTCCAGGGGGCGGGGGCAAGTGCCCCCCTTGCCCCCCCCCGCGACGCCCATGGAAATAAACTCATCGTTAGTCACGTTACTTGAAAAAACTTTCAAATTTCAGCTGCGACCGAAAAAAGCCAGGTCATCATGGTGCCAAAAGCACTGTGACGACCTCACTAGCTCACCTGAATAACCCCGCCGCCGTTACCGCCCTCCGTGTAGGGAAGCATCTCTTTGGGCAGACCCATCATGCGACCCAACCAGTCTACCATCAAAGTCTCAAGCTCCGTCATCGCCGGACTGGCAGCCTATCAACAGATACAACACTTTAATCTAAAGGAAGTATCCAGGATCGGACATTGAGATAAGGTTTTGGATGCTAGTTATACGGGCTTTGGATGCTAGTTATACGGGCTACAAGGAGCTAGCTGCTGAGGATATATTTTTTTTCAGCGCAGAAAATAGGTAAATGTTCTTGAAACTAATTGAATTGAAGGACAAGTTATCATCCTAGATGCGACGAGAATGCTGCCGGTGACATGGCTTCTAAGCATTGGTGCTCATTAGAATGCTGACAATATCTTCCTCTATACTCCATGAATTTCGCCTCGGGTCGAGGCTGTGATTGTAGGGCAGTGAGTGCCACTTTGGCCAGCGCGGAACATGTACAACGGCCCAGGTTTCGGCTGGAATGTTTGGCGTCATGCAGTAATGAATACGTTCGGTATCGGTAAGTTTGATCAAATTAGGAAGGGACCAGATCTGCTTCAATTCAATTCAATTCAATTCAATTCAATTCACTTTATTTACCACATAAAAAAGACAATCAGAGTTAAATATATACAAAAAATGTGGATGGGGATCCCTAAAAAGCAATGCTTGTCGAGTAGAGATCCCCAGTTACAATCATACAAAAATATACAAGTTACACACACAAACAACACATAAGGACATAACACCCGACATGAATATGGGAATAACATGCAGCTGCAACCCCGTGAAAAAAAACCCCATTAAGTACTCAAATATTTTTCCAATAATTTATTTTTGTATTTGTGCTTGAAGAGCGAGAGACTGGATATATTTTTTTAGGGAAAAATCAACCGAGCTCCACAGCTTGGGACCCTCATGCTTTACAGTTGCCCTAGAGATTGCAGTACGTGCGTGAGACCGATGAAATTCCTTAAACTGTCTTGTAAAATAAAGGTGCGTGTCATAATTTTTTGAAAACATAGAACAAATCGAATTGGGTAAACTGTTAGTGTTAAGTTGATGCATGAAGGAGCCCAACTGAAGAGAGTAAATGTCATGAACTTTAAGAGTATTGCAATTATAAGAAAGTGGATTACTATGCTCATGAAAGTCAACGTTGTTAATGATACGTAATACTTTTTTCTGTAATTTGAGGATTCTATTAATTTGACCAGTACCACTATTGCCCCATGCAAGCATTCCATATGTAATATAATTCACTTTGGAATTCAGGCCACACGGGATCCGGGTACTTACCCACGAGAAGCCTATGCAACCGAGGCCGTCTGACAGCATGTCAGCAAGAATGGACGCGTAGGAGTTACCGGCAGGGAAGTAAGCGTGAAAGCCGGGGTGTTGCCAGTGAGTCATCTGAATAAAAAAAAGGTGTCTAATAAAACTGGTGTCAAACCAAGCTGGTATACGGGGTGTTGTTACAACTGATGATGTAGTAACCAACGGATAATGTATCACTAACCGATAATGTCACACAAATTGACCGATAGTGTAGTAAAAATGTACTACACTATCAGTTGATTGTTGTTACATTATCGGTCTTAACCGATAATGTAACAAATATTGACCGATAGTGTAGTAACATTTACTACACTATCGGTCAATTTCTGCTACATTATCGGTTAGTGATATAGTATCGGTCAATTTGTGTGACATTATCGTTTGGTGATACGTTATCAGTTGGTTACTACATTATCAGTTGTAACAGGTGTCTAGTAGTCACGTCAACTGAGCCTGAGTAATTTTTTTTGGGGGGGGGGTTAAGCAAGTCTAGGTAGTCAATGAGTTACTGAGTTTACCTACCCCAGGTAATATAGTGTCCTCCACGTCGCTCATGATGCTTTCCCACGACTCCGGTCTCCGGGGCGCCTCACTGGGCAGCAGACGGTGGAGATATCCCGGGGTCACAGCCGGCGTGACCCGGTACTCTTTGATGTCCCTCAGGTACCTGTTGATGAAGTCCGCCATCTCGGCAGCTCGCCGGGAGAAGGCCTCGCCATCCATGTCACAGGGATGGTTAGCGGTGAGCTTCGGCAACGGTGTAAACTTCGATCGGCAGTCTGCAGGATTCTAACAGGGAACACGGCAGGGGAAAGATAACCAGTGTAGGTTTCATGACGAGGAGGTCAACTTTCCCAATACGTGTGTTCTTAAGATGTTAAAGAGAAACTGATCATATTTCTTGAGACTTTTCTCAGTAGACCTATATCACACAGCCGCATAGCCAGGAAAGTCAACTATCTAGTTCTGTTCAAGTAATTGCAAAATTAAGGAGAGGTACGATGTTCTTTTTCCCCTTTAAGTTCTGCAAAGGTATTCAGCACCGATTTCGGACGTGCATGGTGACATGTTCTTTGTTACAAATAAATGGAAGGCACCTTCCTATTTCCGCGAATACGAAGCGAATTGACGCCACGAAACATTTGCAGGAGTTGATGTATGTGCAACTTTTATCACTTCGCATACCTAGCGTGACGTCACAAATTCGCATCCGCGTCCGCTTTTGCGCCGAGTACGAACCGGCCTTTGTACTATATTGTCATAGCGAAACCTATGGCTTTCATTTGACAGGAACGATTACGGTACGCAAATGGGACAACTTATTTGCTCTGTAGATACACAGTGCATGTTAATTAATAAGTGCATACAAAAATCTCTTCTAAAACAGTAGTATAACACAGAGGCACCGATGATATGTGTAAGAAGTACGAGAAAAATGACCCCGCCATTATAGGGGTGATACACGTTTTACTCACCGATTAACAGAGTCCGAGAGTAGCGGGCACCGCGTTAAGTTCCGACCTTTAAAAATGCATCAAACACGGGGAGCAACGATGCAACGCGCTGGTACCCTCATTGCATGTGCCTTGGTATCTGGCAAGTCTTAGAAGACGACCTACCAGAAACCTTGGACACACAAATCGGTGACAGAACGACAAAAACCTGTAACCCCACCTCCCAAATTAGACTTTCCCTTCTAATCCCGACATGAGTTATACGATTGTCAGACAAAGTTAAAAACACACAAGCGCTACATGACCCTCGTGCAGGAATTCCAAACAGGTATGAATTTATAACTGGGATCACGTCCCTAGTAACCGAAACCCGTTATAATATTAATGTCTTTAACACGGTACTCATAAATCAGTCCATCAAGATAAGCACACACATTCTGTTTTGGGTAGTTTAATAAACGATCGTTTGCAGAAAGCTCTTTTTAGTTGAATTATGGACGGAGATTGAGAATTTGTATCCATCTGGTGTGTCCAATATCAAAAGCGTCTGATGCGCTGCCTCCTAATGGTGTCGTTACGGCTATCACAGCAACGTTATGTCTAGACCAATAATGATCGAACGCATTATCTCTGTTTTATCCATGCATGGAGCCGAGCAGGTAGAGCTAACAATGCTCAATATGTCTCTGCCTATTATGACAAAATGATTTTCACAAAATTGTGAAGGTAGCCGAAATGACCGAGTGGCCACAGATCTCCTGGCCCGGGTTCGAATCCCAACCACATACTTCGAATCTCGCACCATACTTTTAATGGGAGCGGTGTTCAGATCCGACGATTATAATTAACACTGTATCAAAGGTACCCCCTGTACGTATTTTGTGCAAAGGTGGACATTATTACCAGTAAAAAAAATGTGGTGTCAGAGCAGGAGGGGTTTTCGTTTCTTTTCATGAATTTTTATGGAGAAAAAAATGGACAGAGCTGGGGGGGGGGGGGGGGTCCGCATCTGTCACCGTTGTCTATGGGATTGCATTTGATTGTTTCGCTCGTAACCCCCTCCCTGCAAACAGGGCGCTGGAATACTCTGATGAGCTTCACAGAATCTTGTGAAGGAAGTGGCCTATGACCTATGTATAAAGCATCTGGCTGCAGCTGTTTAAGACCGCAGTTAGCCCATGCGCGCAAATGCTATCCGAAAACTTTCCCACAGTAATGCGCACAATCCATACCGGATGTGATTTCTGTTAAATTGCGGACCATGTGGACAGCATTTTGAGCGTCGCAAATGCAATCCGACCGTTCGTGATTCGAAACTGAGCCTGAGCAAGTGTCAGGAATTGTATATTTACAACACAGATAAGTTTTACAGAATTTCCTACATTATTACGCCTTTCAACGACAAAAAATCTCTAAACTGGAATAAAAAAGTAATGAATCAGTCTTTTAAACGGCCGTTTCAAACCTTGCAGAGTCATGACCGTGATGACGCGCAGGTCACAAGTCATGCAAAATCCAACCAATCAGAGCGTGAATTCATCAGAGTATCCCAGCGTCCTGTTTGCAGGGCGGGGGTACGAGCGAATTTGATTGTGTGCACCCTCGGCGGGCTTGGGCGTGGACCCCGGCGCACACAAGGTGGCGCTACACTATTTCTCAGTCACAGTCCGTTTATCCGACATGGTGGATCTCACCGTAGGGGGCCAAGATTCACGATTAAACAAAAAATAGAAGGATGCTTCTTTAACCCTCCCCTTGCTGTCATCGCCTACTACGGCTCTAGACCATATTCCTTTATTCCACTGTCGATCGATCAACCAGGCAGAGTGAAAGGAAAGGAAAATCAATACAAAGGTAGCCTAGCTTGGCCATCCCCTTCGCTGTGAGTAACTTCATTCAGGACAAAGTAATCTTGAGAAGAAAAGGTTGCGTCCCATTTGCAGAAATAACTCTGTAAATACAACCCAGCGTTATGAATAATTAACGAGATACAAAGGAACAGGCTACGTGAAAGGCTGCAAGTTTATTAAATACAACGAAAGGTGTACATATTCTAACCGGTAAGTTTCACTCTCATGAAATTCGTTAAACTTTCGAACATAAGAATATGAACGTTTGCTGACTTGTAAAACAAGGTAGGTGATATCACCACGCGGTATCATTAAATATAATTTTAACTGTCAGTCCTGATCCGACTGGAGAAATTAACACCGTGGGAACTTGATAGTGTGCACATTCGCCACACGGCAACAGGCTGCGGTCACAGAGACTGTCAATAATATTACATCCCTGAATATTTCAACTGTTTTTTTTTCTTTCGGTTTATTTCGGGTTTTTTTTCAAAAGATGGCTAAACCGACCCGACCCGTTAATGTAAATGCAAAACCGAAACCGACCCGACCCGACTGAAAAGATGGACAAACCGACCCGACCCGAAACGAAGTCGGTTTCGGGTCGGGTCAGTTTCGGTTTCGGGTCGGGTTTGCACATCATTACCTGGAAGACAGCACGATGGCCGGCCCCGCCGGAGCGGGGGCCTGGCAGGGAACAACCAAATTTTGGCCCCTTGGCAGGCGCGGTTCTAGAGCCAATTTGTTTTTTTGGGGGGGGGGGGGCCTAGCAGGGCGGATCAAGAATTTTTTTCTGGGAGGTGGGCTAAAATGTAGAAATTTAGGGGAAGACCGTTCGCATGTACGTCACATTCCTTCTTTTTGCCAATGCAATTTTTTTATGGATTTTTTTTGGGGGGGCTAGACAAAATTTTGGGGGGCTAAAGCCCCCCTTAGTACGAGTACGAGTACGAGATAAAAACTGTAATTGGAGCTTTCACATACCCACTTCTCCATAATTATGTTAATGAAATACTTGTTATACTGAATTGAAATTTAGTACATTAACTAAAATCGATGTATTCCACAATTCTGATGAAAATCGGGAGAAATCTTCAAAAAACAGAAATAATTTAACCAAAATAATGTATGTTTATGCAATAATGTTTTATGCGCGAAAACGCAACCCGAATAGAAGCCAACGATCTTGGTTTCCGGACGATAACTCACCTGGAATACCTGTTGTAACAAATGAAAATATAATATAGTTATTGCTTGCTAATTGTTATACACAATGCTTTTGATTATCTGGAGTCATTTTCAAATAATAAAAAAAAATAATATAACTAAACCAATTTAGTAGGTTAAACGCTATAAATCAAAGGCCATCTTTAATGACGATAGGTTAAGATTTGTGAATGTTCGTGAAATTTTAGGCAACGTCAGAAAGCCTAGGTCCTACTAGCACTATCAAGTATTATTGTAAAAAGGAAATAAAAATGACTCACTGGGCTTAGGCCGAAAGTCAGGATACAGAAGTTCCTTTCTCTCCCTCTTTTAAATGTAAACAAAAGAACTCCCAAATACATCATTTGACATTTTTTAGTTTTGCAAGATGGTCCTGATGTCGCTACTGGACTTTTTTGTATAAAAAACTCTAACACGTCTAAGACTAAACATGTCAAAAAGTGGGCACAAAAAGTGTCTGCATTCTCTAGGCCCTATTTTTTACAATGTGTTGTTCGATCTTCATATAAATTGCAGGTGAAACAAAACAACGATGGCAGCACACAGCCACCCCGGTATCACCGCGGTAGTTCTCTTTGCTGCCCTCCTGCACTGTCTCCTCGTTGCTCCGCCCATCCACGGCCGAACCATGTGCGATGACCGGGCCACGTCGGCGGCCATGGAGCTCTACGGCACGCCGGACCTGACCATGTCCATCACCCTGGACGACGGGGAGGACGCGGCCAACGAGACGGTGGCGCACTGCGCCCGCCGATGCCGGCGGAGTGCCGAGTGCCAGTCGTTTACGGTAGGGCACACAAACGGTTACAAGTTGCCATTCGTACGACATATGGGTTATTGGATTGTTCGTTTGATGATAAAAGCATGGAATTTGGCACACAGTTAGAGTATGTCACAAGACGGATATTTGGCTTTATACAACACCTGAATAAGTCCCCGCCATCTGATTGGTGGATCGTTGATCACATGTCATTGAATTATTCGTACCAATGCACGGCGCGCGCGTGGCGCGCAGCGCACAGTGCAATGGAAGTACTATTGCACTGTGATTAGAAGTACCATTGCACTGTCACTGCACATGTTGCCGAAGGTGGCGCTGTGGTGTTTAAATTGGCAGTAAAAGTTTTGGACTTATTGAACTGTTTAAGTTCTAAACTTATGGAAAAGTTTTAAATTGTTGAACAGTTTGCATAAATTAAATATGATAACTCTGAACTTGTCAAACTTGTAAACAATTTTAACTTGAATAAATTTGCTATTAAAAGTCAACCAATCAGATGACGAGGATTTATTCAGGTGTTATATAAAACAAATAATGAATGTTTCACGTTTGTGCAATAGAAAGAATAATTTCATTCGGTGACAGATGAAGTGTTCCATTCCTCTCGGCTTCGCCTCGTGGAATGGAACATTTCATCTGTCACCTCATGAAATTATTCATACCATTGCACTCACAAACAATCATTATTTGTATAATAGGGCCATCACAGATTTGTCCTTTGAAAAAACAATATAGTAAAATATGTTTCTTAAGACATGCCGTGGCTGTGTGCCAAATGCCATGCTTTTATCATCGAAGTATACAATCCTCCCCAAAAATATTTCCCCTATCTGCTCCACTACACGAACAATCATGCTTCACTTCCAAAAACTAGAAAATTACACTCAACTCTTTAAGGTGTTGCAGTCACATATCAAAATCTGCATATATTTTCATTCTGTTCACAATGACAAACATTTTAATTCATAACACTTTCAACCAAAGATCATCAACCCTGTAAGTTGTTCTCGTGATGCACTTGAGAAAAAAAAGTCTTCGCTTCAATTAACTTCAAAATAGAACGACTATAGGATCATAATAATAATATTCTCAGAGTAATCAATTCACAGTTCTTTTAAGAGCAGGGTACTTCAGTGTTTGTTTTATTTACTCTTAAGTGAATTAGCTTTATTCATGAGTCGGCCATATTGGATTGAGATTGAGGTAAAATCTTCATTTTTGGAACTTGTGTAGAGAAATGATAGCAAGTTTACTAATTAAATCCAGTCTGCTTGAATGAATAATTTAGAATTTGTAATTAAACATTCCCTAATGTTTAAAGCCAGATTTAAAAAAAAATGACAGTAAAAAAGGCTGCATTATGCCTGCAAAGATAGTCTGGCGCCAACCCATTCAACACAGAATTAATGATATATGTTCAGGGAACTCGACAAAAATGGCCACCTCGTGAATAAGGCCCATTGAAAGCGAGGTGAAATCGTCATTTTTGGAACTTGCGAATAGAAATGAAAGCAATGACATAAAGTTAATTACAAATTAATAACGGTCTGCTCTGTTGAATAATTACAAATTTGTGATTAAACATATCCCAGTGTTTTAATTGAAAGTGAAGCTAGAACGCATAAATAGTCTGGCACCGTTCCATTAAACAGTTCACAATTTACAAAATATATTCAGGGAACACGACCAAAAATGGCTTCCTTCGTGAATAAGGTCCATGGACCACAGAAATATTTATTAAGAGAGACACAAGGGCATGAAAATTGCAATTTTTTGTGGTACTTTTCACGTAATTAATTTAATTTTTGTAGCCTAACCATCTAGAAAACAGTCGATTTCACAACTAAAATTACAGTTAATTTTGTTTATTTCTTTTTTAATTTCCGATGTTTTCAGTGGACCAACGAAACTTGCTCGCTCCATCCGTACGACAGCAGCACAGGGCCGGAGTTTAAGCACGAGGCAACGGGTGTGTTGTACTACGAAAGCTTGGACAAAAACACCGACAGAGTTGTAAGAAAAAAAGTCCACTAAAATGTTTTTTTTAATCGATGCGTATACTTTCATTTTTGTTGCCAATGGATAACACATTTGGAGTTGATTTAAAAGCTATTACATTAGTGTCGTCGATAAAAAGGTATTTTGAAGGACATACTGTTTGTCGTAGAAAAAACCGAAAAAGTTAATACTAGATGAAGTGTTATAGAGACATTTCAAATGTTATATCATTTAAGGAGTACTTCGGCGGTTGCTTGACAAACTACAAGAACAGATGCCAAAATGGCGGCTCATGTAAATCCGACTGCTCCCAGCAAGGCTTCTACTGCGCATGCTCCGAGAACTTCCGTGGGGACTTCTGTCAATTTGGTACGTTCTTGGTCATTTGCAGATAGTTTGAAAGTTGTTTGTGTTTTAAAAATATGTAAAAAAATGTCAATAGATAGATTTATATTTATACCAACTAAACAGAAATCACTGTACCTAACTTTCATCTAACTTTTAACAGAGTAAACCATTAGTGACAAAGCGTGCCCTGGCCTACCTGTTGATTCTTATAAATTTTTTAAAATTTGTTTCCTTACGAATTGCATTCATGTTTTAGCTCGGGAAGATGAGCCTGTCCTTGTCCAAACCATACAGAGCGCCCCATCGTTAGGATGCTCCGGCTTCAGTTTCAACAACGAACATTTTCTGATCATCGGTGGAAAGTAAGCATTTGATTTGAACTTAATGTATAAGTACAACGCAGTCAATCATGACATGCAAACTGGGCCCCAAATTTATGCTTACATAACGATCTCGGCCTACGCTCTGTAAACTCCCAGGCAAAATGCACTCGGAAATCCGTTTTCTGTTTTGCATAATACTTTGCAATGTCAAAATGACACTTCTCGGGTCCAAAGTGATCCCGAGAAGTATCATTTTGACCCGGAAAAATAGTAGAATGTGTACCTGAATAGGTGGCACTCGAAAATAGCATTTTGAGGTTTGGGATATTTCTCGATTTTCCCTTTGACAACGTGGAGGGAAATTGTTTGATACACTCGCAAAGAATGCGCAAGTATGTTGTGTCCATTATTAAGTGTACATTGTTAATCCCCATGAGCGCTTGCGCAACGCGCAGTAGGAATTCCTAACTGGCAGCCTTCTGAACTCTTGGGGGCAGCACACACACCAGGCTACACATTCTTGTTCCGTAACTGTGGGGACTACGCACGTGTTGTCCCATGGTATTATGGGGACCGAAGACGCTGTAGGGACAGCAGAAAGTCCCCATAACCAGTCCTAATTTTCCTAACAATACAAAGCTTCCCCATAACGTGGTGACGACCAGCCCGTACTGTTTGGTTCCATAACATAACATAATTATTGCATGAGGTTAGACCTCCAGACAACACTGTCGCCAGCTCTGGTCAATTTTTTTTTTGGGGGGGGGGGGCACAATACCAGCTAGGGGAGGGGGGAGGGCAGACAGGGGAGGAGGGGGCTGCCCCTCTCGGCCAACCTTGGCGACTGGCCTGCCTCCAGACAACAATGTATTTTTCGCATGTCTTCAATGCAGCCAGAGTGATATCAACGGATCCAATATAGAGACGACCTCCCGCGTGTACAAGTACAACGAGACCACGGGCCAGTACGAGCACGACCACGAGCTGGACGGGGTGAGTCAGGCCTGGCGAATCACGCCCATGACGGTCGGGGAGCAGCAGCTCGTCTTCGCTGCTAACTACAAGGTGTTCGGCGAGTCCACCTGGACGGCGAACTCGGTGGTGTATGCGTATGCCAACGGTGAGTCTATATAACAGTTATTGGCTATTGGCTATTCTCCATTGAGCCATTAGTGTAATGTATAGACAATAAATCTTTATTCTTGTGGAGATTTGTGAAAACGTCATCGTCGATTCGACGGACTACCGTGACTAAATGTTTGGGGTGGTGTGTTGCTTTTTGTTTGCTTTCAAAAATATTCATAAAAGGTAATTATTTGGATGTACATTTCAGACAGTTAAATGAGCTTCTGTTGGTAGTGTGAATGTGATACGTTTTTAGGCATTAATGTAACATGCATTTCCTGAAGTTATCATAAAAGGCTTGGAAACTGATTATCGACTGCACTATCGTTGAGATATTCATAAACCTGCTTAATAACTTGTAACAGCAAATAGCAAAGCGCAAACAAACTATAAGAAATTAGCTTTCGTCGATCTGAGTTTCAAAATGGTTGTATCGAATTCAACATAGGGTTGGCCTTTTTTTAAAAACAGGTACGCTTCAAACTCACCAAACGATAACTACGTACGGGGCTCGAGGTGGCGCCTACTTGTCGGCAACTACGGGGCAGCGCTACATGTTCATCTCGAATTTTAAAGGCAGCTCCTACAACGTGGACTCCCCCATCTACAAGTGGTACAGTCAGTACAGCAAGTTCTACTTCGTGCAGAGCGTGGCGACGCAGGGGGCCGGGAAGGCCGTTCTATTCGACATTGCAGGGAAGGTCTACTTGGTGGTGCCGTTTCTCCGCGGGGACAGCTCGGGATTCAATGTCCAGCCTGAGCTGTGGAAGCGATCGGAATCGAGTTGTGAGTAAAACGGTTGATTGGTAACACACATCACTGCACCTCCACGTTAATGTGGATTTCCAAAGTAAGGTTGCACAAAATGTGTTGATGATGCATCCTTCAACCTTCAGGGTCATTATTTTTTGTAGAAAGACAGAAAACAAATGCGAGTGCACGAATGAGCTCTGGACGTCTTGCAGGAAAGTCTACAACGTAAATCGGAGATAGTGCGAAAACAAGTCCAGGCCGCGCCACAACATCACACGCGCCCTCGAGGTCTCGCATGCGAAAATCACGCTGCGCTAATCTGACGCCGAAAATTGACCAAAAATAAGCCCCGTAAGTTTCCCGCGTGCTTTTTCCCACGGTATTACAGTTGGCTGTATATCACGTTATTATCACAGTTTTGCACATTACCTTGCCTCAATTTACAAAATTGTCAATAAACAACTTCACGAAGTTTTAAAAGCAATTTTGAGAAATATTGAATTTACTAGCAGCTGTTTCGGGATACACTCTGCTTTTTCCAGCCGTTCGCGTCATACGCACATCAAGCATGTCAGACTTTTGTGCATGTATGTCAGGACCACAGCCTCGACTCCATGGGCGCGTGCGCGTTCCTTGAGATCGCGCAAGGCATGATGGGAAACAACATGGCGCAGCAAGATCTCTTACCCATGGGAACGAGGTTGCGGCTGTGATTAGGCCGAACACCGAGGGGCGTGACTTAATGGATCGGTCTGTTAGCTCTGAACGGCCCGCTCACGAGGCGAGGCTCGTCTGTGCAAGACTTGTGCAGGTATGCGTGTCAGTTTGTTTCACAGTTTGCGCAGTCATTGTACTTTTTTCTCCACCAGTTATTTACATGGGCTGCTTCCTGGATGACGGCTCTGCCCGAGCAATGGAATACCACCTCTCCTCGGACAGCATGGACGTGGAGACATGCGTGACCCACTGCCGGCGTCGCGGGTACCCGTACGCCGGCCTGCAGTACCAGAGCCAGTGTTTCTGCGGCGACGAGGGCTACGATGTCCACGGGTTGCGCAGTGATGGGGAGTGCAGCATGACGTGCGCGGGCAACGGCGGGCAGTACTGCGGTGCTTCACACCGGAACTCCGTTTACCTTACCGGTGGGTTTCAAACAGCATGCGTCCACGCTCAAGATACATTTCCACAATCATATACGCAAAGAAACCTTTGCAACAATGGGATGTCAGTAAAGTCTTCCCATTATCGACAGAGTTGGACTTGAAGAGTATGTTATCAGTATCGTTACAGAGTTGGAAGTTCTGATCGATAAATTACCTGTGTCCGTGAGACAGATATTTTACCACAATCACAGCGCTTAGCATTTTCTTTTTAATCAGAAACCGTTATGATGTTATACGCTGAGGAAATGTAGTCTGAGTATCACCCGTTATCCACGTCTGATATGTCTAGACATGCTGATATATGCAAGCTACGCGCCAGCCAATCAGAGTCGACTTTACTAAATCGTGACTTCAGTTTATTCCTAAATCAGGACTAAATGGGTTGATTGGGCATTTTGAATGCAGTGTTTTGTAATACAACAACAGCCGGGCTCGATATCACATAACATGATACGGAGCAAGTGACACATTTTTAAAAAAATATCCATTATTAATAGACTATGGCTTTTGTCATGGTCTATTACATAGACTAGGGGAAATGCGGATAAACTGTAAATTATCTGAAAAACAACAATCGGTTCTCAGAAAAGAAAATCAAAGGTCTCGTTTTCCCAAGACCCACTGCTTTATTTTTTGAAAAATATATACTTCTTCACTTGTGATATTTGGATATCTCTGCCCCAAGTCATAATCTTCACCATGCAATACAAATCTCAGGTTTAAGAAGATAATAATACTAACAAACTTATTCTATGATGTTTATCTACGGTTTTAATAATAACTACCACTTCTCACCGATGGGCGGCGTCTAGTTTTTACTCTTTTTAAAAAAAAAGTTATTATTATTGCAAGTTTTTCCTCACTTATTGATTTCCTTTTAATGGATTCTTGTAAAAACAACCGTTCTGATTAAGCAAATTGCCTTACTTATTGCAGAACCGTCCTGGTCTATGATCCAGACGTTACCAGACGCCACGGCAACGATAGCCGCTGCGCACTTCCACCACCAAGGCGCCGACTACTTGGTTCTGGCCGAGTTCTCGGACGGCTCGAGCTGCGACGATAAGGGCCTAGTGGTTTACATGTGGAACGGTCAAACGGAGGAGTTTGAGACGCACCAGACGATCGACGACCTACAGTGCGTGTACGAAGTGGAAGCGTTCAAGGTAAGCCGTAGTCTGGAGACCAGACCTCATGTTGTACGTGTTTACCGAGGAACGGCAACGCTCTCCTAAGTTTTTTGACATTGTATTTGTTGCAGTGCGCCCTCACGAGCTTTTTCCCCAATTTCCCCGTAGTCTGCATCATTGGCCGAGTTCTGAGATATACGCGCATAAACGAACGCCGGCCCATTTGTGCTCATGTAAATATGTGAATTAAGATGACCCTACCATTAGGTCATATCAAGAACAACGATGTGTTGGCCGGTCTCTGATTCTTAATGGGCACTTTCCTGTCATAATTGTTCTCGCGAGCGATTACTTGGGCAATATTCTAAATCTTTGTAGAGTAAGCATATCATTAACGTTCACATCAGCTGGTTACCAATCTTCAGCTTACCATGACACGTTCTTTGGTAACCTATTTTAGTATCTATTTCATCAAACTGCATCATATCAAGCCTTGCTCACAGCAACTGAAATTATTTGCCTAGTGGCTACGTGAAATCTTCCCAGAAGAAAATATTTTGCACTTCACGTCTGAGCTGTCTCCCTTCCTCACAGGCAAACGGTCGCGTCTTCCTGATCACCGGAGCCATCAAGTCCCAGTATTCCGTCTCTGACGATAGCGATTACTCCGTGCGGAACATCATCTACGTCCTGGAGGGCAGCGTGTTCGTGCCGTATTGGTCCCTGGACGGCTGCAGCACCTACAACTGGAGCGTCTTCCAGCGGAACGGAGAGACTTTCTTGGCCGAGACAAACTACCGCAGCCCTGGAGATAGTACGCTTAGTCAAGCCGTGCTCAATATTTACCAGTGGTATTGACAATATAGCCGTCTTTGATTGTACAGTATTAGTTATTGTGTACGAATCGATACTCTTTATGTATAAGATCATACTTGGGTCAAGCGTACCATCGCTCTGGCTAAATGTATAATGGACCATTTTGTTATTAATTTGTGTGCATTGTTTTTGTTTAAAGAAACAAGAGACGGATTATTAACAACTAACTCCATGAAATGTTTAACCTTGTGCATGCTATGTTTTTCGAGAATTCTGGTATTTCTGGATCAAGATTTCGGCTTAAAGAGTGCCATGTCATAATGATTGCGTCCTATGACACAATCCCGAAATCATCATTCGGGCAATGATTCTCATTCAGCTGATTGTAGCTTTTTGATACCACTCACTAAACCGACGAATAAGACCAGCCGAATAAGACCGTGCGCGTCGTGCTAACGCTTGCACCCATTCACGGATTTGCCCAACTACAAACAAACCACAAACGGAATTTTTTTTTTCAAAAAATGTGTCACTTGACTCATGTATGGAAATGAACTTCTTTTATTTTTTCTTCCAAATAACAGCATGCCGCGCCAGAACGATTAATTTCACAGGTAGCTCGGGTGAAGGCTAATGTCAACTCTGGTCAAACCACGAGCCACTCTGGTCTAGTCAGTCTGGTTAGGTATGAAGATGCCTTTGCCAAATGATGATCGTTGTAGTCAAATGCAAATTTATCTTCTTCCGGACGGTTGTACAGATTTATTACCACAATTTGTTTTGTATCATAACGGATTGATTTTTACACTTAAGGTATCATGAAGCTTAATTTATATTAGTTGTTTAATAAGAACAGATATAATGTACGTTTATTCCCTTTTAAAACTATCTCCCTTTTTCTGAATTGATGTGCATTTGTTTAGTCAGGAATAACATGATAGAAGTGACTTTCAGTGTTAGATTGATGGGTGATTGCAGGATTTGGGAAAACAGTGATGTTTTTCTTAAAAGACGAAGCATCGAAATCTGCCAAACTATTTGCCAGGAGATTGTTTCATTATATTCACATTTTGTTCAGATTTTTTCTTTTATATTCTTTTTTTTTCAGATTGTTTTCTCCTTTTCTCATATCCCATAATTACATGTACACGATGTTTCTGGCCTGGAACTTTATTTCTAAGGCTTTAATTTTAACCAGACTTGGCAAACGGGAAGACCTTAATCTAAAAAATGGTCTGCAAAGCTTGACGTCATGATGACGTAGCTGTCATGGTCACAATCATGACGTCATTTTGAATGTGCATCTTGTCGAAAAAGTTAATAAGTCATGGTAGATACATTGCTATATCTCTTTTATTATTTACGTCATGAAGGTGAATTGCACGTGAAATATACAACTACAATACAAACTGCTAAATTATCTTTGGTATGTACATTATTTCCGATGCGGCTACTTGATGAAATATGACTGAATAAAACATTGGGAAAACATGGCTGTAGAATTTGTCATTTCCGAATGAGAGCCATCCAAGTAGAAATTAAAAAAAATGGGCGTGGTCCTAACATACAAAATATACTTGGTCATAGGGATCCCATTCGTGTTTAAAAAAAAAAATAATATGTTGTTACCTTAACTAGTTCTTTCTAATTTATGACGACATCTATAGAGAGAGAGATAGAAAGTGTTATAGCTGATGGCTGGCAGTATAGCACATGTACTCGTGAGTTTGCCCTTTCCCACTTTGGCTGCTCATGTCAGTCTTTGCTTTTTACATCCTTCGTGAAACAGTCGATCAAAAAAACGATCTTCAATCATCATCTACAAGTCGGTTCTCACGAGTGAACGCAACGAGTGTTTAGAGTCATGTCAAGAAAATATGTCGTACTATACTACCAAACCCTGCCCTACAAATAACCGGTTTGACAATTAGAAACGACTCACGACTTCTTAGGTATCTCCAGATATTCAAATGCAATACCATGAAGCACCTTCATGCATCCAAAGACACCATCTTTATTGACTTAAAGCGAACATTTTTAGACCGGAGGGGACGACTCCCAGTCCAGCGACCATTGCAGAGATGGCACCACGCTCGCAAGCACGCAATCGCGCGCTCTTTCGTACTTTCGACCAATCTGGTTCGTAAGTGACTTCGTCATACACGCCACTTGAAATAACGTCACACAAACGAACCGGATAGAGTAATTTGAAGAACTGACCTCATTGCCATACATGTGCATGATGTTGTGGTAGCCATGCGCCTGGGCAATGTTACCTATCATATCGCACTGAAAACACTATACAATGTATCTCTAATTTGGCTTGTTCACAAGACGCGGAACGCAGGGCCTATCAGTACGATTTGACCCCGCTTTAGAGGTCATAAGGTCACAGATTCCATGAACGTTCTCAAACGCTTTATTTGTGAGAGCTACTGAACAACCGACAGCCCAAATGCGCACGCAGCTATATTATAAATACAAGTTACAAAATTCCCATGTTATGTTAAAAGCTTTTGTGACTGTTTGACAGTCAAACAGTGCACGCTGAACTGACCAATTAAGCCACAACTTTTGGTCAGATGACCCCGGTTTCTCAGTCACGAGCACTGTGATGAGTAATGCTCAAAAACCACACAGCAGGTGGGTAGGTTCTTGCAGCCGAATCCGGAACGGTCCTTCGTGGGTGCCGCCCGACAGTGGCCTCAGCGCATGCCGCTCATGGTGGCCGATCGCTTGGGCCGTTGCTTCTCCTTGTGCTGCTTTTGCCAGGAGAGGGTCCAGCGTTTGTTGGGGAAGGCCCGGGCCAGGGGCCAGCTCATCGGCCGCAGCTCGGGCCGGCGCGGGAGACGAATGTGGGGCCGACTGATTTTCTTGCCGCCGAAAACTGCAGTGGGGGAAAAACAAAGACTGAGCTTCATCTGGGGTACCTAAAGTAATTGAGAATATCCAGAGATTAAGTAACATCAAAAGAATAACGTATGTCTGCCCTTTGCCGCCCAGGTTAAAACGTGTCACAATGCTGATTTTGACCTTCATCTTAGAAGCCATGTTTGCCGAGGGATCCATGCCAAATAGACCTTTATCATGCTTACCACCATTTAAGTTGAGATGTATCCAATCACAGTACTGAAGAATAATGGGTTTTTGGAATTTTTTTGCGTCGGAGTGATGTAAATCAAATTAAGTTTTGCCCTTTACTGAGGCATAAACACTGTATACTCAGCATCGCTTTGGTTACGTTGATTTGAATGGAATAAAATCATGATGTCCGCAACAAAATCAAAACAACACCCTTAACTATTCCCTTGTAGTCGTAGTTGCCTCTTTCTAAATTATTCAGTACGTTTCTGATTAGTGAGATCAAAAAATTAAACATAAACCTCGGTAGAGTTATACCTTTCTCTCCGAGCCCGTGGCCGAAGTTCTGAGACAGATGCACTACGACGACGACCAGGAAGGCACGGACCAGGATAGCGAGGATCCCACAGACCAGGATGCAAGACGGAAGGACCTTTTGCGAATGCTGGGTCCAGGTTGGCCACAGAAATGAAATCTGGTGAAATATCAAAAGCGTCATTTGAAACTCGACTTTTTCTTTGCAATTTGAGACTTTTGAGACGTTGGTGGCGGCAAACACAAAGGTCCTCTTTCCCATCTTTGCGCCATACTGAGCATGCACGCTTTAGCTTAAACATTACGTGAACAATATTGAAAGGGACCGGTGTGTTTGCTGCCACCAACGTCTCAAAGGTCTTCCATTGCGCTTGCAACGATAGCTGCAATGCTATTGAAATGACAACAAAACAAAACCTGAAAAAATCCATATCCTTATTGCCAAGTCATATTAAGAGGTTTGCCTTTCCAAAAGTGAGGGCCTAGTGATCTATAAATGGGTGCATTTCAACTGAACTTGTCGATGTCTTTTAAAAGGAGCAGAAAAAATACCTAATGTTTTTGTTGAAAATCATAACACAATTTCAGTTATAAAATAAACTACGTGCAACAGACATTATCTCTGACGTAAACGCTTCGTTTAACATTGTAACGTAAAAACTCCTTTGAAACGTTTAAAGCGTTACCAAAAGTTGAGAAATAGTTTATGTGGAGACAAATATTAAAGCCCCATTCAGGTGTCGTGGAGGTCTCAACCGCACCGGAGAAACCCATAGGTGAAATAACCACCAGTACACCTTACATGCAACACATCCCATTTTGTCTTTTGGGTTCCGCATGCAAGATACTATAATATACCTACATCGACAAATTTATAGGTTGTGTAAACGGGTAATACCCAGCACGTCAGCAGAAATAAACCCACTAAGATTCTATTCTCGTATCGTATCTGAAAAGAGAGAAACAAAATCTCATTTACAATCCCCCACAGAACATTCAAATCGGTCAACTTAATTTCAGTGTCACTTATAGTGTCCCTGAAGGGACATAACTGGTCGTGAATATTTTTTTTGCGACGTCCTGAATTTATTCACGACTAATCATGAATATTTTGGGAACGTGGTGAATATATATTTTGAAGACTATTCGTGAAAAAAAAATTCACGTCGTCGAGAAAAGTAGTTTCCACGTCGCGAATACATCATCGCAACTATAAATTCACGAACTAGTCATGATTTTTTTGTCATAAATAATTGGATGGAGCATACAACGATTAGGAATCCTGCGGCCGAAACTGTGCAGGCTACAACGTCGCAATGGTATTCACGACTAGTCATGAATAAATCACGACGTCGCAAAAATATCCACGACCGGTTGTGTCCCTTCAGGGCTACCATAGTCTCTACACAATTACAGCATGTTCCCCGGATACAGAGCGGAGTCGTTTCATGTGAACGAATTGGAAGCCAGTTATCTGGAGAGATTTCGCGCAGGATCAGGACAAACTTAAGATTCGTACTATTCCAAAAACGGGCATGGAAAGAACTGGGGAAAAAAAGGTTGGGGAGGAAACGAATTACATGAGTTGTTACTTACGGCCAGAAAACCAACTACGTTCCATATGAGCGTGACGGGCAAGCCGAGGCCCAGCACAATCTTCTCCATACTGGTGTTTAGGTAGATACCATCGTCAAGAACTAGAATGACCATACTTGTCTGGAGGTAGGCGAGAACAAAATAATTAAAGGAAATCGAGTACTGGTAAAACGTCATTTGTTGTAGCAAGAGGCAACAAGGGGCGCCAAACAATTACGAATTAAGTTTGTGGTACAGAAGCCATGCTTTACAGGGGTCTCGACAACGGTTGGACTGATTTTCGTAGAGGGCGACTAGTCATGCATTGCATAGTGACATGCTCGATGGCGCAATCCGAACACATTTTTATGCTAAAACAAAAAGGCTAAAGAAAAAATGAACCAGTTGAGCCATTATCAAGAACATGGAGGGTCTCGCCTGGTGACTTTTTGGTCCATCAATTACTCTCTCATCAGTTGACATTTAGCTTTATGAAAACTTTACAGGATGCTCGGCAAGCGAGCTTGAAATTCTCACCTCAAGCTGCACGTTGAATTTGAGAAGGTCCGAGAACAGGTACATGTTACCACACAGAGCTTGAAAATGAAATGGAAGGAACATTACTGATAGTCTATTTTTGTTTTAAATGAAAGACAACCATCTGAATATTCAAGAAGAAGAAAAATATCTCTTGACAGATGTTACCTTGGAGGTTGATGTTGGCTCCAACTGTTCTGAAGATCAAGTTGCGCTGTCTGTAGTACATCGCTCCCAAGTACATTCCGTATATCATATCGAACGTGCCGAACAGCCCAATCACCACTAATCGAACCTTTCAAAAGAATCATTATAATTATATAATCTAATTGAAACAAATATCGTCGTTTCTGTTAACGCCCTCTTGACCCTCACGTACCAGGCCTACATCCTCCAGAGAGAAAGAAAGGCCTTTCCATAATCAATAGCTTCGCTGTAAAGCTTCATTACTTTATGTAATAGTTTAGAAAGCTTTGCTATGATGTAATAGTTCAGCAACATTTGAGCTTCTTTTTCTGTGTGCAATTTAAGCCCGTTTTTGCAAAAGTCTCTTTGATTGTAGAGTTTCCATCTCTTTTCTTATCACTGTTAAGGACGAACCAAATTCATGTTTGTTTATTCTTTTGCATATAAGATTTCCTGAGAGACGTTTGGAAACGTAGAACAGGAAATGACTACTTCAGTGACATATCTACCGAGGAAAGGGGTTTATCACCCGTCTCCCTTGGGCCACAAAAAAGGTAATTATGCAGAAAAAAAAAACATGTCTGGTACACTCCGCCCCCTTGACAGCTACATTTCCCGCCCGGGCCAATCCTTGATCCGCCCCTGTGCGTAACACGAGACAGGTGGATCTGAGAAGAACCATACAAATACAAATGCAATATGTCTCCACAAAAGCGTATAATAAAACTTCTGAATTATGTGAATTATGTTGAATTAAACTTCTGAATTGAACTTCTAAATTTGAACTTCTGAATTGAACTTCTAAATTTGAACTTCTGAATTGAACTTCTGAATTTGAACTTCTGAATCGAACATCTGAATTTGAACTTCTGAATTGAACTTATGAATTTGAACTTCTGAATTGAATTTCTGAATTTGAACTTCTGAATTTGAACTTCTGAATTGAACTTCTGAATTTAACTTCTGAAATGAACATCTGAATTTGAACTTCTGAATTGAACTTCTGAATTTGAACTTCTGAATTATGTTGAATTATATGCCACATAAAGTTTCAATTCAAATACGAAAGTGTTTTTGTTGGCTTACTAGTTTGACGATGTTGAGACCCTCCCCTAAAGTCTCGACGAAGTTTGAGACGCAGTAGATGAGCAGGGCCGTGATGCTGAAGGCAAAGACGAACAGCTCGTAAGGATGCTCCAAGAGGATGGCATGAAACACGTAGAACAGGCAGAAGACTGTAGCACGAGAGATGGTAGGTATAGAGTGCTAATGAGTGGCTTAAATCTGGGTATACAATTTCATGAATCTGCTTAGTGCGAGATAGTCGTTAGCAAACGTACTCAGCCAAAATCAGCTGAGAACGGGTCATACACACCTGACTTTTGGTAGCTCGAGCTGTTCCTTGCTAAGAGTAGTTCTTTGAAATTTGCCTTTGGGGCAATGCCATGTAGAGTCTAGACTAGCCTATTATATGCGTCAGCAAAACAAACAAAGCTTCAAAGGGGCGGATCCAGGATTTTTTTCAGGAGGGGGTTTATCAGGAAAAAAAATCTGAAAAGTAGCCATGGGCGTCGCTAGGTTTTTTTTCTAGAGGGGGGAAAAAGCGCATTTTTTTCCCGTGTAGAAATTTTCCCGCAGCCCAGCTTGATATGACAAAATTCATTTTTTTAAAAATTCATCATTTAAAAAAATGATATATACCACTGAAATTGGTCATAAATTCTGACCATAAAGAAGACAACGATTCTCATCAATGTACCTATATTCACAATGAGTAGTAGAGCAAAGGTGAAATTTGGAGACGCCTTATCGGACGCTGCCAGTCGGTCTATGGTCAGGCCCAACGTGACGAGAAGGCTCATGGCTACCGTGACTAGGAAGACTTTCTCCCGTACGCTGATGTCGAACCACTTGCGGTGCTTGAAAAAAAAGAAACAAAGAACAGAGTGCCAAATAAGCAAAAGGATCGCATTGCCGGTGAAGATTTACATGTAGCTTTAGTTTTTGAGGAGAGCATTTTGGGTTAAAGTTGGTATACGTGTACTTTTTTAAAGTTCAGATTTCTTTTCCGAACGACATTTAAAGGATTATAATGTCCTGTAACAAATACATTTCCTTGTTTGGTTTTACAGGCCTTTTCCCAGTTTGAAAGATTGGTTTTGCGCGCTCCGGTTCGAAATTGCACACACTATTCAGAACGAACGAGCATCTCGCTCTGAATTCAAAAGTTGAAATTTATTAACAGATTACTTTCAGGGACCGATTTTTTTCGTGCAATGTCTCATTGGAAAGCTCTTAACTACTGTAATGCTAGAAAATCATCAATTGAATTGGAAACTCTATTTTTTAAAGGGCCACACCTAAAAAGTACGTGTACACCAATTTATGGTGTACGCGTACTGCTCAATGTATAGAACAAATTGATAGCAATTCTGTAAATCCGTTCCAACGTGAATCAAGCCATAATTACTCATTGAAAATACCCAGCCCAATTCAACACGATGTCAATAGGCCGCTATTAACATCGTGTTGAACTTGGCTGGGTATTTTTTGTACCAGAATGAATTGTGTGCTGGTACACGTCGTGTATGCTAGTAAGTTGCATACACTGCAACAAGAGTTTATGGTCACATGGTACAGCGCCCTCTGTATGTGACCTCAAGTTAGTACACACACACTTGAGTATAGGCAGGTCACACACCCACACACATAAGATGGATAAGACAAAGGAATGAGACTTGAGAACACATGGTTAAGAATAAGAGTTAAACACAACATTGTTAAAACCTACAAATGAGTCTTGTGTGAATCATTATCTTGACTTAAAGATTACAACATACACTTCCAAGTCCTGTCACACTGTTTTGGTATGGCTACAAGTTGGAAGCGGATAAACCAGCATGGAAATCACAAGTCCATTCAGGCAAACATAACGCGGAATGGGCAGTGTCAAAGGCAGCTGCGCTTTGCCAAAGTTCGTTTAAATTGGTGTGTCACTTGACATCGCGATCACCTTGCGCATGACTTCGATTACAAGTCTGGCAAAGCGTATATATATAGCGAGGGGTGGGGGGGGGGGGGAGGCCTACATGCCGGGGCAACTCCCCCCCCCCCGCCCACCCCGCAAACGGCACTTGTCAGACTCAGAATTACCGGAGGTGCCAAGTTAAGCACGGACATTTTGCTGTACAACGTCTATATGCCCATTTTTTTCACAGCTAAAACGCATAACTACGGAAGTCCGTAGTTAGGTTGATTTTTCATTGTGTCAGGTTGATTTTTTTCTTACTCAGAGACAACAGATACCATAACAGACACAAGCATTCAGCTTGCCTTTTTAATGCGTAGCATACCGAGATCGCCCCTTCTTGTAATTAGTGCAACTGCGCATCTGTGATGAAAAGAAATGAATATGTACGCATGCGTGATTGCGTAATTACACCTTAATCACGGAGTAATTATTTTAACAAATAACAATATCGAAATGAAACGGAATATTAATTGTCTGATAGGGGTAAATTATCCAGTGACTTTGTTGCTAGTATCATAAATTGCTTGATTTGACTGGCCTTCCAACACTATTATGCTGTAACGTAACACGCGGTAACATCAAGTGATTCACGCCCGGTATCCGGAAATGCTATTCTGACTCAAACCACCAATCATATGCCACGTATGTGGGGGAGGATGATCAACGTGTAAAGGTCACAGTCTGTAATTTGCTACTGCTAAGTATGATGTCAACTTTGTGATCGAGACTGAATTGAAGAATCCCAAAAAGTAAACACCTGAAACTTGTCCATATTAAAGGTGCCTTTTTTTTTTTTTTTACGTCGGGGTGATGTAAAGGCCTATCAAATTAGGTTTTGTCCTTCACCTACGCGTTCAGACTGTATACTCAGTTTGTTACCTCCTGAGTGAAAGTACCTGAAACCTGAATGCAGGCTTATAAAATGACCACTGAATTCACCTGAAAAATCATGTTATATAGCTTGTATTCAAAGCGTCAAGTATTTTTAGTTAAACACTGTGACGAAATAAAAAAACGGAATCACTAAAAGTCCAACCTCAGGTAAACTGACTAGTCCCGATAGGAGGAAATCCTCCTTGGCTGATTACACGGGCTAATTGAGAAGCTATTTTCATTAAATTTCTCTGGCCAATTTAGTTACCCCTCGTTCTACGATGTGCTACACGTTACTGACGAGCGGGCCGAAGTAATAATTAGATAGGATGTAGTAATCAATATCTTACACCCATTTCTACTCTCCCTATCTAAATCAATTTCCTTCTTGTTAAATGACCGAAGTGCCCTTTCCTACTTTTACGAGGTTATTATATTGAGACAAAGAGATTGTCAGACAGTTATATTTATGGCTACGGTGTACATAGGTGACAGGTCATGAACATAACTTTCTGGCAATCACCGCGACGAATCGCATTCAGACAGGTTTGTTCAGACAGGTTACATTTGTGTTACATTCAATCTACATTGAATTTATTGTCAACCCAGACTGACTCTAACCGTGTGCGCCAAATAGGGCGTAGTTTGATTCCTTTGGGCTCTCTGCACGTATGGCGGTCAGCGAATTCCACCAAACCACCTCGATTAAAGATATCATTTGAAATTTGTGCATTTTGTTCGTTTGAAGCAACAAAAGTGCTCAAAATCTAAAGAAGGGTACTGAACAACTAACCTGATGAAGTTTCAGCTCAGCTTCAGCTGTATATTCCGAGAAAAACAGTATTCTAGGATCTTGATTTCAAGTCAAAAGTTGCTGAATCATATTTTGAATTGGGCCTGAATTCAGCGTCCGAGACACGTTTTCAATGAGCCGATATTGCAGCTTACTATCTTTCAACCAAGTATATTGTTTTTTCAACAAGAATTACGCCAGCTACATTTTGAATAGCTGCAAATGATGGACTCCAGCTTTAACAAGTAAACAACATTTCAGCTTCAGCATTTCATGACTTTTTAACGACTGTTAATCAACGTTAATAAATTCAACTTTTGAACAGTTTTGATTCCGATTCGTTCGATCAACCATTCAACTTATAAATTAACCCGGACGATTTTCCACGGTGTTGTACATGGACAAATTACTCCACGGTTATTTAAGCTAAATAGCTTCACCTGTTGCAGAAAAGTGCATGCAAGTCATCGTGTTTGGGTTTTCTCCCCCCGACTCAGTTTCACGGCCCCATGACCGCTCTAATACGCCGGAAATGAATGACTAAGCGGTGCGGCTATTCATCAGCACTCCCCAACCTAGCCTTGTGTGTGTACATGGGTTCTCCCGATGACGTCATCGCGTCACCTGTGACAGCGGGTCCGAAGCCTGGGACTTGGCTGTCATCGGATTCGTACGTACAACCTCATCCATTTTAGGGGCGGATCCAGGCCATTTGAGGGGTTGTGCCAACGTGAGCCATAGTGGCAGACATGTTGCTTTGGCTGGCGTTATATCGATATGAAACGAAAGCAACCAATGCACTTTGCAAGATGTTAAATTTTCAGAGACGAATTAAGTGTTACCTATTCACACCTACGGCAATTTGTGATTCATTTTATGTCAAGTTTGGGAACTAATTTTACATGGGTTATAGGCCTGAGCTCTGTGGCGGATCTGGTGTGTGTGTGTGTGTGTGGGGGGGGGGGGGGATTCGCAACTTCCACGTCCATCCGCTGACTAATGTTAGGATACATATATACTATAGTAACGGGAATGTGTCTGAACTTAAAGTTTACACATGTATCCACAAATTGTCTCTAAATACAGGGAAACAAATCTTAGATTGCAAAACCCGGGGGGGGGGGAGAGGGAGGTTGGCGGGGGTACGCCTTCACCCCCACCCTCGCTCCGTTCATATCATCCCCCCTCCCCCCCATTTCATTAAGGCTAGATCCGCCCAGTGCTGCTTTTTTGTAAAATTTGCTTAGGCAGGCCATTTTTTAAAAGAAACATTTTTCCCTAAATGACGTGCAAGGCGGCCTACTTATTACGGCGAATTATCACCTCCAGTCGCGTCTTGAACAGAATTGTCGAATCGTCATCAAGGCATGTCAGCACCATGTAAGGTCAACCACAAGTCAATCACGAATCATCAATCACGAGTCAAGTTACAAGCTAATCAACTAACCTGTGAAACGGGCATTTCTTCATCGCTTCTGCGCCCCCGCTACTTCTGACTATACTTGTGACCGACACAACTTACAACTAATATCCCATAAGCGTGACTATAACTTAAAATTAAAAGTGCATCTAAAATACAAGAAAAACCCAGAATTGGACTTTTTGGCAATAATTTAGATAAGAGGGTTTGGGTGACATCGTACTCACCGGTCCGACGACCGTATCTACCAGCGGTCGCTCCCGCTCCACGTCCACCCCGAAGTGAGCAAAAGTAGCGGGCCGATCGTGGTCCTTGCACAGGGTGAAGTACGGCTTCATGTCCAAGCCGAACTCGGCAAAGGTTGCCGGCCGCTCCGGTAGCTTCACCCGGCCTGGCTTGTGCCGTAACTTGTCCATGGTGTAATATTTTCCTCGTCTTTCGATATCTTGCTTGAAACGTCACCTTGAAAGAAACGGTGACTTTACTTCGGGTCAACCGGCTTCACACTTCATCATTAGCGAGACTTGGGGAAAAGGGGTTCAACTTGAAGTTTGACAGAGATGAATTTGACAGCAACTAGGGAAAACGGTGTGGCAAGGCGCCGCCCACAATTCGTTAAGGCCGATATTTTGCTGAATCTTTCGTCCTCGCCTCATGACCTGTCTCCCATTAGGCTGCATTTACGAAAGGGAATCTGTACCGTACTGATTCCCTTAGCAAGATTTGTCATTTCAGCCAGGCCTATGCCTACTCATCACTACACAACCTCCCGAGAATGACTGTATAATCCGCAGTCAGTAGGTGGGGGATTAATGCCGCCATTATTAGACTAGCTACAAATCTTCTCAGCGTTTAAATTCCCCTATTAATGTCTCAGAATTTTTTAATTGGTGTCATTCTTTTTCTTGGTGGGGGGGGGGGGGGGCACTCGGTTTAGTCCCGAAACTTAAAAACATGGCATATAATAATGCACAGACACTCGCAGTTTCTCGATCCTAGTCTTATTTCTGAAAGTACTTACGACAAATTTAATGATTCATTTACAGTAGCATTACCACAACCGTTATCATAATGAAAATTCTGCATGAAAATACTAAACATTTATTTAACGATATTTTTGTTTGTATATATAAATGCTATTTATGGTTGATAAAAGCCGGCATATTTACTCCTTTAACAATACGTTTCACATTATTGTAGCATTTTATATGTTAACAGATTCCTCTCTTTAACTTTATGTTTTGTTTTTTTGTACGTGCCACCATAAATGGCTCTTGGCCTTTTGGTGGCGACTTCCATTTAAAATATCATCGTATACATATAAAGCTCCTCAAAGATTTAAAATTTTAAAATACAAGGACAATTAATATATTTGCAATGTTTAATGCAAACACTCAATTATTCAACGTTTCTATAAAATGGGAATTATGTAATTTCTTATTACAATTACAAAATAGTTTTCCCTAGGGACAAAAAGGGAAATCATTTGCTATGTTTCAACATATGCAAAAGAAAGGGACGTTATTCTATAAGGCTAAAAATGAATGTCCATGACAAAAGTTGCAGCCTTCAATTACAGCAATCACAAGTCAATTCACAATGTTGGTCTACACCACTTAAATTGCAAGTTTTCTTCGAATTTGAAGTAATATCTCATGTACAGTCACAGGTGACATTATGACAAAATATATGTTTGTTAATTAAGTGTTTTTGTTAGGCCTACAGTTCAATTAAATAAACATCGGTTGACGTGATACTTCGAATTGTAAGGATTCACACCAACTTATAAAAGGAATCAAGAAATTTGCAATATGTTTAGATCAAGGCGAACTTAGTTAAATCAAAGTTTTCGAACATTACATTTGTTTGCAGCATATACATTTACAAGCAGAGTATCAAAATCGAACAAACTGGAAAGGAAAACAATGTCTCATGTAAGAAAAATTAACTTTGCACAACAATTATCGCTTAACACAGTGTGAAGGCTACGTAAAGGCTACAGCAAATGTGGCTCAAAATTTAGGGAAGGACACTTAAGATATATACTCCTTCTTTTAATAATGTACACGCATTATTTCATGTTTTATAATGTGACAAAAGCTACACAGCAAATATGAAACACTTGAAAATTAGGCAGTAATTACACAGAACAAAGTCAGCATGTTAAACTTGCCCAAATCAAGCAAAGCAATCTTTTTAATATTTAACAACTTAACAGTTGTTTCCTTTTTGTAATTTCCTTTAGCAATCTTTATCTTTATCCTGTTTCAATTGTTTCCTTGTTTAAAGACTGTAACTTCCTCATTTTTACGTAACAAATGGATCTTCCGAATCATCAAATATAATCGCATACGAAAATTGTTACACAAAAAGGGACAACATCAAGAACTGTGCATAAAAAAAGCTAAACTGCTAACAGATCATAGATCTTATAGAAAATATATAATATTCATGCCTTGCACAATTAACTTTCAGGTGGTCTCAAACAAAACAAATGCAATTACATCACACAGACTCATGATGAAAAAAGAACAAAAGGCCCAATAATATTGTTAACTAATTTTAATCAATATTAGTGCCTTTCCGTATAAAACCTTAATGATTCATTTTCACCTGAAATTACAACGGTACTACGGTAGTAATAGAAACCTTGAGATAGCGCAACTAACATATCCTGCTCACAGCACTTAGGTATTTCGGATACAGTGTGGACAGTATAACGTGAACAGATCCCATCGAAATAAGTCTGAACTTTAATTACAAGTAAATAAGTAAATTACAAGTTAGATCACAAGTCAAATCACAGGTTGGTCAAAAATCAGTCACTGGGATGAATAGTAACAAAGGAATGACTTTGTCACAGACCATTTGAATAGGACCTTGTCTCTAGACTTGAAACAGGTTCATGACAACGAGTGATGGACTTGTAATGACTTTGTACAGGATGACTTGAAGTGATATGTGACGACTTGAATTTTACCTACTGATGTTTGACATCCTCTTAAACACAGACATATTGTCTTAGGGAAAATATGATATTTTCTACCGATTTCTATTATGGAGGATTAGGCTTAAGGGCATGCAATTCAAAAGTATCTCTCAGATCCTCTGACACATTTTGTGACGGTATGTCAAAACCAGGCAGAATCGGGCAGAGCTACGAATAGACAGACAGCTGCAAAATGTTATTGGGGTAATTTTCAGCGCTTTTGAGAATGAAAAAGGGTCATGTTACTAACGTTTAAAATGTTCTGTAAAAGTATCCAACTAAAATGTCACCGACTAAGTGTTTATTAAAACACGTTTAGAGAGGATGTCATTTCACAAAATGACACCTTGTTCAAAGTTTTGCGCTGAAACGACGCAAACGTAGTGTGACATTTCAGACAGGCCGATTTTAAAATTAAATAACTTCGCTCCAAAATATCAAATTTAAATAAAATCAAATTTTAAAGAGCAATGTCTTTATTTTACACATTATTGCAGTAAAAAAAAAAAAAAGACTTTTTTGGCCCAAACATTTCCGATAGTGCCGATTGCTGATTCTTGCCGATTCCGATTCGTTCGGTTAGGTCAAACAAGACACAGAGTGCAAAAAAATTGCGACTTCATCTATTTCAGACATAGTAGGTCGAAGACAATGTCCACCAACTGCTTATTGGCTTCTGTGCCATGGTCAGGCCGTTCTGTGTTGCTTCGGAGGCTGTTTGAAGCAAGAAGTCTCTCTACGTCGGATGTTGTATCAAAATCTGCAAATAGTCAAAAACGGAAAGAAATATATGAGATTGTTTTATTCACGACTGGATTACAAGCTTGGTACCTCAGTATATCGGGCTCACCGTCAGCCACGAGTTTTGCTCTTCACCGATGTACGTTTATATGCAACGTATGCTTAGAGTTGTATAAGAGCTCACGTGAAAAACATACACAAGCTTGCTCGATGGGATACGAATCCATCGATCGTCCTTAGGTTGCCTCGTCAATTTTCAACTAACATTGACGCATTATAAGGAGTTTTCTTGCAAGTCTGAGCGTTCATCCGACTCACATTTATCCTTTATGCATTGGTCAAAGTTTTGGCAGAAGGAGATCATGAAGCCACACACTGCGATCCTCACGATCAGACCGATCACACAGACTGTGATGATTACTGCAGGAACGAGCTCGGCCGCAGAAAAGCTATCCCATTCCGTCCCAACCTGTCATTGCACCAAAGGATAATAACATGTATTTATATAGTGCTTATAACTAGGAACAAAACACTTTCCATTAGGACTGTGACGTGGCGTACCAGCTCTCCTTCGTACCAGCTCTTCTTAACCCTTAGAGCCGCGAGACCAAAACATTTACGCGGAGATTTCCATACCACCCAGTTTTTTTTATGTCAATAACCCCCTCCTGCAAGCCCAAAGCAATTTTAATCCCCATAAATGGTGAATTGGAGTTCCAGACAAGACTTAGATGGCCATTTTATGTTATCTAAGATCTCCAATTACTGTACAAAAGCATTAGGCGCCATCTTGGCTTCTGTCTTTCAACACTCCTCACTCCAGAGTGGCTAGGGTCTGGCCAATGGGAGTCTACAGGCTTGTGGTGCATAGTAGGGGTGAGAATTACATGGAAGCTTGGCCTAATTGGCCCATTGAAAAAAAATAATGCCCATATTTGGAAAATGTGGAGAATTTTATCACCCAGTGGCTGCTGCGAGGGTAGCAGAGGTGGGCCACACAACCAGGCGCTCCCATTTGCTCAGTGAACAGGAACAATAGACCGGTGGAAGTAAGGTCAGCGGAATACACAGTGAAATGTGGAATCGGAATGTGGATTTGGAATAATGGGTGGAGTCAGAATGTGGGTAGAGTTGTAACGTGGGGAGTCGGAATAAGGGTGGAGCAACTTAAGGGTGGAGCAACTTACTAACTATTCTCTAACTATCCTCTTGGTGCTTTGCCGTTTAATCCTCAATTTATTCCTTTTGGATTAAGTCTATGCTCTAGGATGAGATCCTATCCTACAGCATAGACTAATAATAGGTGATTGCAGACAGTAAATCAAGAATACTGGTCATGCCTTTAATCATTCATCATCATCTGTCGTGTCTTTCCATTGTAATCAAGTAACATGGGAATTATCCTTATCGTTTGAGAATCAAGCAATCAACTGCCTAAATCCCGGCCCTACACAACACCTTTTATGCACTTTGAGCCCATTGGCTGAGTATACCTCTTCTCTCTGCCACACAACAGTTCATAAACTCAATTGACCAATCAGATGCAAGGATTCGGATATGGTAGTTAGAACATACAATTGGTGATGATCACTAGACCAATGAAATATTCCTTATGACATATGTCGGCTCACTTTGTGGTATACGTGATGCAGCCGGGTTTTTTTTCAGACACAACTCCAACACAATATTCACAATAACTATCTCTGTCCTAATTGCAGGTACCCAGTACTCCTGAATGGGAATCACTGATAAAGACTCGGCCAAGGACACAATTTGGTCTCAAACCAACAACCTGCAGAACTACACACAGATTTTGAATTTGACAACGAGGCTACAACACTCCACCAAAGAATTTCTGAGTTTGCTTGATCTCAACTAGTTTACAGTTACTCAAGTATTTTCCATACTTACATCTACAAATTTGTAGAGAATGTATAATGGCTCGATCCAACTGGATGCCAGGAGAATAATCACCTTTGTTTTGTGTCCTTTATATACCTGCGAACAGATTTTGTTGAACTT